GGTTCGTCCCTAGCTTGATTACTCATACAAACTTTTATCCCTATTTTCACCCCCTTAAGGGATGATTTCCGGGATAAAAAGTACTCTATGTCCTTCTCAGGGTTTCAAAATATCTTCTTACCAAATTTCATCTAAATCGGTTCAGTAGGTCCAGAGATTACCCCCTACAACGTCACAAACTCACAATCTCATGAACTCACAAACTTTACCTCTTTCTTTTTTAATTAGTATATATTGAAAACTCTTTATATACTAGTGACTCGAATTAGCGTCGCTAGATATTATATAGCGCGCAAATCTTGATTTATTTTCATTTTTCATGATGTCCTAAGGTCTAAACTACTTAACCAAATTATATAATATAAAAGGCTTTTGTCTCTATTAAACACTTTTAATGATGAAATAATTTAAGTATTTTTTTGATAAATACTATATAATTCATTTTAAATATTGGTTAAAATATAAAAATACTTACTATAAGATATTTGGTATCACGGACTTTTTGTAGAACTATTAAGTGTGTATCTATTTTATATATTGCTTTCACTTTTAAACAACCGCTTAAGCAGCGCACGCATAGAACCCTATATTTTTTCGGATTTGTTAAAGTCTAGACAAAAACTGACAGATCAGCTAAAACAGACAATAAAAAATATATTGTTTATATCCCACTCTAGCAATTTGGGTTAATTTTCCTATATAACAGGGAAATAATTATTTAAATCGTATCTGTAGTCTACTTTCAATTTGTCTATTTAAATACATAATATTTATACTTCAGTTAAATTATTTTAAAATGCTTGCATAATAAATTCAATCCAAAAATTTATTATTATGCTATTAATTTTGTTATAAGTACATTACTTACATACATGTACTTGACGCATGTAATCATTCCGACATACACATGGAATTCATTTATATTTTAACTTCAAACTGCCTCGGTGGTGTAGTGGTTAGCAAGTACGGCCGCACACCCGGAGGTCCTGGGTTCGAGTCCCGGGTCGGGCCAAGTTTAGTTATTTAGTCTTTCTGTATAGTAAGCCTCAGTAACAGCCTGGAGTTGGGAAGTTGGTGGTGTTTCACCCCCGTGCCTCGGAGAGCACGTAAAGCCGTCGGTCCTGCGCCTTAACTCTCACTGGTCGTGTCAAGTGGTCGTCCCACCAGAATATGAGAGTGACAGGAATAGAGAGTGCACCTGTGTCTGCGCGTACACTTGTGCACTAAAATATCTCCTGCGCAGTTGGCTAGTCTCAATGAGATTGGCCGCCGTGGCCGGAATCGGTCGGGAGAACATCATCATCATCATCATTTTAACTTCAGGGAGAGTCTCCCGTAATTTTTTTTACTGTAAAGCATTTGCAACGTCTCGTCACGTCGGGAACAAATATTCTAAATATGAAAATGTAGTTTCAAATAAATTGTCAAATATTCACGAAAATTTACGTAATTATTATATTATTTTCTTGATATTAAGTCCTATTTGTCTATGATTTATTATAACATGTAATAGCTAAAAACATATGCATTCTTCTAAAATAACGGTCTCGAGGAGATTCTTGATATTCACGCGCATCTGTCGACCATTTGGCCAATCACGGGCGTGGGTTTAAACATCTGCCGTTTATGCCCGCCCGCGAGTTTTTTGTTGAGTAACTATTTTTTGTTCAGACAAAACTGAGAGAGAAAAGTTGGAAATAATCCTGCTTGTGTATTGATATTGTGATGTAAGTTTTTATTTTAGTTATTTTGTTTTGAAGAATAATGATGTAATTTTAATTTATTATTTTTCGAACCTTATTAGAAACTTTCGATTAATTTTAAACTCTGTATATTATATTTTTAAAAATCGCAGGCATTTTAATATGTACTTAAGTCATTTCATAAACTCAAACATAGTAAATATTGAACATTCTAATATTATTTGTTATAAACGTATTATAATAAATATTTGGAGTGTAGATGTAGTAGATAGTGTAAACTTCATTTTAAACGCAGCTTTCTAGCTCTACTTTCGCTGTATCTTCACCTTCCCTTTAAACACTCGCCTGTGCCTGTGTCATGTACATAATATGATATATACATCTAATAAATAAATTGCATTATTTTCTGTGTGTATGTACGAGTATGTTACGCGATATTTTCTTGCGTTCTATAGTTTTACTCTTTAGAATCGTGTTTTTTTTCTTTATAATCGTTGTGATTTGAAACTCGATGAAACGAAAATGCAACACTTAAAAGAGACACACAACTAACACATACATATATATAGGATTAAGCCGGCGAGAGACTGAGATAGAATACATTGCCATGTTGCCATGGTAACCGTTGTTATTGTTTGACAAATAGGTACCTATATAATATTATATTCTTTCCGTATATGATATTCTATAAATATATGATTGTAATATGCCTCATAATTATCCTATTCCTGATACTCTATATTCATCTCATTCTCTCGTAAGTTACTTTTCTGAAGTTTCACTTCTACCATGTGTAAATGACACACACACACACACACACTTTATTTTATTTACTTTTTATTATAAAAATATATATACTTTTTATTATAAAAATAAGCTATGACCACTCTTTAATCTATTGAGAAACACACGGATATTCGATAGAGCAATAATTCGGTAGTTATCTGTTTTCCCTTTTTTATATAATAATGTATTATAATATAAGTACCTACTACTTACTAATCTCTAAAAAAATATTTCTATTTGTTTTGATATCATTTGTACATTCAAATATGATAGAATAATCAATAATTTAATAATCTATGCCGGAAATTCACTACTAATGCATTTATTAACGCCATTTAAGGCCAATTAGTAACCACAGTAATTTCTTCTCCACGAGGTCGATATACCGAGGTCGTTTTGGTATCATGCTAGGCTAACTAAAAATCAGGTCGAGCTTTGCAAACTAGTGCAGAGTGTGCTCGTCATGTTCTCCAACGCTCTCACTACACTCATCAGCATGCACCTACTAAAAACCAAAGAAATAAATGATCACATCTTTCAATATTAGTTATTAAGGATAAGAGATAACATAAATTGTTAAAATTTAAATTCTTTGTTCTAATTTGATATGTTTTTAGATTCAATAGATTTCAATTTTATTAATATGCCTTGAGATTATCGAGATCTATTACGCCTATACGGAGAGAATCTATCTAGAGGTATCTGCTATACCTAAATAAAAATGTAACCGTTGGCTTGCGCAAAACCGCAAATCTCAGAATGGTCTTCAACGATTGCTTTAAAATCTTGACACATATACGAGTTTTTATATGGAGAAGGCTGTTATGACGGCGCTGTACTTGTAGCGCATCAGTTTCTACTGTGTCCCTCTGATGAAAATTAATATTTTTATGTTATCCACAAATGCAAGTGTACCTTCATAAAAATAAATTTATAATAATATATATAAATTTTCACAAAGAAAATAAGTTAAAGAAACAAATATGATGTCGCATGTAATGTGGACGTCGCGTTCGCGTTGTTTAAAAAATAAATATTCTGTTATTATGATTATTTTTTTATAATAATTTCAAAATTTTAAGTGTATCGCGTAAGATATTGTTAAAAACTGTGCTTCGCCGATTTGACCATCACGAATAGTCTAAAAATATCTTTAGATTAAGTATAGCATTTTCGAAACAAGCTTCTGTGATGTCTGATAAGTGATATATCATATAACATAATGTACAAGAAAGTTCTTTTAGACTTTTGTATGAAAAATTGAATCAGCTTAGGAGTAACCCGCACTGAATAACATTTAATGCTTTTGTCGTATTTAGAATATAGTTTAATCTTAAAAAAAAAACAATTTCTACTTCATAATAAATAAGTAGGTACTACTTTATAATAAGCAATGTAATTTATGTAAGTAGTACATATATAAATTTTCACAAAGAAAGAAAGTTGGCGAATTCTAGAAATTTTGCGTAACAATTATTAGTCGAATGTAATGTGGACGGTGTTTAAAAAATAAATATTCCGTTATTAATATTATTTTTTTATAACAATTTGTTAAGTGCAAAGATCGATATCATTACAAACTGTGCTTCGCTAAGACCTACGTTATTATTGAAGCAGCACTCGGATCGATGCCTAACATTTATGTAAATAGTGTTTTCCATATTGAATATACAGTATATCTAAATGTTACATCTAAAACTGGACATCGAAATTAGTGTGAATTATGTTGCCATTCAGCGTACATTAACAGTCTACCAATACTCTTATTATTTAAATTACCGCTCTGAAATCGGATTTGTCAACAATCTACTAATGCAACTCGCGCATACAAACTGTTGTTCTGATACCAATTTCACTACGGGGCAGAACAAGTATAAAGCGAATGCTAAATAAATCGATACAAATATCTCTTAATTACAATTCAAACATTCGATAATATGATAGTGTAAAAGATTGGAATTTGTGACCTCGATTGCTGTAACTCCCAACAAGATACGTTATTATATAGGTACTTCGCAAGACCGTGGTCACCTTATTTTTTTTTAACAATATAAAAAATGAGACGGTATAGATTTTTTTTAATAATTTGTAGTTATATGTCACATGCACTACAAATATTTGATACAAATAAAATAAATATGTATATTTATCAATGTAAAAATACTATCCATTTTTATCAATTAGTATGGTATAGATAGATTATATACTATATTACTGCTCCGCTTAGGTAGTAGCATGACCATATATAGCCTTCTTCAATAAACGAGCTATCTAATGCAAAAAGATTTTTTTAAATCGGATTAATAGTTCCTGAGATTAGAGCGTTCAAACAAACAAACTGCCTCTTTATAATATTAGTATAGATTGAAAACATAAAATCATTAATAAAATAATAGGATTTAGTTAATGAGGGGCATATCTACTTTATATCTTTGGATTCTCCCCGACCAATAAAACACAGTTCTATAATAACCTTACTGTATAGAGCTCATGTTATAATTTTTTTCACAGGGGCAGTGCGATGCGAGGATGAAACTATTGGACCTATATTCATGAAGGAACCCCCGAACCGAGTAGATTTTAGCAACACGACTGGAGCGGTAGTAGAATGCGCTGCCCGAGGATCCCCCGCCCCCGACGTCATTTGGGTTCGAGCTGATGGTACTGCGGTTGGTGATGTTCCCGGACTGCGACAGGTATATTTACTTTATTCTCTACTACATTTCACTTCACGAAACACCTTTGGAAATAAGGTGTGGATTTTATTGATTTTCCGATTGAAATTAAGCCATCGTTGATATTGCATTAAAATATCTAGAAAATCAGTTTAGCAACTATCAAAGTACAGACTTTTAACATACGTATATATAAAAATAAAGTAAACAGTAAAAAAGGTATACATATTACATGTACGTCTTTCTCATTAGTCTATTTTTAAATACTTCCTTTTAAATAAATGCCTCCCTTTTAAAATTATAGAATAACTTTTTAACAATATAGGTGCACCAATTCAAAATTTTATATTATATTAAAATATACTTTTTTCTTGTAATTTATGGTGTAATAATAAAATAATTAAATCACATTTCGCAAAAAAAATCGCTTAACACAAGAAACACCTGAACTGTGTACTGCCTGGATTTTTAAAAGTTGGTCTGAAATATTAGCTCTGTATATTATTTTAAAATATAATTTTTGCGTCAGGTTTTACCTAATGGAAATCTGGTGTTCCCTCCATTCCGAGCGGAAGATTACAGACAGGAAGTGCACGCTCAGGTTTACGCTTGCCTTGCTAGGAACCCAGTCGGAACTATTCACTCAAGGGACGTTAATGTACGAGCTGGTAAGTTGAGACTTGTCAATAGATAGTCTATGATTCTTTATTATTGAAAAAAATAATACGTCGGAAATAATTTATATCTATACATATAATAAAATTGTAACTAAGCCGAATCTGTACATTAATATCGATACAGAAATAAACATTATTATCGATACAGAGGCCAAATCTAGTTTTTAGAATTTTTGTTTGTCTGTCTGTCTGTTACCGCATCACAGAAAAACCACTGGAGGGATTATGATGAAATTTGGTATGGTGATAGCTGGTTATCCGGGTCAACATATAGGATACTTTTTACTGCGGAAAAATATCTCATTTCTGAGAAAAAATACAAAAACTGTAATGTAAGAGTATACTAATATGTAAAACCTAAGAATTTGGTTTTTGGTCATCTGAACGCGGGCGGAGCCGCAGGCAATGCTAGTGTGTTATAATATTTATCATTTTATTGGCACAGACGAGAGAAAAATGTTTTTTTTTTAATATTATATTTTTAATGTTAAAACTTATTGATTAACAATAAGGTTGATATTTGCCTCAAGTGAAAAAAATATTTGCTTGTAAACAAACTTAAACATTAAACACTTTCCTCGTTTTAAATGTCTACATAATTTAATAAATAAACCATGATTTGGGTTTTTTGTAACAATATTTAAGTCATATTTATTTTCAATAAAAAGCTCTGAACGGATTTCCTTTTGATATTATTGAATTAATATTAAAAATATTTTTTTAATTATAACTAGGTTATCGTGAATATTGAAACATTTCCACTGCTTTCTACTGCCTACAGTCACGGGTTCAATTCCTGTTTGATGCAAGTGGTTGAATGACTATATAGATGTGTTTTGCTATTGCTATATATCGTTCTGTATCGTAATATTGGAGGTTATAACCAAGTAAATATTATTTACTAAGTTCTACATGTAGGAAAACGAAAGAGAGCAAAATGGAATGAATCTTGTAAAGCGATTATTCTAACATTATATAAGAGGTTATACCATAATTATAGAGACTACGTTTGGAACTATTTAGTTCAATTATCATATTAGGCTTTGCCTGTTTTGATGATAAAAATCTATTGCAGAGACTAGTGACTTATGAGTTATGACGTGCCTTTTAAGAATCTTAATTTTAATTTCAATTTTGTCTTAATTAAAGTTACAATTATGAAAGTAATATCATAGAGTTAAATTTAATCCTACAGCCGTGGCCCACTCTGCCGGTTGACTTATGACCCTGGCTTATTTGTCATTCGATATACTACTGCAGCGATAATGTATACTTTATTACAATTAGATTTGATGTAAAATCTGATTCAAATATTCTATACCACAATAATGAAGAAGATTAAAAATACTATTATTAAAAATTCATTAAATTTCATTCATGTAGTTTTACCTTTAACTTTCAGTTTTCACTAAAGCAACATGCTAACATTCTAATATGAAGTCATTCTAATCTGTCAGAGCAGAGGAAATATAGTATTTTATAAATGCCCTGCCGTCAAGTGCCTTGCCCTTTTTATGACTGAGGGCTCAATAAGGTCAATTAAATAATCAGCCGTGAACGATAGAGTCAATTTAACTGCACGTAGCTATATTATTATTGTTATATTACAAAAAACTATAATTGTAGATTTTTCGGTAGGTAGTCAACTTATTACAAGTATGTTGGTGCGTGACATCTAATAGTCATACTCGTATAATTGAAACTAGATAGATCTCAGATAAAATAGTAAAAGTTTTAATGTTGACGTACATATGTACCTACATATATGCTTCCAATACTTATTTTACTATTTGTTTATTTTACGAAATGTTAAGTTAATCTATACATATAATAAAATTCTAACTAAGCCGAATCTGTACAATAAATATTTTTTGGAAAATATTATTAAAATAGATATTATTATCGATACAGAGGCCGAATCTATAGTTTTTAGATTTTTTGTCTGTCTGTATGTCTGTCTGTTTGTTACCGCATCACGGAAATACCACTGGAGGGATTTTGATGAATTTTAGTATGATGATAGCTGGTTATTCGGGTCAACATATAGGATAATTTTTACCGCGGGAAAATATCTCATTTCTGAGAAAAAATACAAAAACTGCAATGTAAGAGTATACTAATATGTAAAACCTAAGAATTTGGTTTTTGGTCAACGGGGGCGGAGCCGCGCGCAATACTAGTATTATATATAATAGTTAAATAAATACTTAAATACGTTATGTAATATTTTTAAGTGGATAATCGCTTTACAAATTCTTCACAAAACTTTTACATTTGAAAAAAGTAATGTTGATAATATTCTATTAACGCTTACATGCGTGTATAGTCCTTTGAACAAAAAAGTAAAAAAAGTAAAAGTGTTTAAAACAAAAGGCGGCTTCGACGAGCCGTGAATAATAATTTATGAAGTGGGTAATCGTTGATCTTATTTCGTAACGTATCATAACTATTGAAAACATTTTAGATTTGGAGGAAATATATACACATAGTATGTACTTTGCATTTTGCATAATTGGAAACATAATTTCTGAATTGTACTAATAATTAATCGTTATAATTTTATTTTCTGTCTATTATTACAAACTAAAAATAATACTATTTGAAAAGAAAATATAAAATTTTACAATTTTTTACAAATAAATCAGTGGTCGCCCAGCATTATGATACCGATGTAAACAAGGAATATGTCATAATGGGAAACAGCATTATACTTAAATGTCAGGTTCCGTCCTTTGTTGCCGACTTCATCGAAGTATTGTCATGGCACACTAATGAAAATGAAGATTTTTATCCAGGAGAAAACTATGGTTAATGCATACTTTTGATGCTTTTTCCTTCTTCCGTTCTTCCCATTCCAACAAATAAAAATAACTTCACAGTTGTACAGCAGCAATATGAATCCGAAGTTAATAATGAATATGTAATTCGAGGAAATTCAGCAATCCTTAAATGCTCCATACCGTCGTTCGTAGCTGATTTTGTCAATGTAATATCATGGCAGGATGAAGCCGGAAATTCATTTACTTTAAATGGAAGCAAGGATGGCGAGGGTAAACTTAGTAGACCGAAAATTAAAGACCACAATCCCTACCAAAAGTTCCTTAAAACATAAAAATATATATATTACAGTTGTTACACAGTATTATGAAGCAGAAGTAGTGTCAGAATATGTTATAAGAGGCAATACAGCAGTATTAAAATGCAACATCCCATCTTTCGTCGCCGATTTCGTTAAAGTAGAAGCATGGGTCGACTCTGACGGAGGCGAATATTTGCTTACCGATGACATCGGTAGGATTTTATCATCTTCCTTAAAGGATACCATCCAAAAAATTCTGCCCTTAACAACCTTTATCATTTCCTTAATTTATCCTAAAATTTTTAAAAAGCACTTTGGTTAAAGTAGACTCAAATTTTTTCAGTTGTAAATCAGTTTTATGAAGCAGAAATCTTGACAGAATACGTTATACGTGGAAATGCGGCTGTTTTAAAATGTTCAATTCCTTCTTTTGTCGCGGATTTTGTGAAAGTAGAAGCATGGATTGATGAAGAAGGAACTGTCATTAAGCAATCTGAAGATCTTGGTATAAATCGTCTAAGCATCTAAAAACCCCCCTTTTTCAATGTCTGTCCTGTAACATCCGAATTTCCATTCGAAATCCTTTATTTATCATTATTCTTTAGTTGTCTCACAGCATTACGATACCGAAGCTGAAAATGAATATGTGATTAGAGGGAACAGTGCTATCGTTCACTGCAAGATTCCTTCATTTGTTAGTGATTTCGTTTATGTGGAATCTTGGCTCATGGATGATGGGGAGATACTTACAATTAACAATACAAATATATCAGATGGTACTTATTTACAATCAAGCTATAGCTTTTAATTATTCCAACATCCTATTCTTTATCCTATAACCATATTTTATATTGAAATATTAATTTTCTTAATTAGTGGTGTCACAGCCATATGAAGCTGAAGCTGACAATGAATATGTTATTCGCGGAAATGCGGCTATAATGAAATGCGAAGTACCGAGTTTTGTCTCAGATTTCGTGTTTGTTGAAATGTGGACAGACAGTGATGGTGGAACCTACTACCCTGGAAAAGACGAGGGTAACACCCCGATAAATATCATATGCCCGTCTCCTTTAATTCCTTTCTTTTGCAACAGCCGTGCTTCAAGCGTATGAAGTTAGAGTCAATGATGAATTTGTTTTGCGAGGAAACACAGCTATCTTGAAATGCATCGTGCCTTCCTTTGTAGCCGATTTTGTTAATGTCGCAGCGTGGCTAATGGATAACGAAACTATTATCCCTGATGAAAGTGCAAATATAGATTCCGGTATTAATTAAAAGTTCATTTTTCAAACTTCTTCTCCTACCTCCCGCATCCAAAATATTTAATCATTGATTTAATGTGATAACATTTCACATTTTACAGTAGTCCATCAAAATTACGAACCACGTGTTATAGATGAAGATGTTCTTCGTGGGAACTCGGCTATAGTCAAATGCTCTATACCGTCATTTGTATCAGATTACGTGCATGTTCTGGAATGGGTAACGGACGAAGAGTCCCTCTCTGCGTTTTCGTTGAATGACTCTGAGGGCAATTACGGTAATCGAGATCGCCCGCGCGACCCCAATTGTTCCTATCCGCTCTCCATAATACCCTCGGGCTACTAAATTTATAATTCATTGTCGTTAAATTTTGTTACAATAAATTTCAGCTGTTAACCAATTCTACGAATCGCAAGTTTACGATATATACGTCATACGCGGTAATGCCGCCGTATTCAAATGCCACATCCCATCGTTTGTGTCCGATCACGTGCAAGTTGTTTCTTGGCATGACAGTGAGGGTGGAGAGTTCTTGGTAGATACTAACTATGGTATATTTATTACAAAACTTTTTAAAAATGTTCCCTGGGATCCCTCCTTTAAAATATTACAATATTATCAACAATTTACTAAGGTGATTATTTCGTACGTTGATTAGATTTTGTTTGGTATTTCAGTTGTTTCGCAAGCTTACACGGTTAATTTAGTTGAAGAAAATGTATTACGAGGGAATGCTGCAATTTTCAAATGTTTAATCCCAAGTTTTGTGACAGAGTACGTTCATGTCGCTTCTTGGATAATCTCAGAAGGAGACGATGAAACAGAAATCAAATTAAATGATACTGTTAACACCATGGGTATCATATGATTAAATTTTAAAAATCCTTTTCCAAAAGTTTCTCCACCACCGACCTTCTTTCACTTTAACCAGTAATTAATATTGCAATTATACTTGCAGTCGTTACTCAAGCTTATACTGTTAACCTAATGGAAGAGAGTGTTTTACGTGGTAATGCTGTGATACTCAAATGTCATATCTCTACCTTCGTTACTGAATATGTCAGCGTATCATCTTGGATTATTTCGGAAGCCGATACTGATGTATTAGAAATTAAAGCAGAATCGTCGTTTGATTTGGGTACTTTTATTTTTAGGGCATTATTTGGATTATCCTTTTCCTTTCCACACGAAATACATTGTTACCCTATTCTTAGTGCATCGTTATAATGTTTCAGTTGTTTCTCAAGCTTATACTGTTAATCTAATGGAAGAAAATGTTTTACGGGGAAACTCTGCAATTGTTAAGTGTCATATACCAAGCTTTGTTTCGGAATATGTAAGTGTCTCTTCATGGATTATTTTCGAAGGAGATATTGAAGAAAAAGAAATTAATGGCACTGGATTTAATAACTTGGGTATATTAATAATTCGTTAGGTACACGACCTGCCTTCCTTCCCAGTCCTTTCATTAGAAACACATTATTATTATATATTATCCTATCATTAATATAATCTTTCAGTTGTCTCTCAATCCTACACCGTCAATCTTTGGGAGGAAAACGTTTTACGAGGCAATTCTGCGATACTTAAATGTCATATCCCAAGTTTTGTTTCCGAGTATGTTACAATTAGTTCTTGGATAATTTCCGAAGGAGAAAATGACGAAATGGATATAAACTTAGATTCTGATTTTAAATTGGGTAACATTTTCATTGTTTATCCGATCCTATCCTATTTCCTTTATTATCAGTTCGTTAGACGATGGTACCATGTTCAAATTTAAAAAGCTTATAAAAGTCGAAAATATATGTATTTATCTGTTAAAAAATAAAAATTCGATTTCCAGTCGTGTCTCAAGCTTACGATGTAAAATTTTGGGAGGAATACGTCTTGCGTGGAAACGCTGCTATACTGAAATGTCAAATCCCAAGTTTTGTTTCTGAATATGTATCAGTTTCGTCGTGGATAATATCTGAAGATTCAATCGAAAAAGAAATTAAAGTAGATGATTCTTCTGACTTAGGTATACTACTGACTCCATTAAGCCCAATATATCCGTACAATAAAATTTCTTTTCCCGGCCTTCCTTTCCTATCCCTAATCTTTTTTTTTTATTAGCGAAGCGTTACATAATCAAAAGAAAAAAAATTGATTCATAATGACTGACGATATACTTCAAAAGTTATTTTCATTGGCTAAAATTGCCAAGCTTCCTTATTCTTACATTAGGTTATGTTGTTTCAGTGGTTTCACAAGCATATGCTGTAAATCTTATGGAAGAATATGTCCTTAGAGGAAACGCAGCGATTTTAAAATGCCATATACCAAGCTTTGTGTCGGAGTACGTGACAGTTGTATCATGGATTGTGAGTGAAGGCGCAGAGGAGGTTGAAATTAATCTTGATTCTAATCATAATTTAGATGGTACGATGTATATTGCATAATAATATTATCGCGAGCATAATATATTTACATACTCCTATGGTTCTCTGGTTTTATATTTATAGTTAGGGCGTTGGTTAGAATGGGCTTACCTTTTTCCATGGACCTCACGGTCTACCTTATCCATTTTTCCTCCTTCCTTAGGTTAATGCATGTTATGAAATTTGTAAGTAAAACAACCTTAAGTTGTGCTGCTAGTAAAAAGAAAAAAATAAGGTGGCTTCAATGTTATTTGTATTTAAGTTAACGCTACATTTTTCCTATATTGATTTGCTATCTTTCAGAGGGAAAATACTTAGTACTTCCATCTGGTGAATTACACATTCGTGATGTTGGACCCGAGGATGGTTATAAATCATACCAATGCAGAACTAAGCATAGACTGACAGGAGAAACTCGTTTATCAGCTACCAAAGGGCGTCTTGTTATTACCGGTAAGTGAAATATGCATTATGATGATTTTTAAACGCGCGATTAATTCATATCGTGTTATAATATCATACTTAAATGTCGTTATTTTATTTTGAATGATACGATAATAACAAATCATCTATTATAATTTTTGAATTAATAGCGCTTTTCAATTTTAACAATAAAAATGACACTTATCTTTGCTCAATTCTTATTAGATTTACATTGTTAGAATATTAAATACAGTTTTATGCACACATAGTACATTTTTTAACGTTAACATCTTGTAAAGGAGAATATTTTAAAATTTTAATGATTATTATTTTCTCTTATTGCATTACTTAGTGAAACTGAAAATATTTTTTTTTACTAATGTATTTTTATAAAGTAATTATAATCTCACTTTCTAAACTATATTAGTAAAATAATATTTACTATTAATTTACTTTTATTAAAAAACGAACTGTTTCGAAATCTGAGATTATAATATATTTTTTTTAAATTAGCTTTATGTGTGACAAAAAGAAGTTTATAAATATAAAACAAGCTTATATTTATAAGTTTTTAAGTTTAAACTTGCCTGAATGTTGGGATAGGGTACCCTGCAGAGCCTTAACTACTGACAACTTCAGATTAAATTCTTAGATTTGATAGACATGTGTAGGGGTTTATCAGGGCGCTTTTCGATCTGATCTCCATTCCTTCTACATCCGCCTTCTCCCAACATGATTCCTAGCAGACGACGAGCCACAGAAATTACCAGCTTTGCCGATCTACCTATATGCCGGTAAGATACTTGAAATTAATGGCATTTTGCGTGATTTCTCAGAGCCAATAGGCCGAGTGCCACCTAAGTTCTCTACTACTCAAGTGGGCGCGATGTATATAGCCAAGTTGGACGCGACATATTCGTTACAGTGCCCAGCTCAGGCTTTCCCTGTCCCCGTGTTCAGGTAACTTCTATCTTCATAGGTCCCTCATTAAATTCTTGATAAAATCAATTCTAGAACCGGTCGGACGCGTCTCCCCTAAATTTGCTACAATGTTAACCGGCACAATGTTCGAAGTTAGGAAAAATGACAGTTACGCACTTCAGTGCCCCGCCCAAGCGTTCCCGACCCCATTATTCAGGTAAAATATTAAACTCTATCCGCAATTACAATGTCATTACTGTCTTTAGAACCAGTCGGCCGCGTATCGCCTAAATTTGCATCTGTTGTTATGGGTACGATGATTGGAGTGAAGAAACATTACTCATTTGCTTTGCAATGCCCCGCTCAAGCATTTCCAGTCCCAATTTTCAGGTATTTATAATGATTATATGTCATTATCCATAGCATTGAATTTGTTATACTAGTGTAACACTTTGCTTCAGAACCTATGGGGAAAGTATCACCGAAGTTTCCAAGTTTAGAAAAAAGTCGACTCTTTAATTTCGATAGTAATCAAACTATATCAATCTTATGTCCCGCTCAAGCATTCCCTGCCCCAATGTTTAGGTAAGATTCTAATGAATATCGTTCCCATATGTAGAATAGAATAAATGTTCTAGTGTTTATGTCACCTTTTACTATTATTTATAAACAGAACCTATGGGCAAAGTGTCACCGAAATTTCCATCAATAGAAACTGGACGCAGTTATACTTATTCTTCTAATACCTGTGTGACTCTACTTTGCCCGGCTCAAGCTTTTCCAACTCCATTGTTCAGGTATTTTCTATACATATTTATAAACTTATGTTCTTAGAGCCAGTTGGGCGAGTTTCACCCAAATTTCCTTCGATGGATAGTTCAAGAAGTTTTAGCGCGGTGTGTAATGCCAGCCTGACAATATTATGTCCAGCCCAAGCGTTCCCAGTCCCATTATTCAGGTAAATTAATCGATAAAAGGTGTTTGTAATAAATCATTTATTCATAGAGCCAGTGGGTCGCGTTTCGCCTAAATTTACCACTACCGATAAAAGCCGCGCCTTCGACGCTAAGGAAAGCGAAAATGTCACAATTTTGTGTCCCGCGCAAGCTTTTCCTGCCCCAGCTTTCAGGTATATTTTACTGTTAAATATACTTTATAGTCTTACATTATTTTTCTTTAGAGCCAATGGGTAGCGCCGCTCCGAAATTGGCCTGGAAAATGATCGATATTACAGAAGCTTCGATAAATGAAAGTTGTACATTACTTTGCATTGCCCAGGCATTTCCTGTCCCAATATTCAGGTAAAAGCGCTATTTTATTTTTTCTCAATCGATTTGTATGTTTGTGTATAGAACCCGTAGGAAGAGTCCCTCCGAAGTTCCCTACTCTGGATAATGTTAGAGGCTTCAGTACACTTATTAATTCAAGTGTGACATTATTGTGTCCCGCCCAAGCGTTCCCAGTACCTTTGTCCAGGTAATTTTTTATTAAAAAACGATATTTTCTTTTAGAACCAATTAATAGTGCCCCACCAAAAGTTCCAACTAAAACCATAGAATTTGTGGAATTTGCTATGAACTCCAGCATTACATTGCTTTGTTTGGCTCAAGCGTATCCAGTCCCAGTATTTCGGTGAGTTCATTTATGTGAAATGCTTAATACTCTGATGATCGAAACCCCTACGTTATCTATACAAACAGCTAATTGAAGGAAATTTGAAAAGAATTTAATGTAAGCAAGTAAGCCATAGATTAATACTACTTACGTAAAATATTATTACATTTTTAGAACCTATTGGCTCCAAAAGCCCTTCATTTTCAAGTGGTTCCAAACTAGCCTGGTTTGAAATATCAGCTTTGCAAGACTTTGCTCTTTTATGTCCGGCGCAAGGGTTTCCTGTCCCAGTTTTTAGGTGAGAATTAAACCAATAAGTTTAAAATACATTTTTCAGAACCAATCGTATCCAAACCTCCTACTTTATCAACTGATGATAAATTCGCATGGTTCATTAATAGACTTGTAGAAAATGATTTGGCCTTACTTTGCCGGGCGCAGGGATATCCTATACCTGTATACAGGTATATCATTTGTCAATACTACATTACATATACGTATATTTGCATTCTCAATTTTAGAACCTATCGGATCTAAGTCACCTACATTTTCAACTGATGACAAGCTGTCTTGGTATGTAAGGACAGTTGCTCAAAGTCTAAATCTATTGTGTCCGGCCCAAGCGTTTCCAGTACCCGTTTTCAGGTGATTAAATAAAAAATATTTCTTATTATAGAACCCGTCGGCTCTAAATCTCCTACATTCTCTAATGATGTCCAATTTTCTGGAATAACTCGTAAAACTGGTCAAGATTTTGCGCTTTTGTGTCAAGCCCAAGCTTTTCCTGTCCCATTATTCAGGTAAGATTACGTTATTGCCAATCAAATTTTGTAACATTTACGAAATATTTGACGCAGAACCTATTGGATCTAAGGCGCCAACATTTTCACTGGAATTTAAAAGTACTACACTTACGAAAATATCTGATCAAGCACTTGTTTTACTATGTCAAGCTCAATCACATCCTCCTCCTGTTTTCAAGTGAGTGCTCTATAATATTCTCTTTTGTTATATTTTTTTCATTCAGAGCCAGTATCAGCCAGAGCACCCACATTCCCCACTTCTGCGTCCTCTTACAATTATGATATTGAGGCAGGCTCTGGGGGTTCTGTTCTATGTCAGGCACAGGGATACCCTCAGCCAATGTTCAGGTGGGTGTTTCACAAGACACTATATTAATATATATACTTTTAGAACCTATCGGCGCCAAAGCTCCTTCTTTTTCCACTGATTCCAAAGGCAGTATTTTTATTCGAGAAAAGGGTCAAAATTTCGCTTTGTTATGTCAAGCACAAGCGTCTCCTATTCCTATTTATAGGTAAGTGGGATGAAATGAATGTTGTTTTCCTTCTACAGAACCCGTTGGTTCGAAACCACCGACCTTCCCCAATGATTTAACTTCTTCAGCTGTTACGAGACACAAGGATCAACACTTTTCCATGACATGTCAGGCCCAAGCATTTCCTTTACCAATATTCAGGCAAGTGTTTGAACTACATATGTATAAGAAAGAGATTTGAATTTATTTCACCATTATCAAATATTTAAATGAGGTTTGCTAGCATACAAGCATAAGTAATTTATTTCGGCGCGCAGTTCAATGATGTATTCTTCTTTATTTTATTGATAATTATTCTTCTTTATTGTATGCACCATTCGGTCAGTTGTTGTCTCTAAAGTTCCTGCTCCATCAACTATAACTTAATTTAGATTATTTTCTGCAGAGCCGGTTGGATCGAAGGCTCCGTCTTTTTCATCTGAGTCTGCTCTTTCGTCTATTAAAAGGCATGAAACTCAAAGTTTTGCTCTTCTTTGTCAAGCCCAGGCTTTTCCCGTACCGATATTCAGGCAAGTTTATAAATTTATACAATTTTCCATATGTATTCTATGTAAATTTTATAGAGCCAGTGGGCGCTAAATCTCCGACATTTTCATCTGAATCAATGGGAAGCATTTTTAGAAAACGTATTGGACAAGGCTTCGCCCTTCTTTGTCAGGCACAAAGTTATCCTGCCCCAGTTTTCAGGCAAGTTACCATTAATGTCAGCATCTAGTCTAACGTTCTTTTCAAACTGCAGAACCGGTTGGCTTCAAAGCACCTACATTCTCAACGGACTCTCGTAGTAGTACTTTCATACGAACACTAAATCAAAATTTTGGGCTATTATGTCAAGCTCAAGCATTTCCTGTTCCTATATTCAGGCAAGTTGTTTATATTTTGCGTTTAATGTTAATATGATATAAACATTGTAAGTTTATTATTTTATCGGTTACAATTGATGATTGTGGGTTTGTAAGGTTATAAGTAAAATATTTCTCCAGAGCCTATTGCCAGCGCAGCACCAAGTATAACTTCAACACAAAAAGCTGCTGTTCATTTCTCCCATAATACTTCATTAGCTCTCTTGTGTCCAGCGCAAGGATTTCCTGTACCAGTATCAAGGTGCGTTTACCAATTATCTTGAATATTACAGAGCCTACAAATAAAATTGCGCCTCGAAACGACAAAAGCCGTAAATTTGAAGGTGGTGAAATATTTTTAGTTTCCAAAACAGAATCAGTATATCTCACTTGTGAAGTAGCCGCTTATCCTCCTCCGATTTTTAGGTAAGTTGTTATCCTATGGAAAAGTAAAATATCTTATATTGGGAGTTTGAGGTATAGGTGCGTTGTCATTGAACTTATTTGAATTCCATTCACATTCGCTAAAAGAAGCCTCTGTCATTATTACAGAGCCAACAAATAAAATAGCTCCTAGAAAAGATTCCACCATAAACTTCGAAGGTTGGGAAGTTTTGTTCGTGCCTCGAAATGATGTAGCGTATTTGAAATGCCAAGTAGCCGCTTTCCCAGTTCCCGTGTATAGGTGAGTGTAGGTATTTTTGTCATAGTTGGTTTATATTCCAGAACCGTCGGGTAGGACCAGGCCGAAAGTGACAGGAGATGGGCTTAACCGTCAAATAGGGTTGGGTGCGGAAAATCTCGCGTTACTTTGTGAAGTCCAAGCGTTTCCAGCGCCTCTGACAAGGTACGGCCTCGCATCGTGTAGGCCGGCCGTTGGCATCTCACGCATTCATCTTTCACGTAGAATCATACCATTCCAATGTATTGATATGCGTGTTTATTGCAGTCTGCTGCGCCACGCGAGACATGAAGGCGTGATGAACCGCGGCCGGCTTTTTTACGATCAGCCAAAGTAACGATTGAGCAACGTAAGCACCTCCTGGTAAGTGACAGGGTGTTCTTGCTTTCATTCAGACGCTTTAATCTTTACTTTGTGCTTCACGTGAACCGTAGCTGTGCTATGTCTTATTGCCCTATTCGGAGATGATCTCCTATTTTCCTAGTGGTTTCATGTGATAGCTTTTCGTAATTCGCTTCGAAAGAAAAAAATAATTTAGGCATTAAGTGTTATTTTTTTGGAGGTTTTATCAGTCTTCATTAAAACGTGTCCTTGTTTGGGAAATTGGCACATCTAACTGTGCGCTGTTGGCTAACATCGCTTGTTTTCAAAATCTTCACATTTTTTATAATACACCTCAGTCAATTTTAAATTGTTAACAATAAATATTTTTATAATTATTGCCAACTTAATTTTTTTTTCATTGTTCATAAGGCATAGTTTTAAATTTTTAAAATAAATAAGTTTACTGAAATAAACATTTTGTTTGCTCGATTTTTTTTAATCTCTATTGTAATAAAACATTTTAAGGAGGACTTTTTGGGTATTTATTATGTATTTTATATTGTAAAATGGGCTATGTGCTAAATCTGTTCTCAATTGTTACAGATGGTACAAATTTATCGATGGCTCAGCTCGAAAACAACCAGTTGTTCTGAATGACAGAGTAAAGCAAGTGTCAGGAACCCTTATCATTAAAGAAGCTAAAGTAGAGGATTCCGGCAAATATTTGTGCGTTGTAAACAATTCCGTTGGAGGTGAGTAAATAAATAATTTTTTTACATGCTATAAACTTTAAGACTATACCGCGCTATTGAGTTTGGTGTTGAACTACAAAAAATATTTAAAAATAATTCTGAAATATGTTTTTCAATACTTCCAGGTGAATCCGTTGAAACTGTATTGACTGTGACTGCTCCATTGAAAGCTACTGTCGAACCCGCGACCCAAACCGTGGACTTTGGACGCCCAGCCGTATTCACCTGCAGATACGAAGGCAATCCCGTCAAAACTATCACTTGGTTGAAAGATGGAAAGGACATGAACCATCATGACCCCATTCTTAGGTACAATAATTTCTATATTCATTAACAAAATTAAGCAACTACTTAACATAACTACTTAACTTTCTTTTATCTTCTTCTTTTTTTAGTACTTTTTACTAGTTAAATATAAAAAAACATATATATAAATACAAGTAATTAAAAACTCAAATCTTAATTCATTTCGATATATTACCTCTAAATGTTTATAAGCCAAAAATATTATCTTGTATTTTACTATTTACAGGATTGAATCGGTAAAGAAGGAAGACAAGGGAATGTACCAATGCTTTATCAGAAATGATCAGGAGAGTGCCGGTGCTAGCGCTGAATTGAAACTTGGAGGACGATGTATGTACTGAAAGAACGATTCAAATACATTTATATAAATAAAAATTGAATGCCATTTGTTAATAAAAACATAACTTGAGAATGGCTGAATCGATTTGTTTTATAGTTTTTTAATATATTCGCAATAATTTGAATAACAGTAGAGAACAACTCTTTTCACTACCATAGGTACTATGAGTGTTACAGAATTTTTATATGAACCTAAATACCACAAAAAAATATATTAAAATGACATGACAACGTCTCTCCGATCAGCTAGTTAATCAATAATAAAAAAAATAGATTTCTAAAAATATACAATTTAAGTAATACCTACCAAAAAAGTTTTGGAGATTTCGATGTGAAATACATTGTATGTCGATTAGGGTATAATATTAACACATTTTTTTGTCCCAATCGTACCCTTTTAAGTTTAATCATACACACAGATATACTAACTCCATTAGACATACGAGCGTGTAGACATATAGTTTATATCTCTTTTGAAACGTACATTAAATCAAATGTATGTTTATATACTTCCAGTCGAACCACCTCAAATCCGTCACAGTTTTGGCGAGCAAACTCTCCGCTCGGGCCCCTCTCTCCGTCTCAAATGCGTCGCGTCCGGCAACCCCACCCCCGACATCGCCTGGCAACTCGACGGAGAGAAACTCAACAGCGGAGAGAGATTACAGATTGGACAATTTGTTACTGCCGACGGAAACGTAGAATCTCATCTGAATATCTCGTCCGTACACACTAATGATGGAGGATTATACTCTTGCATCGCTTCTAGCAAGGTAATTTATGCAAATTAGAAGGTATCATAATCTATGGTAATTCTAATTTGTTATAAGTTGCCCCTTAATACTTTCTTAGATTTACGCGAATATTTAACATTTTAAATAAAACTATCTTTTCGGATTTTGTCGCGGATTTATTTGGATCTTTGTTTCCCGACGTTTCGAATGCTTTACAGCATTCATGGTCACGGGAGAGACTGAGGTGTTACATGTCTCGAAGGTATAGTTGTTACGGACAGCCTACCCACAATTAACAAAATGAAAATTTCACTAATTACCTTACAATATTTTTTAACTTTAAACATTTTTATGATTTAAAAAAAAATATATATCTAAATGTTTAAAGTTAAAAAATAGTGTAAGGTAATTAGTGAAATTTTCATTTTGTTAATTGTGGGTAGGCTGTCTGTAACAACTATACCTTCGAGACATGTAACACCTCAGTCTCTCCCGTGACCATGAATGCTGTAAAGCATTCGAAACGTCGGGAAACAAAGATCCAAATAAATCCGCGACAAAATCCTAAAAGATAGTTTTATTTAAAAAGTTGCCCCTTGTATGTATAGAAAGTTACTAATACGCTTTATTTTTATTCCGGTTATAATTTTTTGATTTTATTTTCCATTTGGAATATAAAATATTTATAAAATGCATACAGGTAGATATTTCATATTATAGTTGAAAACATTATGATAAAATTCGTTACCCGTAGACATAAAGAATACGAATTTAAATGGCGGCATAATACTTACAGGTGCATTTAAATATGAGCAGTGTTGGTATATTATATTACTTTATTATAATATTCAATTATTTGTCTGCACAAAATCTGACTAAACGTCCCTCTTTTCCTTGATAAAAAGGTAGCTTTGACATAAATTTGCCATACATTACCTTGTAGGTTGGAAGCGCGTCTCACTCTGCCCGCGTCAACGTGTACGGCTTGCCCTACGTCCGCCCCATGAAGAAACGCCCCGTCGTCGCCGGAGACACCCTCATCGCCCACTGCCCTGTCGCCGGATATCCTATTGATTCTATCGTGTGGGAACGTGATGGACGGTAAATATTGGGACAAATATAAATAAATATATTGGGACATTTAAAACACAGCGCCATCTAGTTCCATAGTAAGCTACGAGGCTTGTGTTATGGATATCAGACAGTTGATACACTACATATATATATATATATATATAAATTTGAATACATACATATTACAAATATAAAAACCCGTGAATGGAGTACAAACATTCGTGCGCATCACATAAATGAATGCCCCTAGCGGGACTGGAACCCGCGACCGCTAGCACAGCAAGTAGGGTCACTACAAACTATTATTTTTTCTTAACATAACAAAAATATAAACAATTGCAGCGTCCTCCCAATCAACCGCAAGCAGAAGGTATTCCCCAATGGCACGCTTGTGATCGAGAACGTAGAGCGCATGAGCGACCAGGCCACGTACACGTGCGTCGCGAAGAACTCGCAGGGCTACAGCGCGCGCGGCACACTCGAACTGCAAGTCATGGGTAAGACTTATTATTATTATTATTATATGATTAGAGATAGGAGGAACGGAGATACATTGCTAAGAGTATAAACTATTTGTATTTGATTAATTTAAAGTCCATGTTGTAAGGAATTTCGTTTAAATTTTTATAGATTATAAATATATTGCATTGCAGTCAGTTGGTTAATAAAAAATCATATTCTGTGGAGTTTAATTTTTTTTTATTATTTATCTATGCAAAGTCTGTTCCTCTTTGCTCTAGACATTGAATAAACTTGTGGTAGACTTTTAATGTGTGCTTTGGAGCTTAGGGTCCGTTATCTGCGTAAACTATAATTGAGTAATAATATTTTACTTGTGTATCCAATTCTAATATTTCGATTATATTTTACATATTTGCATTATACAAATATGCACATAAAAATATAAGTTAACGCCAAAGCACACAAAATTAAATTTACTTATTAATTGTCGGATTTTATGTACATGCAGCAAAAAATGTTATTTCATTTTGCTTTAAGCAAATAACTTTACAAAACTTCTAAAAATAAGCTGCATTTATCTAAAATTCATATGAATACAAACACTATTGTGAAAGAGTTTATTACTTATTGCTCCAATTTTAAAAATAATTGTTTATATTGATTATTATCACAACTCTACAAAATCTTTGAAAAGAGGAAAAAAATATTCCTTAACTTTTGTTTTAGAAATGTTTATTTCTAATTTTTCAGCTTTGATTTTCTAAACTGATTTTGCATCAATTTCTACATTAACAAATTTATTTCATCACTTTTAAACTATAAATAAAGTAACTTAAACTAAATAATTTAAAAATTGATATTATAAATTCTAAGTTATTTGGAGTAACAAGCAATATCACTGAGTCATAACATGCAAGAATTTCAGGATTCTTATGTTTAAAATTTATAGAAATTCTTTATTTCATATACATAATTAATAGTTTGTGTATACTCAGTGACTCTTTAAAAGTATTGTCACGAACTTATTAATACTTTTTATATGACATCTTACACTCTAATAAGTATGCCTGTATTCATATAAATGAATTCTTCATAAAACATAACTAGTTCGTAACATTACTTCTTTAGGTTATAAGAAAGTTAATAACTTTTTTCTTTCAGAGATGGAATAATCATAATTAAATTTATTGGTAGGATGTTTTTATATTATACTAGGAAATTAGAATTTATGCCCGCCAAAGCTACATCGCTTGCCACACATGCTCCTGTCTGTAGTACTAAAGTTAGAATTTTGTACAGTACCTCCACAAATATTGCCATTCGAGTTCGGTGACGAACCCGCTAATGCCGGAGACATGGCATCGATATCCTGTGCCGTTAGTAAAGGGGATCAACCTTTAAACATAACGTGGATCTTTAACGGACAAGTCATATCTAAATTGAACGACTTAGGGATCGTTCTTACAAATGTCAATAGAAAGACATCGATCCTTAACATTGATTCCGTTAACGGAATACACAGGGGGACTTACTACTGTGTGGCGACAAACTTCGCTGGCTCCGTCAACCACAGCGCGTTACTAGAAGTTAATGGTACCGATCCAAACGACTTGCAGCTTTTTCCTTTTGTTTTAAATAATTCCAAATACCACCCATACCTGATTTTAATAAAGTATTAATTTTATTAGTCCCACCACAAATCACTCCATTCGAATTCGGTGAGGAAATTCTAAATGAAGGAGAAACGGCATCAGTTTCTTGTGTTATGAGCAAGGGAGATCTTCCTGTTGCTTTTAAATGGCTCTTTAACGGAGAAGAAATAAGAATCCACAATAACCTTGGCATTGTTTTAACTACCATAAGCAAGAAAACCTCAATATTAAACATCGAATCCGTTAACGCTGTCCATCGAGGATCATACACTTGCGAGATCAGAAATCAAGCGGGCCAAATAAATCATACTACTATCCTTAGTGTTAATGGTTCGCACATTTACTTACTATTGTTTTTTTCCTTAATCGCTTTTCTATTACTTCAGTACCTCCCCAAATTTTACCCTTCGAGTTCGGTGATGAACCCGCTAACGCTGGCGATACGGCTTCGGTTCAATGCGTTATGAATAAAGGCGATTTACCAGCTAATTTTTCATGGAGCTTAAACGGCAGGAAAATTTCGCAAAAAAGCAATACCTTGGGTATAGTTATTGGTAGCATGAGCCAGAAGATGTCTATTCTCAACATAGATTCTGTGAATGGAACTCATCGAGGAGTATACGTGTGTCATGTTGAAAATTTAGCAGGAAATGTCAACCATAGTTCGAAGCTGGAAGTTAATGGTCATTCATACTTATAATATTTATTTAATTGCATAGTTTTCTTGCCCTTTCTTAGATCAATATTTGTGTTCTAGATAAAAAATATATATTTAAATTAGTTTTTTGTAACAGTTTTACCCCAAATCCACCCCTTCACGTTCGGTGACGAGCCAGCCAATGCAGGTGATACTGTCGGAATTCAATGTATGGTGACTAAAGGCGATGCCCCCTTAAATATTACATGGTATTTAAATGGAAATTTCGTTTCAACGATTAAAGGAATTACAGTTACAAAGATTGGCCATAAATCAAGCAGTCTATCGATAGACGCAGTCTCCTTTATACATACTGGAATTTATACTTGTTATGTTATGAACCAAGCAGGACATGCTAATTATTCAACGGAACTAGTTGTCAATGGTAACTTAAAATTTTGATACCAAAGAGCCGCTTTTTATCTACAAAATATTGTTACAAATTCCTTTTTCCTTTTTTAATTTTTTCCTCCACTAGTGTCAATAATTATCACAATTTCGACCATTTAAAATAGGCGCGTGCCTCACTACAAAAGAAGTCTTGTGTAAATTAAAAAAGTATTCTTCGAATAGTTGTGCCGCAGGTTACGCCGTTTGATTTTGGAGAAGAAATATTGAATGCAGGCGACACTGTCTCACTCACTTGTACAGTAGGAAAAGGCGATCTACCTTTAAAAATATATTGGCAACTGAACAATCAACCGTTAAATACTGGTAACGGCCTTTTTATAAATCGAAATGGAAAGAGAATATCTGTATTAAGTATAGAAAATGTCCAACATGAACATATTGGCAATTATACTTGCATTGCGGAAAACGAAGCCGGTCGCAGTAGTCACAGTGCGATTCTCAACGTAAATGGTACTTTTAAATCTAAACATCAATACAGCTTATATTCGCACGTCATCCGATTACTGTAAATAGTTTTTTTAAGTTTTTTGTGTATATCCGCTGTCCTATGCCACAAAAATAGTTTTTGTTACGAATCAAATGTTTAATTAAGTATATCTTTAATAATTTTTCATATTCATACTTATCATATATATTATGTGTATTCTTTAGTTGCCCCACAAATTATGCCTTTCGATTTCGGTTCTGATCCTGTGAATGATCAAGAAATGGTTGTGGTAATTTGCACTGCTAGTAAAGGCGACTTACCACTAAACATACAATGGTACTTTAATGGAACACCTCTCAAATCAAACGTCAATGGTGTCTTACTTACAAACGCAAAAAGGACAAGTCAGCTTAGTATTGAATCCGTTTCGCATCACAACCAGGGCAATTATACGTGTGCTGTCAAAAATCAGGCAGGAACTGTAAACCACACTGCGGAATTATTTGTAAATGGTACTAAATTAGATATCCTAACGTTATGCTATTTAATTTTTTGATAATTATTCCCTAATATTTTCCTGCGCAGTCCCTCCACAAATCATGCCCTTCGAATTTGGTGAAGAGCCGGTAAACGCACAAGAAATGGTTTTGGTCACATGTACAGTAATGAAAGGCGATCAACCTTTAAAAATTGAATGGTATTTTAATGAAAAAAAAGTTGTACCCGGAGACCAAGGAATATCTCTTATGAGTAGTAAACGTGCAAGTCAACTGAGCATCGAATCAGTTAGTCATCAAAATCAGGGAAATTTTAGTTGTGTTGTATCTAATCAAGCAGGCTCCATGAATCACACAGCCCAACTTTTTGTAAATGGTACCAAATTTGTTCCTTAGCTTGATAATGTAGGATTAGAATATATTTATGTGTTGCTTCTTCCTTTCCTCAGTAACTTTGGCGGGTCATAAAAGTAAAACATATTTAACTTACATATATGTATAAAATTACCAGCCATAATGTGTAAGTTAAAAAATAACATTATTCCAGTGGCGCCAATTATAACGCCTTTTGAATTCGACGAATCTGTATTTTACGGCGAGGGTGTTCAAGTTATGTGTCACGTACCAAAAGGCGATAAACCATTAAGCTTCAAATGGAGTTTCAGTGGAGGCGATGTGAGTTTGCTCTCTGGGGTGACGATAATGAATGTAGGGGACATGGGTTCAGCTCTCATTATACCTACCGTAACAGCAAAACATTCTGGCAACTATACATGCACTGCATCTAATATTGTCGCCAAGGCTAGCCACCATGCAACGCTCAATGTGAAGGGTACATGCTCACGATGAACAATCTGTGCTTTCCGTGTTATTTTGTCCCCTTATATCCCAATAAAAATGTAATTAGTATAAAATCATATTAATATTACAGTTGCGCCTATAATATCTCCGTTTGAATTCGATGAGGCTGTCTTTTATGGAGAAAGTATACAAGTTATGTGTCATATACCAAAGGGAGATATGCCTATTAAACTTACGTGGCTCTTTCGTGATAGGCCTCTAGAAAAAAACGATGCCGTTATCGTAACTAAAATGGGCGATAGGAGTTCTATTTTAGCTATTCCGTCTGTATCGGAGAAACATACCGGCAATTACACCTGCACTGCTTCTAATGTGGTAGCAAGCACAAATCACTCAGCTAAATTAAACGTTCAGGGTACAAGAATATCAATTTTTTTTATTATATTTTAATTTTAGTTTGTTTATTTATTTCTCCCGCCAGTTCCCCCACACATCGTTCCATTTGAGGCTGAAGAGCCTGTTTTCGCCGGTGAATCAGTTCAATTGACGTGTCATGTTTCTAAAGGCGACACGCCTCTTACTATTTCTTGGAGTTTTCACGGAAAAGAATTATCGTCTCACGAAGGAATTATGACGACGAAAATTGGTCAACGAACGTCACTTCTTACAATTCCTACTGCTACGGCTAGTCACAGCGGCGAATATTCGTGTCACGCTCAAAACCAAGCTGGTCTAGCCGTACACGCTACTACAGTCAATGTCCACGGTATCTCGTATTTCCCCTTTACAGCGCTTGCTCCGCCGCACGCTGCACGCTTGCATATAAAATAATAATAATTTTAGCTTTGTGGATTAACAGTATTGCCATACATCGTACCATTTGAAGCGGATGAGTCTGTATTTGCTGGTGAAACAGTTCAGCTAAACTGTTTCGTACCGAAAGGTGATCTACCTCTAGACATCAAGTGGCATTTTCATGGGTTCGAAAATACATCATCACATCTGGGCATTATGACTACTAAAATGACGTCGCGTACCTCTTTTCTATCTATTGCCGCGGCTAGCGCCGGCCATAGTGGCAATTATACCTGCGTAGCTACCAACAGTGCCGGTTCTACTAATCATACCACTGTCCTTAATGTTCATGGTCAGTTTCATTTTTCACGTTATCATCTATATTGTGTTCGTCACGTCCAAAGGATATGCTAATAGAATAAGCATGAATTCTATTTTCATATCTGTTAAACATCGTCAGCTTATTCCTTTTTGTTAGTCATATTTTTTTTCTCATATAAATTTTTATTTATCATTATAGTCATACCAAATATATTGCCGTTTGACGTCGACCAAGCCTTGTTTTCGGGGGAATCGGTACAGATGATGTGCCATATATCAAAAGGAGATATTCCATTAGAAGTTTATTGGGAATTTAATGGACATACATTGTCACGTGAGCTAGGAACTTTTTCGAAAGTTGGAGAACGTTCGTCTGTTTTGATGCTTCCATCCGTCACCGGTGCCCATAGCGGAAACTATACATGCATCGCAAAAAATCGCGCCGGTGTTGCGTCGTATTCTACTATACTTAAAATAACTGGTACACAAAGTTAAAAATAAATTATATATTTGTTTCGTACATATTGGCTTAGTATTATAATTGTTTTAATTATTTTTATTTCAACAATTTAATTTTTTTTTAATTACAAGTGGTCCCATACATAATCCCGTTCGAAATCGAAGAGTCTATTTTCGCTGGAGAATCGGTTCACCTTACTTGTCACGTATCGAAAGGCGATCGACCACTCCAGATAACATGGAGTTTCCAGGGAATTGAAATTCCTTATCATAACAATATTGGCGTAACTACAACAAAATTAGGAGAAAAAGCGTCAGTTCTTAGCATACCTACAGCAATGGGCCAACACAGCGGCAACTACACATGCACAGCCAGTAATCGTGCAGGACGAACACATCACTCTGCTCTCGTCAACATTCATGGTATTAGATGTTGACCTTTTCTTTCCTTTAGTATTAACTATGAACGTCATAGAAAAATCATGCACGGTTAGATTTAATCTTAGCGTTCTCTTTTTGTTATTTTTATTAGTTCCACCCCATATAATGCCATTCGAAATTGAAGAGTCCGTGTTTTATGGCGAATCAGTCCAAATGACCTGCCATGCTAGCAAAGGGGACAGACCAATGTCCATATTCTGGACATTTGGGGGCCAAGATCTTTCTACAGTTTCGGGAATCAAGACACTGAAGATAGCAGAACAAACGTCTATTTTAACTATTGCCTCTGTAACTGGTGCTCATAGTGGCAATTATACGTGTATTGCTAAAAATAAAGCCGGCGAACATAGATATTCAACACCTCTACATGTTAATGGTATTTTAGTTAAATGTCAAATGTCCCAGCATGTCCTCTATATATAACTAACGTATTATATATTATTTTATTTGCTCAGTCGTCCCTCACATCAAACCCTTCGAATTGGACGAAGCCGTATTCGCGGGAGAATCTGTTCACTTAGATTGTCATGTTCCAAAAGGAGATATTCCAATGAATATTACATGGAGTTTTCAAGGGCAACGTGTCACTCGTAGAATGGGTGTTAAAACGACTACATTGAGCGAACGGGTCTCTGTTTTGGATATTCCATCTGCCTCTGGGGCAAATAGCGGCAACTTCACATGCACAGCCACCAATAAAGCGGGAACTGTCAATCATACAGCCACCCTTAACGTAATCGGTATTAAATCTATATATTAAACAGATGTTGCTTGCTTATTGTTTAGTTCCTCCCGTGGTCCAACCATTTACGTTTGGAGAAGTTGCAATGAATTCTGGGCAAGTCGTAACCGCAGCTTGTTCAGTTATCGAGGGAGACCATCCCCTTCAACTGCGATGGCTATTCGACGATGAACCTATAAAACCAAGATCAGGGGTAACAGTATTTAATATTGGAGAAAGAAGCGCTATTCTTAGTATCGGTTCCGTAATGCACAATCATGCTGGCAACTATACTTGTGTTGCAGAAAATGAAGCGGGAATCCATTCGCACACCGCGATATTATTCATAAATGGTGCTTAAATATGACCCTAATAGTATTTATATAACATTATTTTTTATTTTTTTAAGTTTATTATTTACAAATTTATAATATTGAATTTATCTAGAAAATAACGATATTCTTCCAGTACCCCCAAACATTCTACCGTTTTCATTCGGCGAAAAACCTGCAAATGTCGGAGAATACTTACAAGCGGCATGCACAGTAAATTTTGGTGACCTCCCTCTTACCATAACTTGGACGTTTAATAACCAGTTAATATCACAAAGAAACAATGACTATTCAATGACGAACTCTAAACGTAGTAGTTTACTTATTATCGAGTCTGTCGATGCAAAACATGCAGGCTCATACATGTGCATTGGTGAAAATCGTGCCGGACGTACTACACATTCTGCAGATTTAGTTGTTTACGGTTAGTCGTAACGTTTAATCGTAGATTCTTATAATTAGTGATTTAGATGAAGTTTGTTTCAGTTCCTCCCAAAATTGCACCATTCACTTCCGGTCCAGAACCGGCATTTTTAGGCGACTACTTTGCACTACAGTGCATTATTACTCACGGAGATCAACCAGTTAAAATAGAATGGACCATTAACAATCAATCGGCTACTATAGTCCCTGGAGCTCGTGTCAGTAGCGTCGATCGGAGAAGTAGTGTACTTACTATAGAGTCCGTTGACGCTAAACATGCAGGCCTGTATAACTGTACAGCGAGTAATGCCGGAGGCGTTGTATCTCACACCACGGAATTAATTGTAAAGGGTGCAGTACATTATAATAAAATAATATTTCCTCTATATTTTCTGATATAAAAATGTGTACATTCGCTTCAATATAAGATATTTGCTGTCCTAGTTCCGCCCCTGATAGTACCATTCAGTTTCGGAGAGGTGCCGTCCAATCCTGGGGATGCTGTGGTAGTAAACTGCGTTGCAACTAAAGGAGACCTGCCTCTTGAAATTTCATGGACTTTTAGCAGCGAAACTATTGATTCAAGTTTACATCGAGACATTATGACTACTCCATTGGGTCCAAGAGCCTCTGTCCTAACAATCAACTCCGTGAGCGCAAACCACCAGGGAAACTATACGTGTATCGTACAAAATGCGGCCGGTCGCGCTGAACATGCGGCGACTTTAGTCGTAAATGGCACGTTTTGTATACTTTATCAAAATTGTATCGTTTATAAAGGGAACTAACAACACATTTTAGCACCAATAAGAGCCCATTCCAATCAATCACTCTCAGACACTATCTTAAATAATCTCTACAAGTTACTAACATGCTTGCAAAAGTCGTTCTAATGAGACCGTTTATGGTTATTTTCAGTACTACCCCGCATTGTTCCATTTGCCTTTGAATCTCCTCTTTATGCGGGACAGGCGAGTCAGGTTACTTGTTTGATTTCTGAGGGCGATCTTCCTCTTGACATTCAATGGTACTTTAATGAACGTCCATTAAAAGAAGTGGCGGGTGTTATGGCCACCAAAATAGCACAAAGGGCGTCACTACTCCTGATTGACCCGGCAGGGTGGTCACACAGCGGCACTTACGTATGTCTTGCGCGCAATGCCGCTGGTTCTTCCAACTATTCCGCCTCATTAGAAGTACACGGTATATATAATACTCATCCACCTTTACTCCTAGCACGGAATAGCTTTTGCATAGCATATCATATGCTTACTCGTATATACTCGTTATGTTATCGACTAGATTTATCTGCCTTTTTCAAGAATGATTAATATTGTTACTTTAAAGCCTAGAATATAAAGCTAATATTCCGAAGTATGTAAATTCGTTCGGTGTAGGAATGTGATAGTGTAGGATATGACGGTTAATAGGAACCGGCTGCGGCTATCATCGACTAAACCATTTCTTCTTCCAATCCCTCCATGCATATAGCTATATCCTGCATCCTACCTTATCCTGTATTTCCTATCTTTATGTTTATTTTTTTTCTTGGTTTGCATTGTTGGATATTTGGTTATTTGTGCTGTCATGCTTGCTTTAATAATATTCTATCACTTGACGTTATTTTATTATATATTTTTTCTCACATGGTTACAAAATATTAGTAAGTAATATTAAAACATATACATGCACATATACGCTGAAAACAAGTACTTAATACAAGTGATAGTATAATATCTGTGGCAAATGTTATTAATTCGCTTTTTATGGTTTGGTTTTATCCCCTTATTTGATATTATGTTTGTAGTTAGTTGCTAATTGAGATTTATTTGCACTCAAAATTAATGTTATACACAAAAGCTTCTATAGCATTAGCTTTGCTATTCATAACAATCAGTTATAAATGTACCATATTTAAACGATATATGTTTATCTCAGAATTTTATTAAAAGTTAGTAAGAAATTTCGATATAGACTTTATGTTATAGGAGCTTTAGGTGTCTATAAAATAAGTTACATTGCAATAAATGTAAATAAAAGTATTCTATTTTGCAAAAAAATATAATTTTAGAAGACAAAGGAAATAATATTTATTTCAATTCAATATAACTGTTTATTACAAAAGAGGACACAGTTAATTGTAGCAATTATTTTGACATACTGATACAAATATTTTTTACCAGTTACGTGCAGAAACTACAATACCGATTAGCTAAGATACATGCTATAATTCAAAAATTACTGAATGTGAGAATTAACTTATTAAAAAACAAAGTAATAAAGTTTTTTTTTAATTTTGTGACTTTTGAATATCATTCTTATGAATCGGTTACATTTTAGTTCCCCCTCGTTGGATTTTGGAACCAACTGATAAGGCTTTTGCCCAAGGCTCTGATGCTAAAGTTGAATGTAAGGCCGATGGCTTCCCCAAGCCCCAAGTTACATGGAAGAGGGCTGAAGGTAATGTTACTTTATATAAATGTTTTATTTAAACTTGGCAATTTAAGAAAAAATATATAAAATGCTATTTAAAAATAAAATCACTTATACTCGTAGTACCTAAACATTTTAAAAATGAAATTAATTTCACGATAATATATTTTAGGGGATACGCCCGGCGATTACAAAGACCTTAAGCCCAATAATCCTAACGTAAAAGTTGAAGATGGTACATTGACTATTGCAAACATTCAAAAGACCAACGAAGGATATTATCTTTGCGAAGCCGTTAATGGTATTGGCTCCGGATTATCTGCTGTTATTCTGATTAGCGTGCAAGGTAAGTTCTCAAAACTTGCACACACTTGAATAAGTAAAGGATAATTGTATACAAAATATTACGTATATTAATTCGGAGTACGAATACATATTTAAATTTTTTAGCTCCACCTCAGTTCGAAATTAAAATGCGAAACCAAACCGCTCGACGAAGTGAACCAGCTGTCTTGCAATGCCAGGCTAAGGGAGAAAAGGTAATATATTCTATATTCTACCTAAATCATATCAAAATAATACTATACTATTATTATGTGAAATTCTTTGAATGTTGTAACGCTATTTTAGATAGGAATTTATTAATGGTACACTTTTCATTTATTCTTTCATTTACAGCCAATTGGAATCATCTGGAACATGAACAACAAACGTCTCGAACCCAAATCCGATCCCCGATACACGATTCGTGAAGAGATCCTGCCCGGAGGTGTTGTGTCTGACCTAAGCATCCGAAGAACTGAACGTTCTGACAGCGCCCTCTTTACCTGTGTCGCTACTAACGCTTTTGGATCTGACGATACTAGCATTAACATGATTATTCAAGGTACAATTTATTTATTGAACATTTACTACCTACTTACTCCCACTTTTCACAATATTGAGACACGTTTGTCTATTATTTCTACTGTATTGCATTTTTAAACTTATTATTTCAATTTACTTATCAATGTATTATTATACGAGGTTTTCATCCCCTTATTGATGGAAACTGAAAAAGCTATCTAACAATAAATCAATCACGATTTTGTTTTATACTCATAGAAATATTAAAGAATATGTCAAACCAGAAAGAATAAACAATAAAAACCCAAAACAATTTTACTTTGAATGGTTGTGTTCATAAAAAACAATATTTTTCTCAGAGGTACCCGAGGCTCCCTATGGCTTGAAAGTATTGGACAAATCTGGAAGGACTGTTCAGCTTTCTTGGGCTGCCCCTTACGATGGAAACTCACCAATTAAGAAGTTCCTTATCGAATACAAACGCGCCAAGGGCAACTGGGAGAAGGATATCGATAGGTAATATAAATATTGTTAACATTGTGGTCAAAGAAGTTTATATTAAAAATTATTATAAATAATATATAACAATTTATTACAGAGTACTCGTACCAGGAGACACCACCGAGGCAGGAGTATTCAGCTTAAAACCAGCTACGGCTTACCACATTAGGATTGTCGCTGAAAACGAACTGGGAACCTCCGAACCATCTGAAACCGTGACTATCATCACCGCTGAAGAAGCACCCACTGGAATGCCACAAGACGTTAAAGTTGATGCCGTCGATAAACACACCCTCCGCGTCACCTGGAAACCACCCCAGCCTCATGATTGGAATGGCGAACTACAAGGGTAAACTATTAAATCTGTTAGTTATATATACATATATGTAGTAATAAAAATGTATATATAGTTACTTATTATTATTTATTGCACTTAAAAGATTTTTTGCAAAAGTGGACTTTTATCAAGAAGAGATCTCTTTCAGCCAATTTAAAGGCTAGCGAGAAATAATGTCATAAAGCACAAGTTATAGAATCAGACAAAAGATAGTTACTTCCGTGTTTTAAACTGTATTTCTTTTTACTTACAGATACTATGTAGGCTACAAACTGGCGTCCAGCAACAAGTCTTTCGTTTTCGAAACTGTAGACATCTCAAAGGAATCTGGCAAGGAACATCATCTTGACATCTTTAATCTGAAGTGAGTCTTAAAATAACTATTAGATATTGATTTTTATTTGCACAAAGCTATTCAAATTTATTAAAATACTATTTGTTTCCCCATACAAACTTTCATCCCCATTTTCACCCTTTAAGGGATGATTTCCGGGAAAAAAGTATCCTATGTCCTTCCCAGGGTCTCAAACTATCTTCTTACCAAATTTCATCTAAATCGGTTCAGTAGTTTCGGAACCCATTCGATACGAACAAACATATAAAAAAACTATATTTTCGACTTTATAATATTGGTATAGATAATGAATATAAATTTTAAGTATATCTAATTTTTCAGAACATACACCCAATACACGATCGTAGTGCAGGCCTTCAACAAGATGGGCTCAGGTCCGATATCCACGGAAGTACGCGCGTACACCGCCGAAGGAGCCCCCTCAGCGCCCCCACAGGACGTCCTCTGCACCACCCTCACTGCGCAAACTATCAGAGTTTCTTGGGTCTCCCCTCCTCTTGCCGCTGCTAATGGACTTATCAAAGCGTACAAAGTTGTCTATGGCCCCAGCGATACTTGGTATGGTAAGTGAACTTTGATTAAAGTGAAGCGGCTCTGAAACATTCCGGAACTTTGAATGTTCTGTATAAGAATTTAACAAATTTTTAACAAGCGACACTTACCCTTCTGCCTAAATATCTCATTGCCGTATATTCTATTGCTTCTTTTCATACCATTTAGATAGCGCACCGTCTTTTTCGATTTCAATGATAGTTATTATAATTTCTAAAAGTAATAAATTTTTATAGATATAATAAATAGCACTCGGCGGTAATATAGCTTCCTATTAGTGAGAGTGTCATTTTCAGAATCGGATCAGTAGTTTCAAAGATAATTCCCTACAAATAAACTTACAAACTTGAGCTCTTTATTATTATAGATATATTTCAATATGATAATATTTTTATTCATTCATATTTTAGACGAGAAGACCAAAGACACAAAGATCACAGCCAGTAGCGAAACCATTCTCCACGGATTAAAGAAGTTCACTAATTACTCTATGGAAGTGCTCGCAACCACCAATGGAGGAGATGGTGTCCGGTCTGCCCCTATCCACTGCCAGACTGAACAAGACGGTATGTGTGCTCATAGAAACTATAAAAATAAATATTAAAATAATATGTATATACTATATACTGTGGTAAAAATACACGTATTTATGCAGATGTGTATTTTTTTGGATTTGGATAAATTTATTATTGCCAATATAGTATTTTATGTTGTACAATAATTGCATTTAGATTACAGATATTTGATAAACTCCGTGTTATATTCTATTGGAGTATTTTATCACAAGGTATATTAAATCATCGAATGAACTGTTGAAAATGACGTTCGTTAAATATTGACTGTCATACCTTCAGTGCCCGAAGCCCCACGCGCAGTCAAAGCCTTAGTAATGGGAGCGGAATCAATTCTCGTATCGTGGAGGCCCCCGGCGCAGCCCAACGGCGTCGTCACCCACTACAACGTCTACACACAAGCCCAAAACGCAGAGCCACATCCCAACAAGGTAATTAATAATTATTTATTAATCTATATGAGTTGGAGATTTTTACTTACATTGGAAATAGGAGGCTTTTTTATTTTCGCATGCATGGTTTGGTTTTGTAAACCAATTAATTGTTTCATTTACCGTTTTCAAAAACGGAAGAGTCATGTTCGTCTATTCTTTTTAAATGATTCTTTTAAAATTAAAAAAATCCCTAGAAAGTAATTGACTAAGATAAATATTGTCTTTGTGACCGGTCACAGGTACCCGCCTCTCAAACCAGCTACTCGGCGACGGAGCTGAAGGCCGGCCGCTACGACTTCTGGGTGACCGCTTCCACCATCATTGGAGAAGGACAACCTTCAGCCACCGCCTCTTGCAGCCCCAGCGACAAAGGTAGGGTAATATATCGATGCATCACCGTAATTCTATAAGATTCCTGACATACATGTGACCAAACAACATAATTTTGACAACACGTTTGGCTCAGTTTGTAGTGATCCTACTTGCTGTGCCAGCCAAGATCCGCTAGGGGCATTGATTTGTGTGATAACACGAATGTTTGTACTCCAGTCATGGGTGTTTGTTTATATTTATAATATATTTTTATTTAAAATTATATTTGTGTAGAATGTCAACTATCTAGTATCCATAACGCAAGCGCCGTAGCTTACCATGAAACTAGATGGTGCTGTGTGTTAATATCCCAACATATTTATTTATTTTATTTATTTAATCTTTCGACACTTTAAACTAGACGTCATAATGTGGCGCGCCCACGTCAGGTTATATAGTTTACTATCTAAATTTTAGATTATTTCATTTTACATTGTAAAATAAACGGTATACCAATATCACCCTACATTTAATCCTCGCTTAGTTTTTTTTACTATATTTTATTTTTTTTAATTTATTCAAAATAGATGTGATCATACAAAAATAGAAAAACCTACCTAAAAAAACCTAATCTAAAAAATATTATAACTAATTTTCAGTACCCGCCAAGATCGCATCTTTCGACGAATCATTCACCGCCACCTATAAGGAAGATGTCAAGTTGCCCTGCCTCGCTGTTGGTGTTCCTCCTCCTAATATTTTGTGGAAGGTAATAATTAATTTTTTTAACACAATTTACAATATAAATCTTATTTCAAGGACAAAATGAGTGACAATTATGAGAAAGTAGAATATGTGTTTACTTAAATATAACTAATGGGTTGACTTCCTAAAAGGGGAAAGTAATCGCATAAATTATACAAATATATTTATTTATCATTTAAACAAAGCTTAAAACGTCTCCTTAAAAAAAATAAAAAACTTTTATAATTCATTAAAATCTGCTTTCTTCCGTGATACACGTCTAAGCAACATAAATACTTTTATGTTAAGTACATCCCAAATACCTTTCAATAAAAAATTGTCTTGTCAACCGTACTGGCATGAGCGAATATCACGCGCAGTCAGTCCTATTGGTTTTGAATGTTTAAGGCCCACTACATTGTCTCATACCATGACCGTGCTAGGACCGTGTCAGGTCAAAAAAATATTCTTTGTATTGAAAAGTATGAGACTCTGCTCACTAGACCGTTCCGTCACCGGACCGCCACCGTCGCGTGCCGTGTACGAAGTGATAACAATTGTCGACAAGAATACTTTGCCGGTGCCGGTACACTCCATGCCTGGCAAGCGACGTCGCCGGACCGGTGCGCGCGGGCGACGCAATGGTGAGCATACGCAGTATTAAAACCGTTATGTACGGGTATGATACGTTCATAGCACGGTTACGGTATGAGACGGTGTAGTGGGCCGACACCTTTAGTTTTGATACATAAATGAGTGTATTAGGTCAAGGGCCAGCCGCTGGAAGCGTCGGAGCGCGTGCGCCAGCTGCCGGAGGGCTCGCTGCAGATCGCGGGCGTGGCGCGCGAGGACGCCGGCGAGTACTCCTGCCACGTCGACAACCAGTTCGGCACCGACACTGTCACACACACGCTCTCCGTGTTGGGTGAGCTATTCGTTTCCGGTTATGAGTGTTAGACAAAAATTAGCAACTTATTTATAATTTATTTTTATATATTTCTTAAACTTTAAACTTTTTATCTATTTATGTTAGTGCGTGTAATAATACAATTAAAATCTGTAAGTCATGTTTCTATAGTTTCTATAATTTCGCCCTAGTCTGTTCTCCATTTGTCACCATACGTGTTTTTGATTAGGTACACGAAAATAGATGTTTTCATTTTCAAACTTTATCATCCCTTGAAGGCCTTAATTTCAAAAAAATCTTAGTCAGCTGTTACGTGCATCATTATAGCCCTGTAGGTCCAGCAATTTAGTTTGGGCAACGATGAATCAGTCTGGACAAGTAACTTAATCTATAAAATCTATATATAAGTATAGTAATTAACATAAAATTAGAATATGACAACATCAGCCCTGACATGTTCTCGCGCAATGCAAGCTTATTAAAATATTATGCTTATATACATTATGCTTTGCTTCATTTTACATACATTATGTATTTATAAATGTACGAAACACAATTCCAGCCCCTCCCTTCCCCCCACAACTGAGCATCGCGTCGTCGTCCGTGTCGTCGCTCACGCTGCGCCTGAAGCCGTCCCTGGAGGCGGAGCAGTCGCCCGCCGCCGGGTACACCATACACTACAAGCAGGAGTTTGGCGACTGGGAGACCGTTCAGGTTACATTTTGTTTGTTGTTTTATATTACCTTACTATTATATATACATACTAGTAGAACCCGCGGCTTCGCTCGCGCTAAAACTACAAAAAAATATCTAAAGAAGTAGTTTCATACAAACTTTCATCCCCCATTTCACCCCTTTATAGAATTTTCGAAAAATGCTAAAACACATATTTATTCAATTTCATTGAAGAGCATTAATACCAAGTTGCAAGTAATTCTGAACATAAATATTTTTTAGATTGCATTATAACGTATTTTACTGTGGGAATTAAATAATCTCCCGCGGTAAAAAGTAAGCCTATGTTACTCTCCAGCCCTCCAACTATCTCCACACAAAAAATCATGTCAATCCGTAGCTCCGTTTCGACGTGAAAAAGGACAAACAAACACACTTTCACATTTATAATATTAGTATGGATATGCGAAATAAAAGGTTTTCATTTAAACCTAAAATTCAAATAAATTATTTACTTTATAAATTAGTGGGCCACCTCATAGTTATTGGATGAGTGTTGTAGAACCATCTACTGGTAAATGTCAGCAAAATAGCTTTAAAACTAACTTAGCGTAAAAACTTCAAAGCAATCAGAAAACTTTTGGAGATTTGCGATTTTGCACAAACGAGCGTCAAAATGCTTATTTTTATTTATTTACTTAATTACGAAAGTGTTATATATCTTTCTCGATGAATTTTACGATGATTCTTTTTTCATAAAAAAATGCGTAATGACAATGAAGTGTGCCGTATTCTTCCAATTCTAAATTTTCAAAAAATATTATATATATATATATATATTAATATTTGGTATTCTTTCAGATTCCAAGCAACACTGATACCTATACTCTAGAAAACTTGTTCTGCGGATCCAGATATCAACTCTATGTTACCGCTTATAACGGGTAAGGCTAAATAAATATATACTTAATAATATTTTATCGTAAGATCACTCATGACAGACTGTATAACAATAGAGTAATTTAAAAAAAAAAATCACGCCTGAGCAGCGCCTGGCTCTCTATCAGACTCAAGTGCGAGCGCACTATGCTATGGAGTACTGCTGCCACCTCTGTGATGGCTTTGCCAAATATCAACACGATGCATTAGACTCGATAGATCGCCGAGCTCGCCGTATCATAGGTGATCAAACACTAACGCAGACGAAAATACTTAGTCTACAGCATCGACGCAATGTCGCCTGTCTATCGATCTTCTATCGGATATACTTTGGGGAGTGCGCGCAGGAACTTCATAACCTTGTGCCCCCTTCACCGTTTTACCACAGAACAGCGAGAAGCCGTGTGCGCTGGCATCCTTATGTGGTACTCGCACGAAACGCTTCAGTTCTACCTTTCTGAATCGAACTGCTAAGGAGTGGAACACCCTTCTAGCATCCACGTTTCCTGCCACCTACTATCCAAGTACCTACAAGGCTAGAGTGAACAGGCATTTTTCTAGGCAAGCGCGTTCCAACCTAGACCTCATCAGTGCTTCCCAACGCTGATTATAGTCAAGCGCAAGCCTATCGGTCAATAAAAAAAATACATAAAAATTTACTATCTCTCATAGCTATACTTTTCTAAAATATTGTCAATATTAAAATGTTACAACATATCTGTCATTAAACCATGAGATCTTAAATTATTATCAAAATATTTCGATAACTTACAAAATGGGTATTATTGGCTGTGTGGGTTTGTATTTGTCACTCTTTGCTATCTGTCTGGGTGTGAAATGAGTTAGCCTATCTTTTCAGTGTGGACACTTGCGCGGCCTAAGTACGGTTATTTCCTAAAATTACAAAATGAAATTTTATCATTTTAACCTTAAAAACCACAGTGTGTAGCCAGCGCGTGTCATTAGCATGTCTAACACTAGGCTTTCTAGGGAGTGGGCTCTCAGATGCGATATCATATGTGATGTGTGATATATCAGGTGGTATATATGTTACAGTTTAATTAATAATTAACTAGCACCTCACCCTCGGGTCTCACGCTGGGTTCGTCCCTAGGTATTATAATGGATATAGTATGTTATCCTTAAGAGATAGACATATGCCATCGTCGACTTTTTTGTAGACCTTTTTAATGTGTACAATAATGTAGTACATTATTTTGATGTATCTCGTAGGCTTCAGCCAGCGTTTGCAATGTAAGCGCAAAAAAATGTGTTTATTTACGACATCACATTAGAGACCTCTAAAATTATCAGTGTTTCTCTACTATATTATGCATGTATTATACATATAAACCTTCCTCTTGAATCACTCTATCTGTTAAAAAAACGGATCAAAATTCGTTGCGTATTCTAAAGATAGGGACAGCAGTCAGCGGGAAGCGACTTTGTTTTATAGTATGTAGTGATTAGCACGGTGTCCACAGCATCGGCACCGGCGAGGCGTCGGACGTGGTGATCGCTCGCACGCGCGGCTCCAAGCCGCCGGTGCCGCGCGCCGCAGACTTCATCGAGGTCGGCTCCTCCTCCGTCACGCTGCACCTCAAGCAGTGGCTCGACGGCGGCTGTCCCATGAGCCACTTCGTTGTTGAGAACAAGAAGAAGTATGTGTTCCTATAGACATAGTAGCAAGTGGTAACCGAGTTTAACGGGGTCAAATCCCGGGTATCGCACCTCTGATATTGTCATGTGCGAATCATTTTTCAACATGATTACCACTTGTCTTACGGTGAAGGAAAACCATGCATCGTGAGGAAACCTGCATATCTGAGTTAACCTAAGTTATCGAAAGACATATGAAGTCTGCCAACCCGCACTTGGCGAGCGCACTGGACTATGGCCCCCTCGTATTGAAGGGTGGCCCGTGCCCAGCAGTGGGACATTAAAAAGGGCTGAATACAATGTGTTGCTATATATTCAACCCTGTTTAACGTCCCATTGCTGGGCACTGCCCTTAAATACGAGAGGGATCAGGCCATAGTCCACCACGCTGGCCAAGTTGGCGGGTTAGCGGACCTCACATGTCTTTCGTAAACATGCTACATTCTCTCCGACATGTAGATTACATTAGAATGTTTTCCTTTGTGGCAAGTGGTAATCATATTACAAATGATATTGCATATTAGAAATGGGAATCATTTATACATACATGAAAATATTAAAGGTGCGAGACCCGTATTTGAACTCGCTTAAAGATAACTAATATCCTTGATTAACTGAGGTCACTTTAATAAGTTTTTGTTCTCTATCAACTCCTTTAATTTTTAGTAGACAATGTCTATCTACATTATTAGAAAAACCTTTGTAAGATATTTATACTTTTACTTAATACAAAAATAACACTAAAATGTAACTCTTATATTGTAGGGGAGCTGCTGAATGGAACCAGATTTCGAACGCTGTCAAACCCGGTGGAAACTTTGTTGTACTTGGTGAGTTTTTCAAATATTGAACTTATTGTTAAATAAAATTTAAAAATGAATTTCTATCTTTAAATATGCACGCAAATGTTATTTTATTATAATGTCACTAAATTAACGTTTATGTTAAAGACCTGGAACCCGCTACCTGGTACGTGCTGAGGATCACCGCCCACAACAACGCCGGATTTAACGTCGCCGAATACGAATTCGCTACCCTTACGATGACCGGAGGTATGTTAACTATAGAATTCTTACTTATTATGATCCATTGTGTAGTCAACTATGTATATGTTTAGACATTTTAAGATTAATTCATTTTAGAAAGTGGCAGTATACAGTTATATTAAATAGAATAATTATATAATAACACTGAATTTTAGGATTGCTTTTAAATTTAATAAAATTTAACTATAATAAAAACGGTTTGCATATGAGGTAGATTCAGCTGAAGTCCACATTTCTTATTTACTTAAGTACTAGATATAATTTAACAGTCCATCAATATTCGCAAAACTAACATACATATAATTATGTTATCCAAAAGGTACCTGAAATGCATAGCCTATTCATTTCTCTATATGATTATTATAATATATAATTTCCGTGTAATAATTGAAGGCTCGCATTTCAGGTACCGTCGCCCCCGCGCGTGAGCTCGGCGACGGCGCCCTCACGCCCGAGCAAACGTTAAAGATCATCCTGTCCCACTTAAACCTGATCGTGCCCGTCGTCGCCGCCATATTGGTCATAATCATCGCGATCGTAGTCGTGTGCGTCGTGCGAGGAGCTCGGGATCATCATCATCACAAAGGTGATTTTTTATGTGATGATGTGTTTAGGAACGATAGCGCCGTTGCCCGGCAACGCGGACGGGGATAAGGAGCTGCCCCCGTGGGTGAGGGCGTGGCTGGAGCCCGAGGTGCTGGTGCCCATCCTGGCCACGGTGGTGGTGTTCATCGTGGGCATGGTGGTCATCTGCCTGACGCTCGCGCGCCGCAACACCCCCCACCGCCTGCGAGGTCAGAAGGACGAGTTCTGTATGTATAGCATGGCCGCTTCTTTTTATTTATTTTATTCATACTTTATCATATATCGTTGGAATAATAATTTGTATGTATTGACGTTGTATCGGATCGTTTGATAAAATTATTGAGCTGATAATGGAAATAATTATACTAATGTTTACTAAAATTGGTTGGTAGTAATGGAAGTTTATGATTTATTACATTAATTATAAGTCTCCCTATAAGCGAGTGGTAACTGTGTTGAAAATTAGTCGCACATGAAAATTTCATATATCGAGGCCCTAAATTCAACCCGCTCAATCTTCACTTGGTGCTTAGCATAATATGTCTACTAATAGAACATAAATCCGAAAACAACGATTGAAGTCTGTTGATTTAAGTCTGAAATAAAAATGGAAATCTTAGCAGTCAGGTTGCCTCAAAAGCAGAAGCTAGTAATAAGTTTTCAAAGATATTTTATGTCATATACAGTATTTACAGTAAACAATACTGTATTTAGAAAAGCTTTTCGCATATTTATACATAATCTATATTTAAGGCGAGAAAGCTTATTGATTACTATATAGCTAATGTAACTACGTAGTTGCTAACTATGCGTATATGCTAATTATTATCTAATTAGGTTGTCGTCGTCATTATACGCATGTAAATATAAAGCCCTTTATTTTAATCATAACTCATCTTATGTTTTGTTGTTCGCTAGTGACCATTTAATCATGTTAATTTTAATGTTATTCATTTTATCACTAGTAATGATTAATTATTTTTTAACTATCTTTATCTTTTGATGTAAATATTAATATAATACATACATACAGTAAATACAAAAGGGCAAAATAATATTGGGTATTTATATGGTATCAAAAAAATAAAATATTTTACAAAGATAGATTTATGTGACAAATGTTAAAAAATGGTAAAATATTCCCTTTGTATCTCATGAAATTCATTCAACAACAACAAACTATCTATGTATATGACCTATAAAAATGACGTACATCCCCCTTAAATGTAAATAAACAAACAGTGAGCAAACAAGCAAGTATATTGAAAAACTCCAATGGGATCTCAACAAAAGTGACAAAAGCCACATAGAAACCAGTAAAGGCCACATAGAAACCAATAAATATTTATTCGGTGTCTATGTGGCTTTTGTCGCTTTTGATGAGATCCTATTTGAGAGTTTTTCAATAGGGTAAATGGATACATAAATAATGATACGCAACCGTGTCTAGACGACGCGGTGTACAACACGTCGGCGCCGATGGGCGGCGCGGGCGGCACGCTGGACAAGCGCGGCGGCCTGCGCGACGAGCTCGGCTACATCGCGCCGCCCAACCGCAAGCTGCCGCCCGTGCCCGGCTCCAACTACAACACCTGCGACCGCGTCAAGCGCCAGGCCGTCATCAGTGAGTACCGGCATATATACACGCTCTATTTTAATTTACTGAAAACCTTTTGGCAATATACACTATTTACATCATAACAACAACATATGTAAGAAAAAAAATATTTCTTAAAATTTACAAAAATAAAAATATGTTTAGTACACCTTCTAAACCTTAATAGTTCAGCATTAGCGTTAAAAGAAAGCGCGTGGCCGGTGGAGGGGTGTAGAAGGCGGCGCTTACTCATTTAGACCATATGCTAGGATTATGTATAGCTCGCCTCCCGCATGTAAGGCAAAACGAATCTTCTGGTTTCGAGTCCCGGATCGGTCCAAGATTAATTATTGTATCTTTCTGTTAAGAGAGTCTCAGTAACAACCCGAAGTTGGGATGTTGGCAGTGTATCACCACCGTGCCTCGGAGACCACGTAAAGTTGCTACTCGTGTCGAATTCTCGTTTCAGTGGAGTATGAGAGTGATAGGAACAGAGGGTGCACGTTGTGTCTGCGCAGTTGATTACCCTCAGTGAGATAGCCACCAAGACCGAATTCTATCAGAAGGACATCATCATTATTAACGACTTTCCCCCACTTCGCTAGGTTTTGTCCGTAGGTGCCTAACAGTTAAACAGTAGCCTATATCTTTCTCATAGACCTAGAGAATAGACTCAGCAATACTCCCATGAAATCGACCAGTCTCTAGAAAGAGAGAAAGCTAACGTGCGGCTAATACCTGTATATTAATCCAATTTGAATTTATACATGGCAAACACTCAGTCTACTCACACGTCTATGGTGTTACTCCACCCAGCTCATAGTGTAACTATGTACTAATTTTATTTAAATCCATCGAGTTATTACGGCGTGGGGTTACAATTGAGCTATTATAGTGCACAAGTTTGCATGCAGACACAGTGTACTGCCTATTTCTGTCACTCTAATACTCCGATGGTACGAGAATTTGACACGACCGGTGTCGAATAATCTGTATATTTAGGATCCGACCGAATGTTTTCTTATAGTGAGCTTCGGTTCGAAAGAATATCTGCAACTATATGCATAATATCTGTAACTTTCGAGTTCGAAACCGAAATTAGGTTTTGATTTACTAATTTCGGTCGACAGTAAATGTTATAAACATATTTATTACATTTACTACCTAATAATATGTACCTACGATTGTCTAAAATAAAATCTAATTAAACCATTATGGCAATCTTGATAGATATATAATCAATCAAATACTAATATTAAGTATACACCAGCAAGAACTGTATCTTTAAAAATGTTTTCCATAACTGGACATGGTTTATAATTTGTTATAGTTTTTTTTCCCATAAAATACGAGAAACTATAATTGAAGTTAGCTACTTTAGTTATTATATTAATAGTATATTAGTTCTACTTTATGATTGCTACTATCCTGCCAAAGTAATATTAACCATGTCATTTTACATTGTAAATATCATTCATTAACTAGTGTTGTAATTATTATCACTCTCATATTTCTATTGTATTTCTAGAAAAATTATAAAGCTTTTAATATAACCAATGTTTTTATCATTCTCTCTTTATGTTATTCAATATATTTAAAAATAAAATATATTGAATAAAATAAAATCAAGTTCATCTAGAAAATAAAATTTGGGCTTTTTCAAAGTCGTACACTCTAAATATTATACTTATCACGAAAAAATGTTAGTAGCCTTATTAACAATTTTTCCGTTACATCTCTAAAAAAAATTGGTAAATCATTTTTAGTGACCAAAAAAACGAGTATAGGTAACATTATGGAGAATGATAAAATTACAAGTAGTTGGGTATTGGTTTATATTATAAGAATATTTTAATTTAAAAAAGCTTTTATCTAACTTTATACATAGTGCACGTTTATTATGCCTAGCTCTCCCCGACATGCAGTTTTTATTATCTTTTTATTAAATTTACCTAATTTTATAATACTTTAAATTATTTTTTATAATTACTGTTATTTGATAGAAAAAAAAAACGTAAAAAAATTACTATTCTCAAGCTGTTCCTTAGATCTGTAAATTTTTTACAGATTATATCTAGTTATTTCATAGTTTTTAGTTTATTTTTTAGAATACATTTTTAATTATTCCTCATTTTAATATTTTGGTGACAGTTTTAATACTTTTATGTTTTGGCTTATTCCAAATCAATTTTGTTTTATGTTTTCTTTTTTATTGTCATTTCACATATTTTATCCTTTTTAACCAGAGTAGAGGATACGTCAAAACATACAGGTACGTTTTAATTGTTATATGGATGGGTGTAAGGCAAAAACCACTTCTCAAATAATATCTCACTAGTAATTATAATCGGTAAGATATTACAGAACAACGAGATTTTTCCTATTATTATTAACTACCTGTAAAAATTATAAATCTTTTCACTTTTGTATTGGCCTACAAAATCCTTATACTTGTTATTTCCAACCAAAGAGACGAAAATAAAACGAAGGGGACGTTAGTGAAAATATACATATTTATCATCATACATACAGTATTCTATGTTTCAAATCGTATTTGCTTAACATGAGAAATGGAATAGTGAGATATTACATGAGTAGTGCGGTGGCGAAAGGCTCTGGTCAGTAGCGCATGTAACGCAGTAGTGTGGTTTAGTGGGCGCGCACTCCACGTGGGACCCGCGCAGGCACCACTACGAGCGCGTGCGGCGCCCGCGCATGCGCAGGGCCGGCTCCGGCGACACCATCTCCACAGGTGTGTAGCGACCGACTTGTACGTCAGAAACGAGATATTAACACCTTACTCCACTGTTCTTATGATATCCTGGTACTTTGACTTTGCGGTTCTAGATTATAAAATAAAGATATAAATACATAGTCTAGTGTATATATTATAGATATAATATTATTATTATTACATAATTATATCTCGTTTCTATATGGCCAATTCGAAATGCTTGCTTTGCTTTTAAAATAATAAATATATATTTTTTATATTAATCGTTATTGTGGATTTTACTGCATAACTTTTTCTTGTCTTTGATGACTAAAAGAATCGATATTATTCACTTCAAATCCACAATATCGGTTTTATTATAATAAAATTCTAATATATAATATCAATATATGTTTATATTTACATATATACGAGTGACGAGTGAAATACTAACACAATTTTCCATCGGTAAGTGTAGTTACGAGTGATAATGTTAGTTTTTTAGTTAGTTCCTAACCAGCTAGATAAGTAAATTATTAGACTAATTTATATAATATTATATTTAAGTAATGTACTTTTAACACTTATTTATAGTATACACGATTTAAACTAAGTTTTTGTGTTTTTTTTACATTAAATTTGATTATGTTGGATTAATTATAACCATTTTTCTAAGCCATGCCATAAAAACTGTCTATGAAAATATCATCGAGTCGTCGATAATATTTACGATTATCTTACGACTAATAAAAAAAAGTTTTATATAAGGGTTATATTATAAAATTTTCACGAACTATACTTTATTAACTCATCAATTATTACCAGTAATTTAATATGTATGATAATATTTTCAGGCATGGAAGATGAAATCTGCCCCTACGCAACGTTCCACCTGCTAGGATTCCGTGAAGAGATGGACCCCAGCAAGGCTATCGCGTTCCCGCACCACCACCCCTCGCACGCCGGCACGCTGGCGCACCCCCACCCGCACCCCCACCACCCCGCTCACTCCCGCGCCGGATCACAGAGCATGGTGAGTACTACAAATTTCACTGTGATAGCAGAATACGTAATGCCAGGATATCTATCTCCATCAGCCTATTAGCGAACATATTTAACAAAATCTGTATTACGAACAGCCACGAGCCAACAGCCGCTACGCACGCAAGAACTCCCAGGGTGGACAGAGCGCCATCTACTCCACCGCCCCCGAGTACGACGACCCCGCCACCTGCGCTGAAGAGGACCAATACGTGAGTGTAACCAAATCAAAATATACTTTATTCAATATACTTTTACTAGCACTTTAAAATTATTATTTTTTATTTAAATTAAATGTCAGTATGTAAATGAGCCTTATAACCTATATAAGAAGCAGGTTTTATTCCCATCTTTATACCCTCCATGTTTTATCCAAATCTTTTCTTAAAATACATCTCTGTTTTTGTTCGAAGGTATTTAGAAGATCGTAAAGGATTTAGCTTTCTAATATGTCTATATAACTTGTCGGCAGCGCGCTCGCTACTCGCGGCCGATGTACGCGTGCGGGCCGGAGTACGACGAGCCCGCGTGCTGCGCGCCCGAGGACGAGCAGTACACCGGCGCCTACGGCACGCCCTACTCCGACCACTACGGATCCCGCCCCAGCATTGGTATCACCACTGTCTACCCTCACTCTTACTCCTTCAACTATCTTGTCAACAATGTTACTAATTATTACCTAGCGTTATAATAGGTTGTTTCCCCATACAAACTTTCGTCCTTATTTTCACACCCTTAAGGAATAATTTCCGGGATAAAAAGTGTCTTATGTCCTTCCTAGGGTCTGATGAAACTATGTTTTTACCAAATTTCATCTAAATTGGTTCAGTAGGTCCAGAGATTACGTATATAGATTAGAATGAACTTAAGTATACCAAAAGCTTAATATACCTATCCCAGATTAACAATACCTACTTACACATAGTTAAATTATGTGAAACCATCTAATAACTAGTCAGCATCAAAAGTTTCAGATGCAACCAGTTCTAACTCAAACTAATGCTAAACGAAACCTCCCCAACTTAATGGAGCGTCGTAGGATCGCTTACGTACTCCACACACTGACCTCATTTGGGTGGACTCTTAAAATACACCCGACGCCATAGTTTTGTTCAGATTTTCTCTTTTATTCGCAAAATCTTTTGATTCTGAAATTTTACACGCACGAATCCATCTCAAATAAATAAAATAACAACAAAACTTAAAAATATTCCTAAAAAGGCACGGACGTATGTGGGTGTTACGACTTACTAAAATTTTAAAAAAAGAAAAACGTCGGCGATGGCAGGCTTCTACTCAGAGAAGTATCAGGCGCAATCCACACCGCACACCGCCCACCGAAGTGGGTCTACCTTCCTGCATCTCTTGGCTTCACGCTCGACTCACTATGTCATAGTGAAGTGTGAACACACATTAATAAATAAATATGTTGGCACATTAAGACACAACGCCATCTAGTTCCATAGTAAGCTACGAGGCTTGTGTTATGGATACCAGATAGTTAATACACTATTATATAACTTTAAATACATACATTTTATAAATATAAACAATTAAACACCCATGACTGAAGTACAAACATTCGTGCTCATCACACAAATGAATGCCCGCGGGACTCAAGCCCGCGACCGCTGGCACATCAAGTAGAGTCACTACCAGGGCTGCCAGATCGTATAATACAAAAATTGAAAAATATGGTTATTTTATGTATATTTCATTTTAAGTTACGTATTTTTATTGAAATTTTAAATTCTCCACAGATTATTTCTTAATAGTTTTGTTAATTTGCATAATAAAATTTTAGTACAATTTGAGTGAGCCAGCGGTATAAAATAAGTTGGTTCTACTAACAGTAGTTGTCTCTACTGGCAGCCCTGGTCAGACTGAGCCATACATCCATACATGTCGTCAAATTGAGTGACATTGAGGTAGGGGGGTTAGTCTATCAACCCTTGCCTCTTGCAGGAACCCGCAAGTGCGGCAGCTCCCCCGAGCCGCCCCCGCCCCCGCCCCGCAACAACACCGACAACAACTGCTCCTCCTCCTTCAACGAGAGCAAGGACTCCAACGAGATCTCCGAGGCCGAGTGCGACCAGCCCCGCAACTACCCCGGTGAGCCACGCCTCATACAATAATATGTTTCATACATTTGTATCATATATTATATATTATTAATATTGAATTGCTCATATATGAAAACTCTTTTCTAAACTTGAATTTGAATCGCCAATATTTCTGAAGTAGTTTTAAAATCATACCTTACATTTTATTGTAAATTATTTCGAATTATCTATATTATATATAATTATTACTTTCTCATAATTTAGTTAGTTAAGTTTGTTTCGAAAATGAAAAGAGAATAACAAAAAAAAATGAAAAATATTCAAAATAGGTTTTGAGAAATAATAACAAATATGTATAGACAACTGAAGTCTCTATTGTTATTAATAAAAAAAATATTATTTTAATTTCTCGAGGTCTTTATTAGATTAGAATTTGTAAAGCAAAATAAGCTTTAGGTATTAAAATATTTAATCATATTATGCAGTTGAAAAGTTCGACATACATACCTTTTAATATACTAGCTCCATAATATATATATTTATTTATTTCGCCATATTATCAATTTCCAATTTGACACAAAAAGTAGAAGGAATTTTCGAATTACGAAATATAATTTCTCTGATGTCGAAAATGCTCAACGCTCTAATAATATTCGCAATAATATTAATATCCGCAAACCAATTTGCACAAAATCTTACAATACAATACCTAGGTTTAGTTATTTTCATTCAATTTAATTCAAATTCCAAAATATGTATCATTATTATAAAGGATTTCATAGGAATTTGTTAAAAATAACATTTACCTACTAGCCTAAGTACCTAGTGTTTTCTTGCAGCAAACAAAGTAAACTATTTTCCGAAAACATTTATGTCAATTCATATTAACCGTTCACTTGTAAAACGTCACCCATCATATAAAACCCATCCTGTTCATATTATGAATTGTGTAAAAATGATTAATTTGACATTAATTGTGGAATTGGTCCATGCGCACTGGGGGTCGACTGAACAGAAGACGGTAAAACGATTTTGAATCCATAGTTTTAATTTTTTATTACTTATGATTAATATTTGTGACTGACAGCATGCTACTCTCCGTTATAAGTTATAATAAGTGAAAATGTTCCAAGCTTTTAGAAATTCTGGCAATTGGCTTACCACGTTTTGTTTTTCAAAATTTCTCCTTTTCAGTGTTTCTTATTGTCTACTTGGTAACTCAAAGATTTTCATTATTTATATAATTTAAACATCAAAATTTTTCATTATAAGAAACAAAATATTTGGATAGTATATGCAAAAATGATATTGAAAACCTTTGTTTTACCAAATACTAGGTTTGAATAATTTTATTGAATCTTAAAATTATTATCCTTTAATCGAAATTAAATTCAACATCGCTTAGACGTGATTGTGTTAACTAATTCTTTCTATTTGAAGTGGTTCTGTAGATTACTTAGTTCATGTGTTTGTCTCCTTAACAATATCCATTAAACAAGAACAGTATATATGAAAATACTGTACTAATATATTCAACAAATTAAAATATTAAAATAAGTGAATACAAAGTGTATTTAGTGGATATTGTGAAGGGAAAAGAGTAGAGGGCAGGGTCGAGTGTCGTGCCTAGTGTAGACACGTCGTGACTTGTTGTTGCAGTAAGGGCCCACACTGCCAAGGACGGCTTGCACAGCGACGAAATGAGGAAACTCATTGACAGGTCAGTTGATAGCTTCTACATTACGAACAAACCTACACACACGCATATTTGTACGCAACACGCATATTCAATACTAATGTGTTTGATAAAAAGCATCCTATATTTTATATATTAATTAAGGATTTCTGACGCAAGTTATTTTTTATATAATTCATTCACATTTTGAACTATTTTATTAGTTTAATATAATGAGAGTAAATAGAGTATAGAATTGTTTAAGTATCCTTGTAGTAAACTCCTTGAGAATGCAATAGAAAAGGTGCATTTAAATGTACTTATTTAAAAATGATAATATTCCATAGCAATAATAAATCATGAAGACTAAAGGCTGTGGATTCGAGTCCCGGTTAAATAAATATTATAGCAATTTGAAGCATGTTATTATAATACCACTTTTTGCAAATAAGCATATTGTCGTTTATTGTGAAGTTTAATACTTAATTTAATAGTGATTCTCTGATGCACTTTACACAGTGTTTTGTTAACAATATACACAAAACTAATCGCCGACTCTTTGTGTGTGCGCTATTTTGTCTCGTAGTAGTCGGCTGCGAATATGATATACATATATATTTGTACGCATAGCGCCGATATTAAGCATGTACTATGTTCTGCATCCATGGTCTCCAGGAAACAGTAAGTCAATGTATGTGAAGACAAATAATAATAATTTGCTGAATGTTGTTTAATTTTGCCTGAACTGTTTTGTGTACCTAATAATTATTAACCTTATGTGGCTAACACTTTATCCATTGCACTAAAATTTGTTTTGCTGAATTGTTGACTTTCAGAGCCAATGTTTATTTTATTTTAAAAAAGTGTAACATTAGTCCGCCTACACCCAATATTTATAAAACACGACAACCTATATACCTACTGCATAACCGTTATGTTATCATACATTTTAAGCTTTTTAGCAGATGAATTTTACATCTAGATGGCCCCGCGTAGACCAAACTAAAATTATCGATTTTTTTATTTTTTGTTATAAAAGAGAATTCTATTAAGAAATCAAATATTCAATATCGATAATTTTATTTATCTACGCCTCACAAGCTACCATTTATTGCTCAATTTCATTATATATCGCAGTATCCATTGTATAATCTTGAATACCACTCAATATTTTAGACATTTGTGATAGTGGTCACTTCCTGTCAGTCGTCTTATATGTACCTACCTACTGCTCTGACTGTTGTTATAGTTATCCAAATTCATTGTTTCTTACAAATTATGTTCACCATTTAAAAGTGAATGTTATTAAATATGTTCTTTTAAGTCTAAAAATACTAAGATAACTTCGATGTTTGCAAATTTAAATTACCTACAAATTCTTACAAACGCCTACCACCAAATGTGTCTCACATATTGTACAGCTTATAATCGTTCACGATTGGTGTTACAGACCAGAAGCAAACACCCCAATCCCCCAGCAAGCAGTCCACGGGCGAGGACTCACAGCCTACGATACTGTGGCAGTGTAACCTGTAAACCGTTCACACGTGGACACACCTACACACACACGCCCCTCATGCTTTAAATCACCATTCTAAACGACCACACTCGCGTTGAGCGAATCGCCGCTTTACCGACTTATTATGATCTATTGCGCCATTATATAGTTTCTCTTTGCTTCGCGATTTTGTTGCGACAGAGCTCGGCGAGAATGTGGTCGTCCCTCCAGTATTGTCCTCGTTTTCGTTCTCACAGGTGTGTCGTCATCGTTACTTCATTTCAAAATTTTGTATGCGTTGGTTGGATTTATTTTAATGTATCATTAGTAGCACCTTTGTGCCATCAAGTCATTTTTTTTAAATTCGCCCGCGATGTGCCGCAAAGTCGGGTAAGAGCCAGTATATGCCCTCCCGTAGCACCCGTCGCGTTACTCTGCATAGTGTTGCCATGGGAAACAGAAAATTATGGTTGTGGTAGTTAATTCAGATGATATATTTTCCTTTAGGTGAGTGACGTGCTATTAAAAATTATATTATCGAATACGAATTGTGCAGCGGCTTACCCGACCGTGTGGCAAAAACCGCGAGCTAACGACGATGTGTTAAATTTATTTCGATCTTATTTGTTTAGCTTAATTTAAAAGATCAGAAAATAACGGAGCATGCGCTGGTTTTTGGGGTGAACTCAAAGATATTTCGATTTAAATTAAGCTCAACATGTAATAATGTGATATTTTGAATTTTTACTCATTTTATTTTATGTGAAATGTACTAACATTAACGTTATTTATATTTGTGTACTTTTAAGGCAATCAGTTATTAAGTAACCACTCGACCGCAAGGTCGGTACGATGCTTCCTTTTAATGTTAACAGTTTCGTGATGCTTTTTACCATTTATGTTATAGCCACGTCATTATTTGTATCGTGTATTGTTTAATGTTTTCATTGCGTTTACGTAACTTCTTAGGTAAGGATTAGATGTAAGGCATCTTATTGATTAATCGACTCTTTAAAAATACTATGTAATCTGTAGCTAGTTATGTAAGGACGTACAATATTGAATTTCGGTACGTATAACACTAAGTAACCCTACGTATTACATATTAATAAAAATGAAATCATCGACTAAATATTGGCATTCACGGTCATCGAGCTCCTGTAATACTATATAATACGGAATTTCAAAAGCATTTTGTATGACTTAACGTTACCCTAATGTAATAAGGTGCATTTTTATTCATAATCGTAATCTATTCTCTCTGTATGTAATATGCAAGTGTTAGATGTAAGACACGCGCGTGTCACTTTCTAGATGTCTTCTTATATGTTGTGGCATCGTGTAAGCTTCGCCGAGTAGCTTGTAGATAGGTTTTCGCGACTTCCTAGCAACAGATCTCTTCTTGATAACCTTCCAATTAGAAATTTTGGATTTATAAATTATAGTTATAATTCTAATATGAAATATTTAAATAAGGATATTCAAAATTATAATAATAATATAAACCTTTTTCGGCAATTAAATTATCTTTACGCGTTTCTTGCAAAATGGCAAAATTAGGTACGATTTTCATATATTTTTATCCAAAAATATTTTAATGTTTTCGCTTATTGAGTGTTGTTTGCGGCTTAGTTCATTATTCATTTTATAAACGCAAAATGACATCGCTAATTGCAAGTAACTATTTGTACCAAAGTGTTTGAATTGTGTTGAATAAAGTACTCATATTTCAACTACGAATTGTTCTTTTATTTCGACCACAATGTCCTTATCGTAAGGTATCATACACATGTACAAAAACAAAACTCACACTGACAAAGACTTTTATTACTGTTGTTACGACTTTAAATTAAATAGTTGTTAAACTAACATGCTCGAATCACTGGAAAGAAATTTACGCCGATGCAGCTTTCACAATTTCTTCAGCTACCTCCACAGCGATAGCAGCCTCAGCCTTAGCCTGGAAAAATATTTTTGATATTTATAAAACTTCCATATTGAAAATATTGACAAATTTATTTATTTATTTATTGAATAACAAATTCACATATTATCCATTTTAGGATCATAAATTATAGTATAATACTAATAATAAAAAGTTCCTAAAAATATACAAAACTCCAAAGGATGAAGACCTTTTTTTTTGGTTTATATAACCCAAATGGGTTAAACACAATGTTTACAACATTATATTCGAATCAAAGTCATTGGCAATGTTTTGGACATTAAAAGAATATCCTTTCTTTTTTAAGCTGTATCATCCATACTTAATATTTATACATGTGAAAGTGTGTTTGTTTGTCCTTCTTTCACGTCGAAACAGAATGACGGATAAGCATGATTTTTTGTGAGGAGATAGTTGGAGGGCTGGAGAGTGACATAGGCTACTTTTTACCGCGGGAGATTATTTCACTCCCACGGGAAAAGACCTTATAATACAACCCAAAAAATAATAATAATAATAATCAGAATTACTTGAAACTTGGTATTATTTCAATACAATTAAATAAATAAATATTAAATAAATACTTGTTTTAGGACTTTTCGAAATTAATCCATAAGGGGGTAAAATAGGGGATGAAAATTTATATTAAAACTACTTTATTTTCGTGAGCGAAACCGCGGGTTCTGCTAGTAAAATAATAAATTCTATATAGACAGCATTTAGTTTTTGTCTACAACTGCACTCACTAGATGTTATGATACAAAATAACCTATGTTTTATGAATTAGTAATGCAGAAGGTAAGATATGTCCATTCAAAGTTTCCCTCAAGTCTATTGAGCTCTTACAATGTAAAGAAATAACAAACACATTTACTAAACAATACATAAACTTTAAGTTGTTAGAGAATTTGTTTGATATACTTGGTGAGAATAATATTAGTGTGATGTGTACCTGTTCATTGGCAGCAGAGTTGAGTTCTGACTGCGCCTTGCTGAGTGCCTCCTGCGCCGCGCCGCGGTCCAGGCTCTCTAGCGGGTGCGCCTCTTCAGCAAGTACCTGAAGTAAACAAAGAGTAAATAAAAATATTTATTGTACCATAGATTACACAATATTATATGAGTTTTACGTTGTCACTAACGACATATTATGTCATAACGACACAACGACAGATGTCCCATTCCATAAAAAGAATTGAACAACGCTAATTCAATATGGGAAAATACTTCGGGTGGTTTTTGTTCGCTTGAGTAGACGATAGATGGCGTTAAATAGTATTCTATACTAATATTATAAAGAGGTAAAGTTTGTGACATTGTGAGTTTGTGGCGTTGTAGGAGATAATCTCTGGATCTACTGAACCGATTTAGATGAAATTTGGTTAAAGATTCAAATCATCCCTTAAGGGGGTGAAAATAGGGATGAATGTTTGTATGGGGAATAAAGCCAGGGACGAACACGAGCGAAGCGAGGGTGAGGCGCTAGTAAATCAAATACACAAATTTTTGTATTTCTTATGTAATAAATAATTGAAATTTTTGTATGAAGGACAACTCGGCTGCACGAGTTACTATGGTTTGTCCCGATTTTGGACCAGATTTCTGAACAATTTTCTGAATAGATTTCGGTTTTACAATTATGTATATATTATAATATGTATGAGAAATTCAAGTTTTAATCACTTGTTCGATTTTATTCTCTACAAAAAGAAATGTACTCCAAAATTTATAAATGTCAATACAAATACAGCTCATACATCATAACTGGTAACACAATATTTTTTAAAGTCGAACTTTCGGCAAAAAAGTAACAATTTGTTAAGAGAGAAAGCCTTATTTGAGTGTCAAGCTAAAAAAGCAACAAAACATTTGTAGTTATAAATACTGATCAACAAAATGTTAATCCAATACTATTTTTAAATGAGCAATTCTTGTATTTTTATCTCGGAAAAGGCTCTTAAAGATTTCGCTGAAATTTGATATATTTTCGGTGGCGAAAAATCGATCTAGATTAGCCTTATGTCTGCAAAAAAACATATTCTCGAGTTTTCATGCGATTTTTTTCGCACAAAAAATATGATCGCTTATTTCTCTGTCGGATATAAAAATTTTACTTTTGTTTTTTTTTTGGATTTATTCAAGTTTTTAGTTTAAATAAAAAAAAAAAGAAAATTGTATTTTTGGTCAAAAACTCCGAACGAAGCCCGGTCGCCCAGGTAATATTACCTGAACTGAGGAATCATCATTTACAGTGATGGTGCCAGATGAAACAAAAATCTTGCTTTGTTTGCCGTCATTTTCAATCACTGTAACCACGCCAGGCCTGAGGACAGCTGGAATTGAAAACAAATGAAATAAGTTACTAAGTGTTCAATAATATAATTTTATTGTTTCATTTTTTTTTCAAATCTTTGCCAAGAAATCGCAACTTTCATGTTAGATAGTTTAATAACTGAATAACTATTCAAAGTAGATTTGATTGATTAATATTGTGCAAGTCGTAGCGGCTTGATTTGAACAAAAATAGATGGAGTGAAAGGGAATAAGAAATGACATTCCAGAACATTCTTTACAGGATAAAAGATTGCCTTGCAATACCTAAATAATGAAATAATTATGAAAAAACTAAAACAATATCACACAAAATTGTCCTAATGCACAAAATGATCTTAATATCTTAATATCTCGTATATTATTATCCTAGAATTAGACATGTTTATACTAGTTTTTGCCATTGACTCTGCTCATAGAAACAACACAAAGGGTTACAAAGGGTAAAAAGGGTACAAAGGGTTTTCCAATAAGGACGGGTTGATGTTGATTGGCTGTGGCGGCCATGTTGTTTTGGCGACATCTGTCAAATCTATTGTTTATTATTCCATTATTGATGCAAAATCATCATGGTAAGTTAAAAGATTATCAAAACGAGTGCTTGTTAGTGCAAACGTTGCGCGCGTTACCTTTTTACGGCAGACGCGGTGGCCCTTCAAAGTCGACTCTGCAACGTCTGGTAGACAAATTAGAAACGACCGGTTCTGTAAACAATCAGCCACCCAGTATGCCAAAAGAACACCAGATCGGCCGAGAACATCGCTGCACAAAAGCTCGGCCTTTCGCAGACTTCAACTTAGCGGATCTTGCGTCGGAACATGGACCTGCACCCGTACAAGATCGAACTGACTCAGTAGCTTAAAGTTAATGACCACAGACAACGATGTTTCTGCCAACTGGCCTTCGAAAGCGTTTGAGAGTAGGGCTATCTCTCGCAGAGGTGACATAAATTAGCCAACAAGATCGTGCGATTTGACCTCACCAAGTGTTTTCTTGCGGGGTTTTCTGATGTTTATACCAATAAACTTCAATCGACCGATGGTCTCAAAGTCGACATAACCCAGGCCATCGCTCAATTTCAGCCAGATTTATGTGGCAGAGTCATTGACAATTGGACCTCTCACATCCGGTCTACAGTAAGAACCTAAAGTGGTCATTTAAATGATTTTATATTCCATATTAAATGGCATTCATCTTGATCTTTGAAATAAAAAAATAATTTAGTTGATACCTCGCACACAGCTTTTTTTATTTCATTTCAACATCGATCCACTCTTATTGGAAAACTCTTTAGAATAAATAAAACAATCAAAAGTATAAGCCTGTCTCATTTAATATGTCAATTAATTGAATATGCAACCTGATTTTTTAGAAGATATAGTTTATTTAAAAATTAATATTCCTTATTAATTTTTAAATAAACTATATCTTAAATGAGAAATCGGAAATGGTATTTAAGATTAATTTTTTGAAAACATTCTTTTTTTTGTTTTCAGTGTTATATCTATACATTATTATTTATTACTGATAATGAAAGTCTATTCAGTTATATGGACAAAATTTGCTAATTAATTATATAATGGTAGTACAGTTACGGCTTAAGAAGAACTGTGTAGTCTGTTATCTTTGAAGACTTACCTAAAGTAGGGACGTGTTTAGGCAGGATACCAAAAGCTCCACTAAATGATGGTACATCAATTTGTTTTACAATTTGTTTGTCAAAGAATACCTAAAAATTATCAACAATTAAAAATTTTACACTGTTCGTCCACACATCTATTGGGTGTGTAAATCTTCAGTCTATAGTAAATTAGTATATATAACTTATGAAGTTTTTCTAAAAATAGAATAAATTAATTATAATCTTTAACCTTCTGTTCATGCATAAAAACTAGTACTGAAATGGATAATACATACAGCAGCCGGATAATAAGTCTATTGTCACATTATATGTGCAATAAGTGCATAATGTTATTTAAAGAATTTAGGCTTACTTGGGTGTCATCATGACTTAGTGATTAGTGAAAGAAAAAAAATTGTTTACTTGCTCAATCACTTTGCGAGCCTCATAGTTGGTGGATGGTTAACTCTAAGCATACACAACAATATTTTACCAAGCGTGGGTACCCACACTTGTGAAAGTATACCAGAGTGTACCTTTCAGCACCTTACTGCATTTACAAGATAATTTTGTATTATTTACTGGATTTTTTGTGCAGCTTATTAAAGAAATAAATTGTAGTTTTTAAATATCCTTTATCCATACAGATATTGCACTACTATCTGATATCTGGCTGGATAGTAAAATAAGGCTGGATACCGGATAATTACAGGATATTCACTTCATCTCTATTAAAAACTATTAAATCTGTTGAATAGTCACTAACCATGATAAAATTTTGTCCCTTTGAAAGAGAAAAGATAAGAATAGTTTTTCAAATATTTGTAATGTGTATTTTTCATGTGTAAGTTCCAATTTACAGGGTTAAAAAGACCAAACAATTAATAGTTCTGTATCCATCTATGTTAGTTTTAAAATTTATTTAACATAGGTACCTTATTACCAGCTGCAAACGTAAGAGCCATTTCTCCTTCTTTAGGTGCATCAGCATAACTACGAACTTGAACCCTCCTGGCTACTCCTCGCAGCATATTACGCAGAACTAAAGCCATTCTGTAAAATAACAGACAATACTTATGATTTATATGAAAAGACCCAACTAAATATGCAAATCTAACTATAGTAAATCTAAAATATTTCTATTGTTGAGAACTGGTTGGTTTTAAAAACACTAAAGTAACATTTTTTTTTTAAATAATATGACGATTCCAATGGGTCCGTTTAAGTTCCAATTTTTAATTTTCTTTTATATATTAGAAAGTTTTCGAGCATATCTAAACTGAAGTGTTCTTCTTTCAATTATATTTTTTTTTATATGCAAGGACATTAGCACACAGCACCATCTAGTTTGTGATTTTATTGTATAACCTATAATAGACAGACAACAATATCTGAATCTAATACATAACTACTGACTTCTGATTAGATAAAATTTATAAAATTCATCAAAAGTTCTATATATACGAGTATATTTCTCAATTATATTATGCAAATAAGAAAAATATACCGACAACATAGATTATGTAATAATTTTCTCTGTAATAGTCTTAATTTTATCAGCTATCATTTAACCGTTTAAAAAATTGAAGTTCTATGATTGAATATATTAAATGACTAATATTATCTTTCATACTCACTTTTTCTTTAAAATATTCCGATTTAGAGGTGTTGAAAAAGTTTTACGGCTCGGAACACCTTCTACCTGTCCTGATGGATGCTGTCAATGTGACACTTGGTGACAAAAGAGTAAAGACAAATTAACATTCGACTGCGTTCAATTTATTAATGATTAGTTTAAAATATACTTGAATATAAAAAATATGATTTGATTTTACTGATGTAACGGGAAAAGAGTATATTTGTGTTTATTATATTATATAATTCTTTGATGTGCCTATAAAAATCAAGTATTTTTTATTTTATTTTTTCAAGAGGTAACTTCTTAATACGATTTTTAAGTGCATAACCCATAAACTAATAATAAATATATACATAAATTAAATTTTATTTTTGTAGAAAAAGACATACACTCAAGGACATTTGTTTATTATATTATATTTTTTTATCTATAGTATCATAGTGCGATGACATCTAATTGTCAATTTGACATTTATTTTGATGCAGATAATTGAATTTGGTACCTATTAATTTTGATGTAAATTATAAAACCGCGAAATATTTACGTTTTCAGAGGAAATTTTATTACAACCTAATAAAGTTTAATGGAAGTTCTTTTAAATTGAACAATATAAGAAATATGATTTTGAAGGACTTTAATATAGAAAAAATACTGAAATTAGCTGTAATTCATGTAGACCAAATAACTTGTATTGAATGGTAAATACATTTTGAATGATTTTATTATACAAACTGTCTTGTACTTGTTGCCATTATAACATTAAAAACAGTATCTTTACTTTTGTTATAGTTGTAAATATTATTCAGTTCCTACTACAGCGATATGTGGGCACACACTATGCCATTCATGTTGGCGTGGGAGAGGAACGTGCCCTTCATGTGGACTGCAAATAGAAAAAAAAGCATTAATGTTAAATTTACCAGTTCAGAGTCAAAAAGAACATGTCTACAATTTTATCCAAACATTTGAAGATCTTTTTAATGTAAAACGTAAGTGGGTTAATTTTTTTTTAAACTATTTGAATTATAATTAACATTTAGTTACATAAATATTTTTTACATTAATTTTCTAGTTGACGACTTTTTGATAAACATACCTGCTGAAAAAGAACTTGAAGATCCCAATAAAAATGTAAAAGCTTGGCTATCAAGTTCTGAAAATCATTTCTCAGCCCCAGTGACAGACTCTCAACAGTCCGCCCAATTTCAATCTATGGAACAAGATTTGGTCCAAACTGTTAAACATGTAACAAACGACATTCAAATTCATTCTGAAAAGGCAAACATTTTGAAGTCGATTGATGTTGTTCATATAACACCCCAACAAGATGATTGGGATAAAATTGAAGAAATGCCAGAAGTAGAAAACAATAAACAAGAAAATCCTGTTGGGCCAATGGATATGGAATCATTTGGTTTCTTGATGAATGATAAAGTTTATTCATCATGCAATCCTAGAAGAAGTTCTAGAAAAAAGGAAAGTTGTGTAGATGACAATATTGTATCTCTTGAAAAATCTTCAGATAAGAATAGCCATAAGACATTCAATATGGATGCAGAAAATAACTCTACTAAGCTTACTAAAAATTGGAATAATGTAAAAAGAATGAAAAAGGAATTCAGTAAGCTAAATAAGAAGAATAAGAACAAATTAAACATTTCTATTGAAATGTGTAAAAAAACTCAGACTAATAAAGGAGGTTTTTCTAAATCACCAGATGTTCTATATGAAATCGAAGATAATACTCCAACAACTAAAAATAATGATAATGAAGTCACAAAAGTTAATTCAAAAAACAAACTTACAGATATAAAAGAAAGTAGCAATGAAAATAATAACCCACAAATGATTGACACAAAAGAAGATAGTATTTCTAATAACAAGTCTATAACTAACAATACAACAAAGTCTACTCCTGAAATTAAGGACTCTGAAAAAGAAAACCACATGGAATACACATTAAAAAATAATCATTATACTGTTTCAGAAAAAGAAAAACACATTCAATACACATTAAATAATAATCAACATATCATTCCAAAAACCTATAAGCAAGTAGACCCTCCTAAAGTTTGCTTCTTTAAGAAAGGTGTTTTGAATAAATCTATTGATAAAACTATAAATCCCAATGAAATTGACTTGGAACAAAACAACAACTCTAATAAATTAACTTCTAACAATGATGACATTGAAATATCAATAAAAATAGGTAGTATGATAGCAAATATTTATATTAAAAAAAAAGAAAATGATATCCAGTTTAAAATTAATTCAGACTGTGAAATTCAAACATCTTTAACTAATTTGGTTAAAGAAAAAGAAAATACATCATGTTCTCCACATAACATTACAGAAAGGCAAAACATAAATAGCAAAGATAATAATGATCTAATTATAAATGAAGTTGCTTCTGTTATTACAAAAGTACAGAATGTTGAAAAATTTACACCCTCAAAAAAGAATACAGCTTCTGCTGACACAGCAACAGTTCAATGTGAAATAACTGAAAGTATAGAGAAAGAATTTGCAAATACAGCTAACGCTCAATTTGCTGAAAAGACAAGCGCAATATCACAAAACGAAAGTAATGCTAATGAAAATTTAATAAAAAATCTAGCTCAACAAACTACAAAGCAACTAGGTAGTATTTCTGAAGACATAGAATTTTTAAATGACATTTTCGATGGTGAATCTGTTAAAGAAGCAAACATTCAACCTCTTATAACATCAAAAAATACTCCTTCAACAATATTAAAGTTTACTACGAAAAGCAATAAAACAAAATCCCAAAAAGATAAAAGGGATAGAGATTGTACTGAAATAGAAGATCTCCCCAATAATAAGAAAAGAAAAATATCACATAGTGATTGTATAATTGATGATAATTTAAAAAATAAATCACAACCAACTACAGAAAAGGATGTAATGGAACAAGACAGTGAAAACATGAATTATGATGCAATAATGAGTCAAGTATTTGCTAATATAGATGCCGACATGGGAAAATTACCAAGTAATTCCAATAAAAATAAACCGTTACAAAACCATAAAAATAAAAGATTGTCAGAAAACAATGAAATAGAATTTTCACCAAAAAGCAATGCAATAAATAATAAAGAAGTTATAAATGAAAAATATAGTGAAAATATTTTTTCTCTATCAAAAGGAGGTCAAGATTCAGAAATATTTGTAACATCAAATTTTAAGGTACTTTAAATAATATACATCTATACTGATATTATAAAGAGGTAAAGTTTGTGAGTTTGTGATGTTGTAGGGGGTAATCTCTGGATCTACTGAACCGATTTAGATGAAATTGGGTAAGAAGATAGTTTGGGACCCTGGGAAGGACATAGAATACTTTTTATCTTGGAAAACATCCCTTAAGGGAGTGAAAATGGGGATGAAGCAAGGGTGAGTTGCTAGTATATTATGTTTTCCTAAACCATATGCCTATTTAACTAATTGTGAAACTCATATTTTGCAGACATTTGAAGATAAAGAAAACACTAAGATTACATTTGAAAAACCATATGAAGAATTGGAAAGTATGGCAAATATTAGTAAAACAAATAAAGAAAATAATAAGCAAGTTTCACCAACAGCTGACTTAGATATTATTGAGCTTAGTACTCCAGTAGATGACGAAGATTCTGATAAAAGTGTAGTGGAAGAAACACCTCAGAAGTATGTTTTTATGAAGTTGCTGTCTATTAAATTATCTAATTTTTAGACACACTCACTTTGCTATTACATGTATTTCATACTAAAAGAAGAAAAAATGACACCAATTATGCATCATAAATACCAATAAGTATTTACGATTAGCCTAAATTGATTCACATTAATAGTGAAAACAACATCCATACTTCCATACTTGTTAATATTATAAATGTGAAAGTGTGTTTGTTTGTTTGTCCTTTTTTCACGTTGAAACGGAATAACGGATTGACGTGATTTTTGGTGTGGAAATAGTTGGAGGGCTGGAGAGTGATAAGTTATAATACAACCCAAAAAAATATTTGTGATCAGAACTCCTTGAAACTTGATATTAATGTTCTTCAATACAATTAAATAAATATGTGTTTTAGTATTTTTCGAAATTCATCCCTTAAGTGGGTAAAATAAGGCGTGAAAGTTTTATGAAACCTACTTTTTTAGGGATTTTTTGTAATTTTTGCGCGAGCGAAGCCGTAGGCTCTGCTAGTATATTCCTTATAATTATCTATTCACTTTAGTAGTATCGTTCTTATGGTTATTCCACCGCCTGATGCAATTGTGATCGATTTTCTCCTATTTTCCTAAGATAATCTTTATCAAAATTGCGCCTTTCATTAATTTCATTTGTAATTCGTTTTGCGCGTTTATCCCTATTTCGTATACTTTAATCTTTCAGAAAATCTGAAACTATTTCCCAATTGAAAGTATGAAATAAATTGCCACAGTTACTGAGTTGTTCTATATGTTTTCAGAACTCAATCTTTCACAAGGAATAAAAATGAAGTACTTGTGTGTAACACTCAGCAATTAACAACAAAAGCACCAAAACCTACCCAATGTAATATGGATACAGAGGATGGAATAAATATAATAAGTCTTTCAGATACAATAGGAAAATCTACTAAAATAAGTGAAAATATAACAGTAGTGGAAACAAAAAGACCAACTTTAGAAACACCACTCAATATAACGAAATTCGTTGATCAAATTAAACACAAATCGACTCCTGTAGCTCGAAAATCACTCAACTTTATGAGTCAGAATGATGATGATCCAGAACAAACACTTTGTCCAAGTTCTTTTGTTGCAGCAAAAACAACACAAGAAAAAGAATTTTTATCTAAAGCTTTCAATCAATCACTTAATTCGCCAACGCAAGGTGCCGTTCGTAGAAAAGCTTCAAAGCTTTGTATAGCTGGTTCATGTTTAACAATAGATGAGCAGGCAAACCTTAGACTTCTGTGTTCTCAAAGAAAGTGGACATTTGTTGATAAATATATAAAAGAGTTAACGCATTTGGTGGTTGGAGTCGACGAGGAGAATAAGTCCCAACGGTAATACATATTTAGTTGATCTTATTTTTTAGTTGCATTCACTATTTTATTGGTCTTATGACTATTATATATATATATATATATATATATATATATATATATATATATACAACTGTAGACCTGTAGGTTCTGGGTTCGAGTCCCTAATCAGGTAATGTATATTTAATGGAATATACTGCCAAGAAAAACTATTAAGTTGTGAAGTTGCTGGGGATGAGAGTCGTGCTTCGGAGAGCACGTAAACACTGGTTGAAATGAGTGGAATTGTCGTCCCGCCTGAGTTTGAGAGGTAAAACAATAGAGTGTTGTGTTTGTGCACACACATACTGCACTATAAATAACTAATTGTTATATATATAATGTAAATAACTAATCTCAGTGGGATTGAAAGTCGGGCCCGAAACCGGTCAGAAGGACATTATATTGTCTTAAGTTAATAGTACCGACTTTCAGTCAATTATAATTTTTCATTTTATTTGTGTTAATATTAATGTGTTTCAGATACATTAAATTTTTAAATTCTTTAGTTACGTTAAAACCTAATGTTTATTTGCAGTTCAGTAAAATATATGTGTGCTCTTGCCGGCGCTAAATGGATCGTCTCTTACACATGGGTCGAAAGGTGCTTAGAAACAAATAGTGTCGTTGATGAAGTAAGTTTAAATGTGTTCATTACATTTTTAATAAAAATATCGGTTTTTATCACATATTTTAAATTGAATGTTTGGAAATTCGGGTGAATAGGTGGGCGAGTATTTACTTGTACACTATTCTACAGCGTAACTGTAAGGCCCCTTCCTGACTTAGCGGTATTTTATGCGGTATTTTCTACGTTACCGAGAGCTTACTAATAACCGCCAGATCTTAATAAATATAAAAAAAAATATTTTTTAGAATTGTTGTCTGTGTGTGACCGTACCACGAGAAACCCACTGGACATATTTTGATGAAATTTGCTATAATGATAGATGGTTATCCGGCTCAACATAATATAGGATACGTTTTATTGCAGTAAAATATCTCATATCTAAGAAATCTATACTAAACGTTACAACGTCAGAGAGAGGGTGAGTCGCTAGTTATTATATAGTAAATTTAATAAGAATTGTTAATTTATGATTTTAATTGTAATAGGAAGCATTCGAAGCGCTAGATGGCACGGGCGAGCCGGGCCCGCGGCGCTCGCGCCTCGCCAAGCAAAAGCTATTCCGAGGAATCACCTTCTACTGCATGCCGCCCTTCAGTGTGTTAGATATCGATACTTTAAAGGTATAAATCACTTTTTAATTAAAAGGTATTGTATTCAGCCCCTTTTTAACGTCCGACTGCTGGGCACCAGCTTCCGTCATTACGAGTAAAAAAATCACTTAAAAGTCATTAGTCCACCTTATTGCTGTTTTTTTTTTAAATACATGAAAACCTTGGAAGTACGGGATGTGAATTAAAATATCAGATGAAAATATCTTTTTACTAACACACAAACATACACCCGAAAAGAAGGAGGTACTTAACCTCCTTCTTTTTCGAAATCGTTTATGGGCGTTCAAAATTGTTTTGAAATTGCTAACGATCCGCAATAGACATCAGCTAGAGCCGATGTCTTAATACATACTACTCTTCGAACTGTGAGACATCTACGTCGTTACATCATTAATCACACGGTAAGTATAGTGTGTGAATGCAATAGTTTTTATATATAGTTATGAGTATCGTATAGACTTTCATATGCATTTAGTAAAAAGCTGTTATTTTGACATTACAAACGGACACTTCACAGACAAATTAAGTACTAAGTATATTAAAAAACACTTTAATCTATGTCGCGAAACCATCGGACAAAAAAAAATCCGGACAAATGCGGGTCGGACTCGCCCACCGAGGGTTCCATACAAATTTGTAGAAAATCTGTTTAACTTTAATTTTCAATATTTTTTTATTTTTTGGAATTTTTTCTTTATATTTTGTACTGTAAGACCTTGCTTTTTGCTAAATTCCGTGATTATAGGTCCATAGGAACTATGCAATGGGCCATATCGGTTTTCGACCCAAAATCTATAGGGTACTTCCGGTTGACCTAGAATCGTCAATTTTGGTTAAAAGTTAGGTCTTACAGCACAAGTAAAGGGAAAATTCTGAAAAATAAAAATAGTTGAAAATTAAGGTACATTTTGGTACTTACAAGTTTTCGCGAAAATCTAAATTTGCCCATACTTTTTATCATGTTGACTCAGGATCTTGATTTTTATACACCTAATAGGGACTATAGACCTCACTGGTATAAATTTCAACTTGCTAGGTCCACCCGTTCCTGAGAAAATCGGTGGTGACACATGGACAGACAGACGGACATGAGAGTGATTTTATAAGGGTTCCTTTTTTTACCCTTTGAGGTACGGAATCCTAAAAAGAGAAATTAGTAGGCCCTGAAAAAGATCGCTTTACCCAATAAAGGCTACGTACTTTCATTGTTTTTGTTTTATATATATATATATATATATATATATATATATATATATATATAATACTAGCTGTCTCTATGGAAGTCTGCCCTATTTATTGACATATTTAATGATAACTGCTCCGCTCCCTTGGGTAGTAGCATCACGATATACGAGTATAGCCTATTGCCTTCCTCAATAAAGAGGCAATCTAATGCAAATCGACTAATTTAGAGTGCACGGATAGTAGACCTATTGAAGCGAGGGCATTACAAGTTTTAGTTTACCTTGCAATGTTTGTTAGATTTTTTGTCTAGATCAAGATACAAGCTGAATTTAGGACCACTTACCTTTATCCTAAAGAGTTGAGATCTTACAGGTTGGTGCAGTTTCTATGACAGTGAATTTATGATAATTATGACCTGATTCTCCATCTAGGGTTGGCTCCAGACGAATCAACTCCCCATTGGGCAACAGTAAAGACACGATATTATAATCTAAACTAATATCATAAAGAGGTAAAGTTTTTGAATTGTGAGTTTGTGACGTTGTAGTGGGTAATCTCTGGATGTACTGAACCGATTTATATGACCTTTCGTAATAAGATAGTTTGAGACCCTGGGAAGGACATAGGATACTTTTTATCCCGGAAATCATCCCTTAAGGGTGTGAAAATGGGGATGAAAGTTTGTATGGGGAATCAAGCTAGGGACGAACCTGAGCGAAGCGAGGGTGATTCGCTAGTATAAAATATATTTTATATAAATGGTACGTTATTGTAGGATATTCTGCAATGGGCGGGTGGGTGTTTGGTGGAGGAGGCGCGGGCGGCGCGCGCGGGGGACGCGCCCGCGCTGCTGCTGGCCGAGCCCGAGCACACGCAGGAGGACCGGTTCATATGTACGTAGACACTACTAATATTATAAACGCGACAGTTTGTGAGGATGTATGTATGTTTGTTTGTTACTCTTCAACTACTGTACAGATTTTGATGAAACTACACTAATTAAACGAAGTAACACAGGCTATAATTAATAAAGGCTATAATAAAGATAAAGTAATACATTAATGTATTAGGCGTGTACTATTATAGTATTCTATTCGACACTGGCTGCGTGAAGTCAGCTGTCAATTGTTACAGTACCTACGCTAAGGGCCGCCCCACACTATAGTGCCGATCACAGTCCGTTCTCGGTCCGATATCGATCTGGTAAAGTATTTCTATACAAAAAACGTTGCTGGAGCGTGATTCGACCAGAACGTAAGTCTAACTGATAGTGTGAATGCACTCATTGTTTCTTATATAACAATACTTGACCAGGCCGATAACGGATTGAGAACGAACCGTGATCGGTACTATAGTGTGGAGCGGCCCTAAATGTCTTTTTTTTCAGTGATTAAGAACTTCATTATTTTATATGCTATTCAAGTCCTACTCAGTTTGCGATCGTTAAAGTGACTGTTGTTATCGTTTAAGACATCTTTAGTCCTTGATATTAAAAAAAAATCATTGTGAATTGAGAACTAATTTGAAGCAATCTGTTCCAGTACATAAATTTACTGATATTCTACTTAATTTAAAAATATTCTATTTGGCTGTACTCTTTCCTTACATTTTATTCTTTATTTTAACCTAGACAACCCTCGGTCCGCAGTGTTGTATGTTATATTTTATTGGGTCGATTAAATTAGTTTATTTTTATTATCTATTTTGATATTACAAATATATATATATATATATATATATATATATATATATATATATATATATATATATATATATATATAGTATTTTATATCGGATACTGCTCTTACGATTTTGGTATGTGGAGGTTTTCGGGAACGAAAGATTGATCTAAATTAGTCTTATGGTTGAGAAAACGCGTGTTTTCGAGTTTTAAGGCGGTTTTCTATTGCATTATTCCACGCAGAATATGGTCGCTAATTTCGCACGCTCAAGCATAAGTATCGTGGTCAAGCGGGCCAATGCTCAAGATTAACAATTACAGGTGTCCGGGATCAAATCCCGGGCAAATCCAAATCTTTAACTTTTGTTTTATTTTTAATTTTTTTTTATATTTATTCAAGCTTTTAGTTTTTTTTAAAAAGAAAATTCGCTCGGTCGCCCAGGACTGTAATTTAAAGCGATTAAGTCTCAAGTTTATTATTTGCAATGTGATTGCATTTTATTGTGTTAATCTAATAATGTATACTGATATTATAAGGAAGCAGGGTTTGTTTGCTTGTTTGTTTGTTTGTTTGTTTGAACGCGCTAATATCAGGAACTACTAATCCGATTTGATGGCTATAGGATATACATATATCATCATGTTACACCCAAGGAAGCGAAGTAGTATTCATAAATGTCAACAAATCGGGCAGATATTATTAATACATTATGTAAAACTGAGGTTTCATGTTTATAATCAAACAAATTTAACGCGGGTGAAACCGCGGGGCACAGCTTGTATTATTTTAAATAAATATGCACCTACCCTAACAAAACAGTTCATTCTAACAGAAGTAAGCGAATCAAGCGATCATAAGCTTTAGGGCAAAGTGACATATGGCCATGGGCCATGGTTATCCTCTGATTTCTGAACATCACTATGAATATGTATAAAGTACATTAAAATATATTACGTGTAATTTGTTTATTTAATAGACGATAAATATCGAATAGTTTGTACATAAAAAAATCAGAGGAGAATACTATCTTGATTCATACTTTTTAGAGCGCGATTTTTTATAATTAGACTTATATAAGCACTTTTAGATCGTTAATTTACTTTATAATTATATTCTAGGTATTTAATAGATATAATTACAGTGCATTTTTTTTAAAAACATGACAATCACTTTTATGCTTGTAATTTTTACCCAATTACGGGGAAGCCCAAAGGAGGGTTATGTGTTTGACCTGTATGTATGTATGTCTGATATGATTTTGATGATTCATACGTCATTCGATTCGTCTTGATAACGCGAGTGTCATATAGTAGGTATATAGATTAATTAAAAATCAAAACGGCGGATCATAGGCGCCAATTTGTGTCTCGAAAAAAAATAATTCATCCTAATAATACTAGTAGGGTATCAAAGTACAGGATTTTAAGAGGCATTTACATAAATATAGGTAACAACCTATATGTTTTATTATTTATGTTTTATTATAATATAAACTAAAAATATCTATCTGACCAAAACTAAAAAGCTGTAAATAAAAATAAATAAAATAAAAAACCGACTACGTAAGAACTGAACTAAAAAGAAGAGAACAAGTTGACAAAGGAACATAGTATCACGCAGTCGGATACATACACGCAGTTAATCTGAAACATTGTACATATATTATACATGTATGTCATCAATTCATTCTTTACATCGTGATACCATTGGAAACAATGTGTTATCGGTTTATAATGACATACTCGTGTCACTGTTTTTGATGATCTATAAGTTGATATTATGTTGCCATAGATGCCAAAGAGCATTAATCAACTAATGATTACAATATTATTATCTCTAATATTTACATACTACAAATAACGTGTCGATAATATCTGCTGACATGGAATTTGACTGAATTTCATTCTAACCAATAGGCTGTGTATCTTAATTTTGAAGTTGCTCGCGTATTTTACATTGATTAATTAATCTATGCAATTAAAAATACCTATAATAAGTATATAGGAGTAGGGATATACTGCACGATAGGTTCGGTGACCCGCCCGCACTTCGCATTTTCGCAGCTTTTCTTCGTGGCTTCGCTCACGCCAAATATTATTTTGATACTATTTACCTTTTTCCATCTCCTGAAAGGGTTGTTTTTGAAAAATCCTGAAACACGTGTCTATTTAATTGTTGACAGCTACTGTGCGAATTTACGAATTGAGTTCTCCATATAAATTTTGAACCTCCGTTTCACCCTTTTAGGGGTTGAATTTTTAAAAAGTCCGTTCTTAGCTGATATCTACATCATAATAATTATTATCTGTGTGCCAAATCGTAACCCAATCCGTTCAGCGGTTTGAGCTATAAGATATTTGTGACAAATTTCTACATAGTACGAGTAGTATGGACATAATATGAATATTCGATAAAAGATCTGCACAATTATATAATAAAATTAACAGTATCATTTATGTTTACCCCTACAATTACCATAAATGCAAAAAGACATTAATAGATTGGATAAAAACCCTTAGTTACAATGATACGGAAAAACTGTTAGAACATATTCATTAAATACTCACACACGCACACACACGCGCACACACACACACGCGCACACACACACACGGACACACACACATACACACACACACACAAACACACACACACGCGCACGCACATACACACACGCACACTCACACACAATACACAAACAAATATATGTACGCTAATTTTTATTTATATTTTTATTTTTTATTTTTTGTTTGTCTTAATTGATCTATTTAAGTTTGTAGTATCACCCATAATATTATAATCAGCTAAAAGATAAAATTACTTTTTTATGAAAGGGCGGGGTCTCCTAATACAGGCAAAATTATTTGCTTAAAAGGGGATCTCAACCACAAAATTTTAAATTTTGATTAGATTTGAAATAAATAAATAAATAAATTTTAAATAATCAATTAATTATATGTTAATTTTTTATTTCAAATGTAAATGTATATTGTTATCTAATTATAGTTGTTATTGTTGTTGTGTTATAATAAATAAATTATTATTATTATTATTATTATGTCCATTAAATGAAATTTATTTATTTAGTAACAATTCTTATATGTACGTATACAGTAAAACAATGGCCTACGATGATACTGCAAAAGTTGCATATCAACGCCCGCCTCCGTACTATTTATTTTCCTGTTATTTATTTTTCCACAACAGATTTTAATATCAAAATACAAAAGCAATTTTGATATATTGCTTTTCAATTGTACAGTAACAACATAATAAAATAGTTTATTAAACTTTATTTTGAAATAGATTATTTGCTTGGCATCATGTATCTGATGGCGTCTCCAAATGCGTAGACGAAGGTCACATAATATATCGATACATACAAGGAGGAATATTTTATTTTTATAGTTTTGGCAACTTTCCTCATTTAACACTAAACTACACGTGCTTAGACTATAGTTGAACGTATTGCTTTCAAGGAGAACCGTTAAAGAAGGGAGGAAGGTTAATCTAAGAAATATGATACCTACCTTTAAATGACAAGACTCTAGTCACAACAGTGAAGCCTCGCAAGTTATCATTATACCAGCTAAATATATTATTATATCTATGATATCAGATATGAACTTAGTCACATAAATAGTTCACATCTTTTTTTTTTATAAATATAAAAACTTTGATTAGGTATAAATTTAATTTATTAAATACATTTTATTGTACTCTAACGCCACTTTTCAATTTATGGCAGTAATAAAATATAATAAGTAACTACAAAGTTATAAGCTAGCAGCCGTACTTTTAAATTTATGAATATCTCAGGTTACTGAAAAGTGTTTGAATACTACTTCTAAGTATATTTAAAGTTAAAAGAGTCTGCCCACTATACCGTCTCATACCATGATCGTGCTAGGACCGAGTCAGGCAAAGAAATATTCTTTGTATTGAAAAGTATGAGACTCCCACTATACCGTTTCTTCGCCGACCGGCACCGTCGCGTGCCGTGCACGGAGCGGTAACAATATTTTGTCAACAAAAATATTTTGCCGGCGCCGGTACGCTCCGTGCCTGGCACGCAACGTTGTGGGACCGGTGCGCGCAGGTAGCGCAATGGTGAGCATACGCAGCACCAAAACCGTTATGTACGGGTATGATACGCTGTTAATACGTTCTTATGGTAAAGTCCGTGCCATGCTCATTTCCGTGCCAGATACGTTCATACCACGGTCATGATATGAGACGGTGTAGTGGACAGAGTCCTTAAAAGTTTTGAAAACGCCCCGATGTGGAAATAACACCAATTATTATTATTTTTATGGATTCTACTAGGTACAGTACAATATCCCAAAAATGTCATGAACACACATCGGGAGAATATTGTACTATCGTAATGGAAGGGTTTATCAGCGTCCAGCAACCCAGCCGGGCGTCAAGCTAAGAGAGACACTCGTAGGTGGTGGGTTGCTCCTGGTACTTCTCCCCTAGCAGAGTGGAGCGTGGGGCAACCCCACGGCTGTTGTGTCTCAGAAGACAGCCATCGGGGTGTCGTGGTTGAGTACGTAAGCGAGCCTGCAACTCCCCATTAAGACGAGGAAAGTTCTGTTGGGTTTTGTGTGGGTATTAGGCTTTTGTATTCGGTGAGTCTCCACATCACCTGTATAGTATATACAAATTATATACATGTTTTATACCTAACAGGTGATAGGCGTAAAAGCACTTCCCAATCTTTTTCCAGAATGTTTTTTATTAAATCGCATAACTAAGTAACGGCTAAATGTTAATGGGTCTTTTTAACGTTAAAATGTGTAAAAACCAATTTTATTATATAATATTTTTATTTTCAGATCTTGCTATGGAGCTGAATGTGGTACCGGTAAATTATGAATGGGTGCTCAATTGCTTAGGAAGCTACACTTTGGGCTCTATACATGAGCTATTACTTTGCCCCGCGTCTCTACTGCCAAAAGCTACAGCTAAATGGCCATCAGAGTTAATGTCTCGTGAATATGAATAAACATTGTTAATATAAGTAATGTTGATGTTTTATTTTTAATACTTTTAATATATTTAGATTATGTAGTAACAAGGTAGATCAGATCTGTTTATATTCCATACCGTACACTGATAAATAAAACACATACACTAGCATGTGTTTTTGCTTAGCGTTAAATTTGAAGTGTATAATATAGAAACTATTTGAATTTTGGATAATAGGTAATAACAAAAAAATATTTAAAACAAAAACATAATTGTGATAGCAATAAGTAGGTTCTAGGGACTTTCTCGCGAAATCCCTTACGTTATTAGGTATTTCTGTTAAAATCAATTCTTATCTTTTCCCAGAGCTAAACTGATGATATGATGACGATAAAATCATGATGATACACAAGTTTTCTAGTACTTCATAATAATATACATAATATAAACATGTATCGACTTTAACCTTATGACTTAGATTATTTATAAGCTAGCGACTCACCCTCGCTTGGCTCGGATTCGTCCCTAGGTACGTTTTAAATTAAAATGGATATAGTATGTTATCCTTAAGAAATAGACATATGCTATCGCGGACTTTTCTGTAGACCTATAGATACACAATTCCACCATACATTATTTTGTTATATCTCAAAGGGTTTAGGCAGCGTTTTCGTTGAAAGCTCCCAGGCGTCTTATTTTTTCCGACACCTCCAACAAATATCGTTATATTTTAGCCAATGTATACAAAAACTTAATAAATTATATATTATAACCTTCCTCTTGAATCACTCTATGTATTAAAAAAAACCGCATCAAAATCCGTTGCGTAGTTTTAAAGATTTAAGCATACATAGGGATATAGGGACAGAGAAAGCGACTTTGTTTTATACTATGTAGTGATAATCTAAGCCTTATGCGTAGGACGTTGAAAATTCTTAAAAAATATAGCTTTAATAGTAATAAAATTTTAGTAATTATTACGTATAATATGCAAGAAATATTTAATATATTATACAAAGGTATGATGAGTTTTATATCTCTTACTTGAGAATAATAAATGATAGTATCCCCATATAAACTTCCACCCCCCTTTTCAACCCCTTAAGGGGTGGTTTCCGGAGTAAAAACTATCCTATGTCCTTTCCAGGGTCCTAAGCTATTTCTATACCAACTTTCATCTAAATCGGTTCAACCGTTTAGTCGTAAATAGGTAACAAACAAACAGAGTTACTTTCGCATTTACTAATATTATAGTATAAATTTGGATTTTATACTTCAAATCTCTTTCAAGTTTCTTTCTCTCTCAGTACGTCATACACGTGTTTATCACGCATTACATGTTCACACTTACAATTTAATAATATCATATTTTTTTATAATAAATAAGACTTTAAACTTTTTGGATGTCATAAGTTACCTTTTTAAAAGTATTTTATATGTTAACTAGCGGCTCACTATCACTTCGCTAGGGTTCGCCTCTAGAAAGGCACAAACAGATGTATCCCACGGGTACCGTTCATTTTTCCGGGATAAAAAGTAACCTGTTGTTTGACCGAGTACCACCATGGTACCACCATGCAAAACTTTATTTAAATCGGTCCAACAGTTTCGGAGATTAGCCTGTACAAACAGACATACAGGGAAACAGACAAACATAAATTTTTTAATAACTATTGTTTTGGGGTCTATATTGTGTACATAATACGTTACAAACGAAAACAAATCTATCACACGGGAACCGTATATTTTTCCGGGATAAAAAGTAGCCTATTTGTTATTGTGATGTACGATTCGGTAGATTCGGAGATTAGCCTGTACAAACAGAGAAACAAAAAATTTGAAAAAAATCTGGATTTGTTCTATTTCTCTTCTTACACCCTGACTCGTTTTCGACCTCTACACATGGGTATACCCAGGTTGTGGGGGGAGGGGGCTGGGGTGGCTGAACCCCCCCCCCCTCTCGATCGTGTATGTCTACGTACCTACTGTTGTCGACAAAATTATATTTGAGTCAGTCTAATTTTTTTTTTTAAATAATTAGGGTTCGGTGCAAAAAAATTAAAATCTATTAAATTGTGAACAAAATCCGCGTAGTAGGTACCCAGCGATGCACCCAAGCGAATCGAGGATAAGTCGTTTGTCTACCTATATGGAAATACCTATATGGTATTTAAAAAATCTTGTAAATATTGTGTGCAATGTGCAATCTGTTGAACAATAATAAAAAGTGTCCGTTAAATAAAAATGGACATTCGGATTTTTTTTAGTCTTCATGTAGGGAGAAACAAGCACGGGGGACCAGGTTTAATAAATTTCCGGTTGACCCCAACCCCCCGGACCAAAAGCTGGGTACGCCCATGCCTCTACAGTTTTATTGTCGTATAGATAAATAGACAATATTAATTAGTATTGTCCTAAATAACACTAGTTATTAAAATGTTATTAAGTGTTATCATAATATCTAGCACTTCACTATCACACACACGGCACTCGTCCATAGATGTTCATAGTTCATAATATTATAAATATTATTGTGTACTTTAGTGGATTAGACAGACCTTTGTTCCACTTCTACAGTGAGGGCACACCGCAGAGTGCTGCCACTCTTAATTCACGTTTGATGTGTATGACTAATTTTCCACCACAATGTGTTAATATTGCATTATTATCTAGCACGACGAAAATAATAATATAGTATTATAGGTAATAACTTATGCAGATAAATAAAATTGAAGTGTCTGTTTGTAATGTATAAAAGCCTTTTACTAGAAAAACACATTTTTTTTAATTTCTGTCTGTTAGTTCTGACTAATCTCCGAAAGAGCTGGCCTGATTTTCTCAGGACCTTCATTGGAAGATAGCTGATGTTATAAGCGAGTTTTATTTTAGAGAAAGAATTCCGTCCAAAAAAATTAAAACATATCTAGGGACACTCGAGCGAAACGAGGGTAAGTAGCTTGTTAAGAATAAAATTTGTTTTATCTACCTATAAAGATTAATAAAATTAAAGTGTCTGTTTGTAATGTCAAAATAACAGATTTTTACTAAATATGTACCTACATATGAAAGTATATACGGTAGGTACCCTTTTTTTAAAGTTGGAAAAAGCATAATACGCATACCACCTGTACAAAAGTTATGGTGACTACTGACTTACCGGCTAGAAAAGTCAGTATGTACCTGATGTACAAGCTTTTTACTGGCAGTAAACCCACTAAAACCCAACAAAACCTACGTCATCTTAAAATGTGGTGTAAAATGCTTGTAAAGTAGGAAATTACTTAGTTTTAATTTAGCAAAGTGTAAAGACCCCTTAAGATTACTTAATATACAAATTTTATTTAAAATCAAAAGAACCTGTTTTCCTTTTCTCTACGTAAGTTATCGTTTATGTATTTTATTTCTTTATTTCTGAAGGTAAATACTTACGATATCAAAATTTCAAATATCATTATTTATAATTACCTCCATATTAAATGTTAACTGCATACGTACGTGCGTAAGGACGTGTCATGCTCCTACCTGCTATACCTATACCTATGCAATAAATACATAATATATTATGTTTTAGTTCTCTGAAGCAAATTTCAAACAAATGCGCTAAATGTCTGAGTTAATTTTCAAACCATTGCGACATCGAACAACAGTGTAGTGTATACCTACATATATTTAGTGGCTTTGCTATGGTAGTCTGACGTGGTCCTAACATCGCGCCACCGAGCCGTCCAATCCACGGGTCGCTTACCGCATTCAGCGTTGCCTTCCACTTCACTCTTTAGCGGCTATCCATTGCACATAACGTCACCGCGTTAAAACACGTCTCAAAGTCCTATCCTCAGCCCTGTAATATTTTAAAACACGTGAACATAATCGATTAGTTATCACAAATATTTTCCATAACATTATCGGTGGTAAACAAAACGTATAAAATTATAAATGTTGTGAAAATTATTCAGTAGTATTGTCGGGATCGTTGTATGAACACAATATTATAGTGCATTAAAATATTATTACTTATTATTTATTAAATATTGGTAAGTAAATAACTTTTAATAAAATACAATTGTGCCTATTTATTTATATTTTCTGTGGGTTATACTTACTTAAAACTAATAAATATTATTCGTAAAATTATATACATATTTTAATAAATGTCCTTAGAAATAAAATATTTGATCTAGTAGTTTTAACTATATACAAACTAACATTAATTAAGTATAAATAATTAACATTAATTTTAAAGTTAAATTAAAGATGTAATTATATAATCAATTTTTCCTATATATTCGTTGTGTCGCTTTCGTAAGATTTTCAAAATTCAGTAAATAAAGTATAATAATTTGTCGGTTTTGTAGAAATTTTATAAACTTAACCGAAGATAATTATTAAATTTGTGTAAAGGGAAAAATAACTAAATACTTCCTGTTAAATTCAAGACCGGTTTTTTGGCGACAAAAATAAATTGCATCTCGTGATTGTCACGTACCACTTTTTGGCTATGGAAAATGCTATTGTTTTCTTAAATTACAGTACATCACATCGCCTGATGGCACGTCAAAAACAAAATGTCATTTGCGATATAATCGTTAAAATTGTATCGTGAAACTTTCCCATTTCTCACAATAACTTGACCGCGGTATCAAATTATGTATGTGTATACTTATTCGCTTTAGTAAATAAGAGAGCTTAATGAGGTAATGCGATTTATATCTAAATAATTTCGGATTATAATTTGTGTGGCTTCCTCTAATTAAAATTTAATAATTTATTGTTGTACTTTAGTGACCTCTTAATTTTGCCTGTACTATTTTTGAAATATTTTCTACAGTATAAGCTGGAATACCTAAGCTGGGAAAATCTTTTACGTAATACAAATCTCACTAGTCACTATCCTAATATGAATCTGTTTTTGCAGCGAAACAACTCCATTACCTGCTTTATTTTTCGTTTTGACGAAAATAAAGATAATAAAAGACATGCAACTCAAATGAATAATTATTTTCACAGAATAAAACAATCATAATGGCTCCTAATTCGGTAGATGCAAATGGGGTGTTATTTGAATCAGATGCAGCTACTCCTGACATGGCTCTCCCTATTACTCCTATTCAACAAGCTAACGAATATCCACGAAAGTTAGTTTGGAGGAATATTATTGCTTTTGTATATTTACATATTGCTGCACTATATGGAGGGTATTTGTTTCTTTTTTCTGCCAAATGGCAGACAGATGTATTTGGTAAGTATTTGTAGTACAGTAAGAACTATTGCTTTTATTACTGAGAATTATTATTGAACTTTAGTTTGTTTACTTTGTGCAATGATAACATTATCTTTTGTATTTTATGTTTATCAGTAGTGTATGCTTTTTGTTATCACATCTAACATGACTTATCTCTTATTTTGCATATAATATGATGAATAATATTTTGTACATATTAACTTTTTTCAAGTTTAGTATTAAGTTTTTTTATATCTCTTACTATTAGCCCTATAAATATTATAAATGTAAGTTTGTGTCTGGTATACTATTGTGGCAAAACTTTATGACCAGTCCAAAAATTGACACAGTGATAAATCCCAAATGTAAAGAGAGTTGAAGAAGAAATTATAAGATCTTTATAATACAAAATTAACAAACTCGTAGACAATGATTTTGATAGCATTTTTTTTAATATAATAAAAAAAAATATGTATGTGTAAAATCTATACATATCAGAAAATTGTAACTAAGCGAATCTGTAGATAAATATTTTTTGAACAAAACTTGATCTATTGTTTTTAGAATTTTTGTCTGTCTGTCTGTCTGTCTGTTACCACATAACAGAAAAGTACTGGAGGGATTTTGATGAAATTTGGTATGGTGATAGCTGGTTATCCGGATCAACTTAAAGGATACTTTTTACCTCGGAAAAAACTCATTTCTGAGAAAAAATACAAAAACTGCAATGTAAGAGTACACTAATATGTAAAACCTAAGAATTTGGTTTTTGGTCACCTGAACGCGGGCGGAGCCGCGGGCAATGCTAGTTTTAAATAAATTATTTTGATAACTTATATAGAAAACACTTTTTAGCCAAATACTGAGTAATTTATATGAATGACTGATATTTTATTAAAAACTTATTGGCCAAAACTCATGTAGAAAATTTTATTTATGGTATTATTTAATAATTAAAAAGGTTTTGTGACATTTTATTATGTGGTGTATATCACTAGTGGCACAAATTCACTTTGCTCAATAGTGAATGTATCTAAGTATCTTTATGGCATACAAGTATCCTAAAAGGTTTTTTTTTATATAATGATAAGAGTAGTGTATGCAACTCTGGCTTAAAAATCAACATTGATTGTTGCTAAAATAATATGACAATCACACATACTATCACATTTATTATATTATTAAAAAATTACCAGTACTGTATATTATAAACCATTTTATCCTTTTCTATAAAGTTTTTTCTATAAATTATAAATTACAATATTTCTATAAAGTTGAAGTAGCCTGGAGGCGATCGCTTCATTTCTAAGGCGTGCCATCCTCTATAAAAACATTAATTGTATAATGCCTTTTAGAACACAAACATTCATTAACAATAATTTTTGAATTTAGGGATAGAATTTTAACTATACTTATTATAAATATACTGTGATGTTAATATATAATATACATTTTTTAGCTTATATTTTGTATGTGATGTCTGGACTTGGAATCACAGCAGGTGCTCATAGACTTTGGGCTCACAAGTCATATAAAGCAAAATGGCCACTTCGAGTAATCTTGATTATCTTCAACACTATGGCATTTCAGGTATTTATAGAATTTATTTGTTTATTGGATTATGTTAAATAATCTGTGCCAGTTATTTAGGCTGAAATTATGTAACATAATATAATAAACTTACTTTTGTCACCACACAAAAAATAGTTGAGTTGCGGAAAGTAGCCTGAACTAACAACCAACTTTATTTAAAACTACATAGCAGCAAAGCAGCAGCAATTTTATTAAAACTAGGTACAGGGATTTTGTTTACATTTCTTCAACCCTGTTTCTTTTTCTAAAATAAAATGGCCTAGAAATTCCAATTAAATCAGCTATCTGCCCTTGAAAATCAGATCAAAATCGGTCCAGCCGAACAGACAGGCAGACAAAAATTATAAAAATTGTTTTTTTCTTATTAGTACCTACAGTATTTCAAATTAATATTATTATATTAATTATATATGTTAGTCTTTAAGTGCAATTATATTACAAATTATTAAGTCGTCCATATTTCATTAGGACTCTGCGATCGACTGGGCACGTGACCACCGCATGCACCACAAGTACTCGGAGACCGACGCCGACCCACACAACGCAACGCGAGGTTTCTTCTTCTCCCATATTGGCTGGCTTCTAGTTCGGAAACATCCTGAACTCAAGAAAAAGGGCAAAGGACTAGATTTGAGTGATCTTTATGCTGATCCAATATTGCGTTTCCAGAAAAAGTAAGTAGTTGTTTTTTTTTAGTTTTACAGAAATAACATGTTGTAAGGTTATTGAAACATGTATACGTGTATATTGTTTGTTTGTGTGAATTTAATTTTTATTGTTTAACTAAAAGTAATAAGGTTGATTTTAATATCAGTAGTCTTTGAATGTTTTTTAAACTTGCCGACGACTCTCGTATCACGAACATACGTCATCTGTGCATATTTGAGCTGATAAATTTAAAAACTGCAAATTACTTGCGTTCCTATGATTAATATTTATAACCCAATAGTTTTTGTATTCAAAGGTTAGTATCGATCCAACGCGTGACAAGCGCGCGTCGATAATACGTTCACAGTCCACAACAACATATTCGTCTTGTACATTGTACATAGGCCCTTAGTAAATATTGGGTAATAAAATAATAATATTATTATCAGGAGAATAGATATAAAAATAAACATTTGTTGTGTAAGAGGGACTGAATATATGATAAATACAGTCCCTCATCTCTCATATATAAATAAATGTATCAAAAAGTGTATTTTTATGCTTGGATAACTTTCAACTTCTTATATTAAAAAAACAAGTTTCAAAATGTATATATTTTCCTTTCAGATACTACTTGATCCTGATGCCCATCACATGTTTCATCCTCCCTACGATAATTCCTGTATATCTTTGGGGAGAGACATACATAAACGCCTATTTCGTGGCCGCTATGTTTAGATACGCGTTCATATTGAATGTAACATGGCTCGTTAATTCTGCGGCTCACAAATGGGGTGACAAGCCCTACGACAAAAATATTCAGCCTTCTGAGAATATATCCGTGTCAGTGTTTGCACTCGGTGAAGGTTTCCACAACTACCACCACACTTTCCCATGGGACTACAAGACTGCCGAGCTCGGGAATAATAGATTGAATTTCACCACGAATTTCATTAATTTCTTCGCTAAAATTGGTTGGGCCTACGATCTTAAGACCGTTTCAGACGAAATTGTGCAAAAGAGAGTGCAACGCACAGGTGATGGAACTCATCACCTGTGGGGATGGGGTGATAAGGATCATTCCGCAGAGGAGATCAGAGCCGCGATTCGAATCAATCCTAAACAAGATAAAGATGACTAAAAGATGAAGTCATAACTGCTCATAAGCTAAAAGTGGGTATAAATACGAATGAAGTTTTTAATCGATTTTAAGTTTAATCTCAAATTTGTGTGATTTAACAAAACTTTTTAACTTATTTATTTATAAACTATGAATAACGAATAATAATAGCACGGAACCGATTGTTCATTCGTATTTGACTGTTTTTTTGTCAAGTTTTATTTTTGTTTGCATAAGGATTGTTTGAAAATTAATTGCCACAAAATGTTTTGGTACCTTCCATTTTTTAGATGTGTTTTGTGAGACCAACTTTAGTATATTTACATATGTGTTAGCTTAACTTCCACTAAGATGTTTAGCATGCAATGAAAACATCGACATAATTTACATATAAACGGTTTAAGGTATCGCCTTAGTAGCTAACGAATGAATAAAAAGATATTAAATTGTTATCTAATATAATGTTTAAAGCTTCCTTATTATTGCTGTGAAATTAACAAAAAAACTAGGTTTAAAAATTAGAATTTATGTAGATTTGCATATCTTTAACGGGCACTCATGGCTTGCTTATAGAATTACTATTTATTTAAGGTTTGTGTGAGGTAATATTAATTTTAACGAGCACTGCTTCAACACGAAAGTGTTAAATTGTTTTAAATCTAAGAACAATATAATAACGATGGATAACACGTCAGTATTATACACCACATAAATATTTGTATGTTATCACTAGTCGGAAGCATTTTGTAGAGTTTAGTTGAAATATCGACTGAATTCTTAATGAAACTCAGTTATTTATTTTGTTAAATTTCACATACATATTTTATGTTTTAGTTGTACGCTTCGTAGGATACATATCGTCCGTGTACATCTGATACCTCCTAATTAACATTTTTGCGCAAAACTTTATTTTAATGCCAAATTACAATTAAAATAAAAAACAACTACCATAGATCACATAATACTATACCAATACAGGTGCCTCATCCCATAACAAAATCAGTGATTTTAACAATTTTTAACCGTTACAAACGATTCGTAAAAAGTAAAAGCGCCATCTATGATACACTACAAACTCATTATCTGATCGCTGATAATATTCAGTAAATTTACGCATGTTTGATTTACGGGCGCATTATTTCTTTTCCTTCACTTGGAATATTTTTTAAAACAAATATTTGGGATGTATTTTTTTATCTTTTGTTAATTTAACACAATTTTAATAACAAATCGATACATGTAACGTCATCTATTGACATTTATCTGAACTATTTTTTCTTTGTTCGTGATGAGACCCCCATGATAATACTAACTGCATTTAATTGATATCATAAAGAGAGATACACGCTAATCAACTACTTCTTTATTTTACCAAAATTCTCCACAAAAATTTAATGAAGTTTGTTTTATGTTCCTCCTGCAAAAAATTGTTTTGTAAGTAGATAGAAGATTTTAGAAGTTCACGGACGATATTATGTGGTTTGTAAGGATACTGTGTAGGCAAGTATGTACTGGCACTGATCTTGAATGTAAAGAACAATTTGGCTGTGGTAGAAATAACTTTATATACTTAATCGAGTACATGAAACATTTTTCTCTTTTTATCGTACATTCATGAAATAAATAAAATTCATTTTTGGCCCACTATAAAAAAAATATTGATTCGGTTGTATGATAATTTAACGTACGTTAAGCTATCATCAGTAACAATTTTTAACAAGAAAAATTATACCCTCAAAGGTGGTTTAAATAAATTTCAAACTGATTTTAAATTAAGTATAACTTTTTAGTTATAATATGATTATCACTATAATGCTTAAGATCAATGCCAGTGCTGATGCGCGCCACGTGTTGATGACTGATGTGTAAAGGGAAATGTGATATTTAGGAGGGTAACTACGTAGGATTCTAATGTATCATCGAATGAAAAATCAACCTCAATATTTAATTTTTATGGTTCGTATTTATTTTTCACCTACAGAAAGCACAAATAAAAGAAAATAATATTTTTATCAATAAATAAGTAGCTAGATGTTTCATCTGTCATCCCATTGTGTCTTGGTAGTAGACCCCCTTCACACGGTCTGCTCGGACAGTCTCATTCAAAATGTAGACTGCAGTTGTCGGATACATTCGGCAACTAAATTAATTTCCGTGTGAAGTGAGCTTTACTTAGATATATATAAGTGAATGTTAATTATGTATAATTATACTGGACATAACCAATTATCACTGTTTAAAATTATACCAGTGTAAAATATAAGTGTTGTTTTATTTAATTTAAACACGCTATCTACCTATCTTTTTCTAACATTCTGTTACAATTTAATTATTCTATACAATCATTACTCTTGGATAATGCATATTTTTATGTAGTTTCATGTGAAACAAAATACTGTGCGTTGCACTCGCGTGGTAAGTTTGTGTATACTTTTCATATATCATTTGGTTTAATTTGAATTATATTATTAGCCTTAACTATACGTTTTTTTAAACACACATTGTACCATTTTATTCACTCTAAAGCTATAAGCATAAAATTTTAATAACTATATATAGCCATGAGGTACTTTAAAGCTATTAAAATTTAACAATTCAGTAAACGTGTGCTAATTATAATTATTATCTTAGTTTGGATATTATTATAACCATACTATAATCCATGAACGAAGTCTCTAATTCGTCCATGCTATAATCATATAATTTGCTTCATTTTCATGTTGCCATTTTTTATGTTAATTAAGTTTTTATCGTGCTTCACATTAATTTTTATAGCAACGTGATAAAATATATATAACTATATTTAACATTACACAATAATATTCGGCTCATATTTCACGATATTAATTTGAAAATTAGCGCAGTTCCAGTTTAACTTTTCCACTTTTTGATGGCAGAGGCGCTGACCACACGACTACGTCATGCGTCCGTTTGGTCATGTGTGCGTCGCTCTGTCATACAGACTCGCATCAAATGTTCTCTTCATAGAATAGGTCCTGATCATCGCACTTGTCGGGAAGGCACACGAAAAATTCTATTAGATTCATAATAGGACCCCTAGAGAAAGGGTTCTGGTATCGTCCTCTTTTGTCTCGCAAATATGGGTACCGTTTGTAATTGAACATCTCGTTTGTAGTCAAATTCATACACGCGTGCAAGATCTGCAACAAAATTGTATGTTTATTGATTTATCATGCGTACCTAATTTATTAATGACGAAACGAATTAGATTCGATTGAAACGTTGTATGTTAGGTACTACATATCAAAATTGTAACTAAGCGGAATCTGTACATTAAATATTTTTTGGATACAGAGGCCGAATCTATAGTTTTTAGAATTTTTGTCTGTCTGTTACTGTATCACGGAAAAACCATTGGAGGGATTTTCATGAAATTTGGTATGGTGATAGCTGGTTATCCGAGTCAACATATAGGATACATACTTCTTACCGCGGGAAAATGTCACATTTCTGAGAAAAAATACAAAACCTGCATATATACTAATATGTAAAACCTAAGAATTTGGTTTTTGATCATCTGAACGCGGGCGGAGCCGCGGGCAATCCTAGTTATTGCATAAATCTTGAATTTATTATGTTTAAAATTCAACACAGGAAAATTGAATGTGAAATATCATTTAAATGCTAATTTTATAATTCCAAAAAAAAAGATTCTTGGAGCTATTATTTTTTTAGGTAGGTACGTTTTATTTAATTTTCTTTGAGTAATATGTTATTTTCAACCGACCTCCAATTAACTTGTTATGAATGAAAATGTATTATCGTGGGAACGTGGGAAATCCTACAATTTTATTTGTAGGACGACTTGATCATTCAATTAAGCATATTTTTATAATAAATACTATGAAAATCAGCCGTTTATTAATAAATTTTATGACGTTGTTATTTTAACAAGTTCGGAGAGAAGAGGAATATTCCCTGTAAGTATTTGATCCAAACTATCTGCTCTGTAGGATAACATTTTTTTCTTGTTTAATGTTGGGTTATCTTAAGAATAAATCGTAAAACAACCTGATATACGTATGAAGCCACAATTGAACCTACCACTATCAAATTGTCGTAGGAAGGATAGTTTTAGTTGGGCGTCTCGCCAAAATTAAGCTACTCACGATTCACGAAGTTTTAGCTGGTTATTTATTAATCATTAAAAAAATCGTTGGGGATTGTAGGCTAGAAGCTCTGTAGCTTTATTTGAAAATTTATTATTATAGTAGGTACTGTAGTAAAACGACACATGCTAGTTGCCGACTGATTTATTTATATTATACCCACACCTTTATATCTTAATATTACTACATCTTCCCCTTCAATGAGAAAGTTATACTTATGAAAAATAGAAATATACAAAATAGCAAAAATCTACAATAACAAAAACAATGAAGTATTTTTTTTTTTAATGTACTATATACCTATATTATTATTATTTTTAACAATATAAACCATATAAATCGTATACCTACACTGATAATGACAAGGCTAAATAAAATCTTTGTTTTTTCTAAAATCTTTTGCATCTATACATACAATGTACATAATAAGTATTTTTGTAATTTCCTTTAATGCTACTACTTATGTATGTATATTAATAAATTTTATCGAGATATACAATATAAATATAACAACAAAAAAAATATAATAAACATAGTAACAATCCATATTAGTACATATTATTCTCGTTTTTTAATAATAATTTAGCTTGCCTTCTTGTAATAGGCCCATAAATATTTTTTGGAGGGCTACTACGTGCATGCTTAGAATCGCTATTCTGTTCTGAAATTAATTTACTTGTACAGCCCTCTTTAAATGGCTCACCTTTGCCTACTACGCTCGCTTTGTCCGAAGTTAACGCCGTGTCACCCGACTGTATGATGTCATGTTTTGCTTGTGCCCGTCTGCGCACTAGATGACGCCTATTTCGCCTATATTTACGTCCAGCTTCATCTTCTACAATGTATGATCTGGGTTCAACTGCCTGATGCAAAACTTTTACAAGTTTACGCTGCTTACCGTCGACCATGACAACTTTGTCGTTATTATGCAGGACCGGGAGACATTTTGTTGTTTTATCATAATTATACTTTTGCTTTTCTTGTTGTTTAAGCATAGCCCGATGATTTCTTTCACGGTCAACTGGTACGTCTAATGCTTTATGGTAAATGGGTAAACGTGTGTTTAATTTTCTTCCCATTAGAATTTCGGCAGGTGAAACAACCTTTTCCCGAGGCGTCGACCTAAAATTCAACATACTTAAATAATAATCATCTCCTGAATCGGAACATTTTTTTAGTAAATTTTTCACTGTACGTACGGCTCGCTCACTTTTGCCATTACTTTGCGCATAAAAAGGAGAGGTTTTTGTATGTTTAATATCCCAATCACAAATAAATTGCTTAAATTCGTTAGACGCGTACGCGGGACCATTATCCGTCACTAATTCCATAGGGATTCCGTATCTTGAAAATTGTTCTTTCATCGCTTTTATAACTGATTTACTATTAATTGAATTTAATTCATTAACTTCAATGAAATTTGAAAAATAATCAACCAAAATAAGATAATATTTATTTTTATATTCAAATATATCAGATCCTAATTTAATCCAAGGTATATCAGGAATACTGTGCGGAATCATAGGTTCGCGCCGCGGCATCGGTACGTGACGGGTACAAGTCGCGCAATCACGTACAGCGCGCTCGATGTCCCGAGACATACCTGGCCAAAACATCACTTGCCGCGCCCGCCGCTTACAACGTTCTATACCGAGATGGCCTTCGTGTATCCTATTTAACATTTCACCTCGCAAACTAGCAGGAATATACAATAAATTTTCTTTTACGATCAAACCGTTGATATAGTGTAAGCTTTCGCGATAAGACCAAAATATTCTGAGTGTCGTTTTTATTTTATATTTATTTTTAGGCCATCCTTTCATAATGTAAGCACACAGATCCTGACATTGTTTATCTTTTGCTATATGTTCCCGCAATAAATCCAATTTTTTATCGCTAAATTGAAAATTATTAATTAAAAAACATGTTTGTGCTTCTAAATCACGGTTTAAGCGGTCATACGTATTATAATCTGATAAGGGTGCGCGGGATAGTGTATCTGCGATGTACATATATTTTCCCGGAGTATAGATAGCATTAACATCATAATGCTGTATCCGTAACAACATACGCTGTAACCTCGCAGGTACCGAGGACCAGGATTTTTTAAAAATTGATTCTAGTGGCTTATGATCCGTATGTATAGTAACATCACACCTACCATAAATATACTGATGAAAACGTTCACATGCGAAAACAATAGCCAACATTTCCTTCTCGATTTGAGCATATCGTCGTTGCGTATCAGTAAGCGTGAGCGAAGCAAACTCGACCGGACGACCATCCTGCAGCAACACTGCGCCCAGCGCCTCTGAGCTCGCGTCCACCGATAGCACAATAGGTAGATCAGTAGAATAAAGTGCTAAAACTGGGGCTGTTGCTATTTTACTTTTAAGTAATTCTACTGCTTTTGAGTGCATTGATTCCCATATCCATTCTATATTTTTTCTTAACAACCCCCTTAGAATAGCTACTGATTCATAATAATTAGGAATAAATTTTGAAAGATAATTAACCATACCTAAAAATCGTTCTAGAGATTTTCTATCCGTTGGAACAGGCATATCCAAAATCGCTTTTATTTTATTTTTATCTGGTCTCATACCATGTTTATCAAACACGTGACCCAAGTACGTAATTTCTTCTACACCGAATTTGCACTTTTCTTTATTAAACCGCAAGCCAATATCTCTTGCTCTTTCTAATAATCGTCTCAAGCGTACATCATGTTCTTTTCGAGTTCTTCCCCATACAATAATATCATCAATAAATGAGTCAACACCATCTAAGTCCTCTAAATGCTGCCTCACTTTCGAGTGAAACAGTTCGGGTGCACAGCTTATGCCATATGGTAAACGCAAGAATTGATACCTGCCAAAAGGTGTACTAAATGTACAAAGATCCGCACTGGCGTCGTCCAGCTGCAGCATCCAGAAGCCGCAGCGCGCATCCAGCACACTAAAGTAGCACGCGCCGCTCAGTCTCGCCGCCAGCTCGGGCACAGTAGGCAAAGTGTAATGCGTCCGCTTTATTGCATTATTTAACGGTCGCGGATCTAAGCATACACGTAACTCACCGTTTTTTTTCGCTACTAAAACAATAGCATTGACCCATTCAGTCGGATGCTGAACTTTACGAATGACCTCTAAATTTTCCATACGTTTTAATTCGTTAAATAACTTATCTCTAAGCCCATGAGGTATTTTCCGTGCTGGACATATACTAGGCTGTACCGCCTTATCAATTATTATTTTATGCATCCCTGGCAACTTACCTAAACCAGAAAATAATACAGAAAAATCTTTATCAATATTGAGAGAATCTACTCGTTTTATTAAACCCATTTTTACACATGCATTCAATCCTAATATATTTTGACAATTCATATCACAAACAACAAAGTTTAAATTGTACTCATTTTGCTTGTATATAATAGATAAGTTACACTGCCCTATAATCGGTACGACATTACCGGTATAAGAACTTACACGACCATTGTAAACACTAAGTTTTTGACAACTAAAACCCAAATACTCGTAATCCCATTTTGATAATACATTTAACATTGATCCTGTATCTAATTTAAAAGTTAATTTCTTACCATTACAATATAAATTATCAAACCACTCACGAGACTCTTCACACCTCTTGCTGCAATTTATCATATTAATATAAATTATATCACTATTGGATTCTTCGGAACTCACACTCAAGTTATGCACACGTTTTGTCACCTTTTTGCACATTCGAGCAAAATGACCTCGACCTTTGCAAGAATAACACTCTGCCTGCTTCGCTATACACCTTTGTTTACCGTCACAAAACTCCTTGCCGCAACGCCTACATCCACGAAATTCGCCGGGAACACGACCACCGCCACGCACTAGCCCTGCTGCTGCCTCGCCGTTGCGCCAGCTGTTACGTGGGCGCGCCCGCCATGCCATGCTGGCGTCGCGCTCCTTATCTCGCATACTTTTACTATTACCACAGCCCGCGACTTCATCGATTTGAGTACTGGAAGATGCCTCTTCTATCTGTTTACTTTCATGCCTCGACATTTCATCCGCTTCACAAATTTGTATAGCCTTCGCCAAGGTTAACTCATCGGTTCGAAGAAGCCGATCGCGAACGACATTATTTGAAATTCCACATACAATGCGATCTTTAATTAAATCATCCGTAAGATGCTCGAACTTACAGCCGTGACTCAGCACTTTCAAGGCTGTGACGTATTTGTTAATTGTTTCGCCTTCGATTTGATTGCGCGTAAAGAACTTAAATCTTAACATAGTCACATTAGATTTCGTCCCAAAATGCAAGTCGAATTTATTTTTCAAGCATGTCAAATCATCTGCACTTTCACCTTTGTTGTATGTAAAAGTCGAAAATATTTCGTATCCGTCCGGGCCTATGAGATTCACGAGTAAGCTAGCCTTTACATCTGACGGCTCTTTTACTACACCTGACGCCTTAAGGAATATTTCGAATTGCTTCCACCATCTTAACCACGCGTCAGCGCGTGCGGCGGGACTGCCTTCTATCTGCAACTCCGTTGGCGGCCGAGCGTGTTCCATAATTTATTTTAATAGTAAAACTTCCTTTTATCACTTTTATCGTTACTTATTTTGTTTTAATAACTTCTATACTTGAGAAATCTTTTATTAAATATCCCACCGCTGTCACCATGTAGTAAAACGACACATGCTAGTTGCCGACTGATTTATTTATATTATACCCACACCTTTATATCTTAATATTACTACAGGTACCTACTTTATATATTTAGTAAGGACTTAAGTAAGATAATAAAAATAAATTAAAAAAGCAACTTCCAAGAAGTAAGCAGTTATAAATTAATACTTGAAGATTTTTTAAACAATAGATATACTTACAGAGGTGCATGTCAATATCCAACCGAGGGCGCAGAATGTGATTGCTTCCAATAGCCCTAGCAAGTAGAGGATTCCAAAGCCTTCCAAAAGCAGGCAATAGCACGCAAAATATATGGATAGAGTGCAGTTTATCGCAACACTCATTACGAATAAAAAGAACCACATTCGATTCCGTACACCGATGCAGTTGTAGATGAATGGGCAGTGGTGGTCAAAGTACGCCACACACCGCTTACAGATGCGACAATGCTTCGCTCTGTAAAGTATTTATTACAAAATTTACTATTAAAATAATTGATACATTACTTCATTACACAATTTTTTGTATACATACATATATACGTAGTAACATAAGTAAAGTAACTTAATAATTTATCACTTTATTTTTGTTCCTGTTCGAAAATAATGGCAATCAAATCTTACCTCAATGGACGCAAACATCTGCAAGTGTGGCAGAGGCGAGATAGTATAATATTCCTTTTCTTCCATTTATCATAATAGGGGATTTGCCTTATAGCTCTGTAATAAGTTTCGGAGTTTTGAGGAATATAGCCAGGATCTCGTCGGTTAGCGATTATCCAACTCAACCACATTATAGCATTCCAGTAAAGAAAGCAGTAATGCGATAGGCGTAATGTATTCCAAGTGAGTGAAACGCACTGAAAATTATCATCGATATTAGTTTTAACTTGCTTTGTAATGAAAAATTCGGCGGAACCCGCGGGTTATGTCTTTCATTAGGACGATTGCTTACAACGGCTGTATGTTTATTGGTCGTAGATGTTTGATGATTGTGACAAATCAATCATGATCAATGAAAAAAATTAAAATATCACTAAACAATACAATCGTGATTACATTAAGATAAATACCAGTATTAATTAGAATATACATACCCTTATAATGTACATAGGATAACCCCACAAGAGAACCGAAAGTAGGAAAAATAGTAGCGGTCCCTTAGAGTCTCCGGCTCCACCGAAAAGCAATGCCCAAAGTTCAGACAAAGGAGGCATCCAATGGGATTTACGTTTCATTTCTTTCTGCAGTAGTTTTACTACTTCTACGTGGCGGTGACTTTGAGCTAGCATTAGTGGAGTCTTTCCGTTTTTATCTCGGGGCTCGAGTTCTGCCTTAACCTGAAGGATATCAGGACGATGAAATATGAAGTTACTAGTAGTAGTTAAATTAAAATTTAATTGTACAATGGATATACATGAATAAAACGATATGAAAATGAATTAAAAATGATTGGTTTACTCCAATCCATTACCTTTTCACAAAGCAGTCTTACACAGGTGAGGTTGCCAGATAAACAAGCCAGGTGCAGAGGAGTGGAACCGAAGTTGTCCGTGCAATGTAAAGGCACGCCAGAATAAATGAGTAGGCGAACTAAGTCCGCGTGCCCCTTGTAGGCCGCCCAATGTAGAGCGGTGTCGCCATTGATGTCTGACAGACGAGTGGCTGCACCCATGCCTAGGAGGTAGGTAGCCGTTGCAGTCTTTCCGTACATGCACGCCGTCATTAATGGAGTTAATCCTAAAAGCATTCCATTATGTCTAATCTTTATTCGGTTTTAAAAATATATACTTATATAATAGATGTTGTGTAATAAAATGTTCTATGGGATTTGTAAGAAAATTAAGGGAATATTAAGGAGGTAATAAATTGTGTGTTTTAATTAATTATCAACTCATTTTTGTTATTTGAATCAAATTTTCATATCTATACTTATTATAAAAATAAGTCCCCCGGCCGCGTCTTTCTGTCCTCCTGTCTGTCTGTACGCGATAAACTCGAAAACTACTGAACGGATTTTTATACGGTTTTCAACAATAGAAAGAGTAATTCTTGAGGAAGGTTTAGGTATATAATTTATTATGCTTTTATGTAAATTAGCTGAAATACGGCGACAAATGTTGAAGAGGTCGCAAAAAATCTCGCCAAATGGGAACTTTCCACGCGAACGCCGCGTAAACTAGCAAAGATACAGTTAAGTAATGTACTAGAGAATTCAAAATCTATAAAAATGCTACAAAAAAGTCCGCGATAGCATATCTCTATCTCTTACGGTTGACTTACAATAACCACTTTTATGTTAACATTTTTAATTAAAAACATTACGTTATTTTCAAAGTTATTTTCTTTAGTTCGGTATTAATCCTTATCCAAATGAATATTTTAGTTAGCTTAGTCATTTAATGCAGATTAAAATTGCTCTTTACACTAAATCAATCAGATGAATAGTTTTTGAGATATCGTTGTTAGAAGTAATTAGTAGCGAAACATTTTTAATGCTTGGCGAGCATTGAGATGCCTACGGCGAGTCCATCCCCTCTGCCCCGCATCGCTCGACCGCCTGCTCAAGCTATATAAACCGGGCGATGTAGCGCGCGATCCCAGGATACTTTTTACCGCGGGAAAATATCTTATTTCTGAGGAAAAATACAAAAACTGCAATGTAAGAGTATACTAATATGTAACACCTAAGAATTTAGTTTTTGGTCATCTGAACGCGGGCGGAGCCGCGGGCAATGCTAGTTATTTTTATAAAAATGATCTTATAGGTTCTTTAGTGTGTAGGGATGTTGTGATATGTTTGAACGGAATTCATAAATTGGCTCCCGTTTTCTAATTTTGCTAGAACCTACCCTACTACTACTATAAATAGTGATCTTTTTTTAAGCTAGAAAGAAAATATACCTTTAAAGTCCGCAGCGTTGACAGCTACGCCTGATTGTAGAAGCACTTGTACCACAGACGCGTGTCCTTTTCGGCAAGCCCAGTGAATGGGACGAGGTCCCTAAAATATTAAATATTTTATATTATATTTATTATTTTGATAAAGTTATCTATAAAACTATAAAAGAAATAAAAACACCTGAGTGCCTAAGCAGGAGAGATCGACCGGCGCGCCGCGTTCTACCAAATACCGCATCACAGCCACGCTTCCATCCAGCGCGGCCCAGTGCGCAGGAGTGTAGCCGTGCTGGTCTCGTGCACTTAACACTTCTACTCCAAGCTTTTCTACTAACCTTTCAATCTCTGATACCTCTCTGCAAGTATAACAATTATTTATTTGTCGTCGGTTAAGTATTAGGTACTCTAGGTATAGGACACTGCTCTCTCCCAATGTGTGTTCACCTTGTCGTGGTGAAGTGGCTCATTAGCGTCCGGCAATCCTGCCGGGCGCTAATCTCCTGTAGACGATTTCAGTGTTTTAAAATCACTTTCTTTAAAATGATGTCCATATCGTTATAAATATAATATATTCATTAAATACTCAAACACGCACACACACGCACACACACACACGCGCACACACACACACGGACACACACACACACACACGCGCGCGCACGCACATACACACACGCACACTCACACACAATACACAAACAAATATATGTACGCTAATTTTTATTTTTATTTTTATTTTTTATTTTTTTGTTTGTCTTAATTGATCTATTTAAGTTTGTAGTATCACCCATAATATTATAATCAGCTAAAAGATAAAATTACTTTTTTATGAAAGGGCGGGGTCTCCTAATACAGGCAAATTATTTGCTTAAAAGGGGATCTCAACCACAAAATTTGAAATTTTGATTAGATTTGAAATAAATAAATAAATAAATTTTAAATTAATCAATTAATTATATGTTAATTTTTATTTCAAATGTAAATGTATATTGTTATCTAATTTAGTTTTTATTGTTGTTGTGTTATAATAAATAAATTATTATTATTATTATTTAAAGATTGTGATTTCGCCAATTTTGGTCGTCTTACTGCTTTAGTCCACAATTTCTTCAGTTTTTGCTTTTTGGAAAAAAAATGATATACATTTTCTTTGCACCCTGGCACTGCACAATTTGTCATTTTCATTAAATTTTAAATAAACTGAAAAAAAAAACCAACCACGCTATAGAGCTTTACAATATAACGCTTGGGAAACCGAGTGAAGCGGGTTCAAATCCCGGGTCTCGCACCTCTGATATTTTCATGTGCGAATCATTTAGAACACGATTATCACTTTTCTTACGGTGAAGGATAACATCATGAGGAAATCTGGATGTCTGATAAAACCTAGAAAGTTTTCGAAAGACATGTGAAGTCCGCCAACCCGCACTTGGCCAGCTTGGTGGACTATGGCCTGATCCCCCCTCGTATAGAAGCGGTGCCCGTGCCCAACAATGGGACGTTAAAAAGGCCTGAATACATAGTGATCGCGACATCTGGCGGAAGAAATAGGCAAAATTCTTCCCTATTGGGAAATTAGCAGCGTGTACACCATCATGCCTAGGAGAACAAGTAAATATATCGGCTATGTATTTGGTTACTGCACCAGCAGAATTTTATAGTTCAGGAATAGAAAGTATCTAGACTGTGTGTGCTATGTGCACTTTAATGTCTCCCTATGTTGTACCTAAGTTGGCTAGTTTACGTTGCCTAATAAGATTAGCTACCGTATCCGAAATGGTTAGGAAGTCATTATTTTTTACAAACGCCCTAATTTATAAAATCTTTAAAACGTTAATTCATTGCTGCGTTGCATATGAATATTTTACTAAGGATTTCTGAACTTAATTACCCAGATCTAACAGCTTCGAAGATAAGCTGGTGGAAGTCAGAGGTGTGGCTCAGGTTGGTAGTAATGCGGGGTTGTGCGGCCGGCGCGTCGGGCGACATGGGCGAGCAGGGAGGCAGGGATTCCTCCGCCGCCATGGTGCATGGGGGCGGCTGCGGCAGCGCCCACACGCCGCGCGCCGCCCCCGGACTTGGATATACCTAGTATAAACATTATATGCATATGATATTTTATAATGTGAATAAGTATCTCGTTCAATCGTGTCAATAAATGCGAGTCTTTGTGTGTGTGTGTGTTTGTTACCCTTTAACGCTGAAACGACAGAACGGATTTGGATGAAAATTGAAATTAAGGACACAAATAGTTCATAGACTGTGGTCCTGGAGTAATACACAACCTATTGTTACCTAGTTATCGGCTATTGCTAATGGGGACTCCTGACTACCTATATACTTTTATTATAAGTATTTAGAGTAGGTATATAATTTATATAAAAAAGTGTAATTGTATATTATATCATACATGCAATTTTAGTAAAAACTATATTATATTTAGTACAGTAGGTAGGTACCTAGTAGCAGTTAAGCGATAAATCTTATGACGTACACATATTTCATTCTGTATTAACTACTTACCTATTCTTTTCAGAAACTGACATAGCACAGAAAATTCATGCCACACCCTTAATCTGTTTTTAATTATTTCATATTTTAAAATGATAGTTATAGCTATCTGAAACAGCGAGCTAAAAAGTAAGGAACAAGTTAGCGTAATAAAATGGTATTATGCATTCGGATACGTTTGTTTTATGATTTATCCTTTCTGCGAATCTAGATACATGTACGCATGTTTCCGACTAATATAATTTATTCTTTTTATTTACAGCTTTTTAACTTGAACCAAATTATACAAGTTTTATTTAACAATTTGTTGTCTTAAATTAAACATATAATTTGTACATATGTTTGTGATTGCTTCTTAAAAACTTTCATTTTGATACCCACTCAATAGGTTTGAAAGAAAAAAAAAATTAAGACATACAAATTGGCGCCTGAAATCCATTTTGATTTTACTATCCATTTTGATTATACTCACGTTATCAAGACAAATATAATGTACCTACTATTAAAATCAGTTAAGCCACATAGTAATTACGAGGAAACATAGGATCGGGCATACATATATAATTATGTCAAACACATAACTCTCCTTTGGGCTTCGCCACAGTCGGGTAAAGATTAGAAGTATTATTGTTCTTTATAACTTATTATATTAACTAGAAAAAGTAAAATTCACTTGTATAATTAAATAGCCAATTTAAAACAGATACCTACAAGCTTTGACTGAAACCTTTAATGGTTAAATTAGCGAAAACATGTAGGTACCTTATTAATTTGTGCTATACAGGCAAAACATCCTTCGATATTAAATAGTTTATATCTAGATATGTAGGTATATGTAGATATGAAGTTATGGTAGGTATATGTAGATTTGAGGAAAAATTAAAGAATTAATTATCTATTTGTTAAGTTATTTATTTATTGTGCATCCATTTGGTTATTATGTATTGTAAGATATATAGGTACTACATAATGTAAAGGCACGTAGGTATTGCTTATCTAGATATCCGCATTGCAGTTAACGCCATCATACCGCGCCTAGGTATATTAGGTTGGTCAATACAATGCAAGTGTCCTTGATCAAAGTTAGCATTTTTCTTTTATAGCTAAAGTTATAATTAACTTTAAAAATGGTCTCAAAATTAGATACCTTGCTACTCACGGTGAGGCCGACGCCTCCCGCCACTGCTGAAACTTCACTCTCCGCCACCGCCACTTCACACACACGAATATCCTCAGATACAAGCACCCACTACCCTAGCGTTGTAATAAAAATTTCAGTATTGTAGTTCAGTAAAGTCACTGCTACAATCACCGTAGCTTATGTATTGATTGTAACACCGAAACAGCTACAGAGCATGCGCCTCGACTTATAAACATTGCGGTTACTGCGTGACTAATATTCAAATCAAAAACTTCAGTAGCTACATATCATTTAATATTTATTGCATTAAAATTCTGTTAGTACTTAAATATAATTTTAAGCTGAATAATAGTTGCTAAGTTAAAAAAACGATAAATAACTTAATCTAGGTATATTAGTAGTACTTGTCCGACATTGGCGGAAGTCGGTAATGAAGATGATATTATATTACTATGACTTATGAGTAGGCTTATAATTTTCATAGTGCGTAATATTTATACTGAATAAAATGAAATAATGTTCATAATATCGCAATACTTAATTGTACACATATGAATCTTCGTTTACTGATTAAAAAAAACTATTTCTTATTGGTATTCAATAAGAACCATTATCTGATAAAAACAAACATGAATGAGTTAAATTTATGATTCAGATATTTGCGTTATAAATAACGCCGTTGCCGGTTTATATCTAAACCTAAAAAACCGGACCCAATAAGTTGTATGGAATTACTTTTTAGCCAAAATGTGAGCTCTATCTACCTTAGCCCATTAATGTCGTAATCTGTCGATAGCTTGTGTAGATGTAGTGCTTTGTATTTATAATTAGCTAGTGAAGAGGAGCGACGGAAGACTTTTTTATAAATAGATCACATGATAAATAAATTAAATTTTAATATTTTAAAATCTTTTACAAAACCGGCACTCAATGGTTTATATATAAATATATATATCTTTCACTTTCTATAAATATAAGCATTTCTTACATGCAATAGTGGATTGCATGTAAGAAGTGAAAATATTCTTGATACATTGTTTTAATCCACATTTCTAAAAACTAACAGGACACTTTCTCTGTATTATTGTTATGAAATCATAATTTAATTCATAAAAACATATTTTTGTTGCATACGCAAACTCTATTATTAAAATATATCAAAATTTTAATTTTTATTTTAATAAATTAAAAATATAATAAAATATATATATAGACAATTTCAAATTTTGTCAATGTTGAATAAATAATTTCCATAAAATTAAACTTTAAAAATTGATAGAGTAACAATTTAAAATAAATAAAAATAAAGACTTGAAATAATGATAAATATTTTTAAAATGAACAGAATTTCTTGTAAAAATTTATACAAAAAAATTGTATAATTGGTCAATGAAATAATTTTTTAATATAAAAAGAGAGAACAGAATAATATTAAGATTATTCCTACTATTTGGTATTTCCTGACTGTAGCTCTAGTTTTTAACTTTATTTATTTCTCAAGTATTATTAGGGAATTAAAGTTGCTAAAATAATATTCATCAAATATATTTATAATTTATATATCATTTTAAGAATCTAAAAATTCAAATTTAAATAAATCAATATAAGTATTCTTGTTCATTAAATAATATATAACATAAAAAATATATGTTGCTAATAGATGAAAACACATTTTAAAATTGTGAAAATGAATTTTAATTCAGCAAATTTTATACTAAATGTATAAATATGATAAAATCTAGATTTCGTTTTCACTACCTAAATAGACATCATGTTATAAAAAGTGTACAACTAAAACTAGTAGCTGATTAAACATCTCAATGTGGCTTATATTAGTAAGATCTTGTAAAAGCACATTTTAAAATGGTATATTATACTTAAATAATAGATAAAAAATAATAATCAAAGCACATAGCTCACAACTGATGTTGAACTTCCAAACAACAATCATCTTCAATACAAATCTTAAACTTCTAGTAAACTTGAAACATTTAACGAGCAAACTGAATAAATTATTATTCATAATAAGAAACAAACTTAACAATATTGATAGCTCAAAGTAATATATTTTAACAAGAGTTGACAGACTGCACTTAAGATAATCTTGTAAATGGGATTATGTCTCAGCACTATTTCCTTACATTGTGTTAATTGATGTGTTTCAATGAAAAAGGAGTCATTTTGTCTATTCATTACTGTACTGATATTGTAAAGATAACACAATCTTTACATTATCTCTTCTGTGTCTTGAAACTAACAGATAGAGGCTGGCCATGAAGCACATATCCATTTAATGCTTGTATTGCCATAGCAGCCTGGTCGTAATTTCTCATAGTCACAAATCCAAAACCTTTACTTTTATTAGTTTGATGATCTTTTATTATCTTAACAGATACAATAGCACCATATGGACCGAACAATTGCCATAGAGTCAATTCTTCTACTTCAGGAGCAATATTATAAATGTATATAGACCATGTACTAGGGGAATTATGGTCTCCTATAGCACCCACATGATTAATCCAATGATAAGGCTTCACAAGAGAATTCTTCGAAAAGTTATTATTATTGTTTTTATGTTTATTAGGATTACTCTTATTAGCATACTTAACAGTTAATGGATGTAGAAAACCTGGAGGAGTAGTGCCATTAATATTATGAATGGCTCTCTCCGCCTCATATTGGTGTTCGTATAAAACGAAGGCTATGCCTGAAGCGATACGAGAATTAACTATTTTACCAAATTGTGCGAATAGTCCATGCAAATCTTGCAAGGTCAGTTCATTAGGCAGGTTACATACGTAGAGGTTCCAGTCTGCTTCCGGTTTTGAGGGTGGCTTCAATTCCGGATTGAGTAAGGCATGTGAAACTTTTAAAGTTTTATTCTGCATAAGCAACCCATTGAAGGCCTTGCGTGCTTTGACGGCATCCTCTGGGCGAGAGTACTCGACGAAACCGTACCCTCTGTTCGCTATCAATTTGCAACTTTCTAATTTACCCATTGTCGAAAATAGTGAGAACATCATATCCTGCGTCATAACTTCAGGAATATAATTAACAATAAGCTTCGTCGGTGATTCATCAGGCCCAAATTCATTATTTCCATGACAATTACCGTCTTGACACGATTCCGACATTTTTTAATTGTTGTCTAAGAATGACATTTCATTCTTAATGTTGCCCGTGCTAACATTTCGTTTAAAAACATGATAAATGAGGCAAAATAGTTTTGAAAAATATAGATAAAAAAATATTATTGTTATACACACACAATAACAAATTCGTATTCAAATATTATCTTTATATAAAAGCTTGTACATATTTGTGTTTGTTACTCCTTCATGCTAAAACAGCTGGACAGATGTGGATTACATAATTTACATGTAATCCACTTTATCTACATGTTTAACTAAAGAAAGAAAGGTAAGATACCTACTAAACACTTGACTGATTTACTTCTTTAACCCAAACAAGATATTTATCACACAAAACCTTTTCAAAATAAATTAGTTTAAAAAATACGCTTTATTTATACTCACAGTAGAGAAAAAACGTCTTTTTTTATCTTCCGTGGATGAAACGAACTAAAAAGTAAAAAAATATATTTTTTTGTATAAATAAAGTGATAAACAAGAAAATTAATGTTATTTTGAAAGAAGCGTGGGGTGCCCGATAAGATTTCTAAAAGTAGAGTTAGTCTATACATATAATAAAATTCTAACTAAGTCGAATCTGCACATTAAATATTTTTTGGAAAATCTTATTGCAATAGACATTACTATGGATACAGAGGCCGAATCAATAGTTTTTAAATTTTTGTCTGTTTGTCTGTCTGTTACCGCATCACGAGAAAACCAATAGGGATTTTGATGAAATTTGGTATGGTGATAGCTGGTTATCCGGGTCAACATATAGGATACTTTTTACCGCGGGAAAATATCTCATTTCTGAGAAAAAATACAAAAACTGCAATGTAAAAGTATACTTATATGTAAAACCTAAGAATTTGGTTTTTGGTCACCTGAAAGCGGGCGAAGCCGCGGGCAATGCTAGTTGTAATATATAATAAAACTATCTTTTCGGATTATTTCGCGGAATTATTTTGATTTTTGGTTCCCGACTTTTCGAATGCTTTACTGCAATCATGGTCACGGGAATCTATTCTTACTGTTTGGTATTTTGGTCTCTTTGGTATTTTGGACCATGGCATCAGTCAGGACGATATTTTATTATTATTAGGTATGTACGAATTTACGTCATAATGAAAATCATCTGTTTAAAGTATCATTACTCTATCCTAGATATTAAAGTCAACGATGTTAACTTGATACCCCTTTAGTTACCAGATTTCGTTACATCGACTTTGTTTTTATAAAAAGGAATCAGGTGCGAGGTGACTGAGTCGCCAAGAGTGTAATAAATGCTATGCTAGCAGTCTAATAAATCATCTAATTATTACTCAAGTATTTTATATAAAAATCAGCTTTTATACTATAACGTAAGTAGAATTATAATTTCATGAAAAGGATGTCTGGCAAGGGTTTGCCTCTGGCATTGAATGACGTGATTTTTAATAATATTCTGAAGGTAATACCAAAAAATCACACTTTATTATTTGACGAATTTAGATCGGTATTTTACACACCTTTAGTACCGTTTACCTGCCAAAGCCACCATAGCCTGAACTTCATAATGGTCCATCGTTCTTATCTGTGTTGGGAGCATGCGCTGACAAACTTTCAGCTTTTATAAAATGACGAAGCGAGGGTGAGCCGCTAGTATTATAATAAATCCTATTATATAGCCTAATATATATATATATATTAACTTAACTGCCTCGGTGGTGTAGTGGCTAGCATGTACGGCTGCACACCCGGAGGTCCTGGGTTCGAGTCCCGAGTCGGGCCAAGTTTAGTTATTGAGTCTTTCTGTATAAGTAAGCCTCAGTAACAGCCCGGAGTTGGGAAGTTGGCGGTGTTTCACCCCCGTGCCTCGGAGAGCACGTAAAACCGTCGGTACTGCGCCTTAACTCTCACTGGTCGTCCCACCGGAGTATGAGTGACAGGAATAGAGAGTGCAATTGTGTCTGCGCGTACACTTGTGCACTATAATATCTCCTGCGCAGTTGGCTAGTCTCAATGAGATTGGCCGCCGTGGCCGGAATCGGTCAGGAGAACATCATCATCATCATATATATATATATATATATATATATATATATATATATATATATATATATATATATATTATGTAGAACTACACAAAAGTCACACCAATTCGTCACTTTGTTTCAATGTGAAAGAAGGACAAACTTAAACCAAGTCACTGTATATCCTAGAAAAAGTGTCAAATCTACAAATACATTCCAGTAGGTAGTTTATATTAATTTTAAGGTTGCGTTCATAAGCACAAGTAAGAAAAACGAAAAATGTGATTTTTAGGTTTTTCTGTGAATTTTTTCTCTTTATACGAAACTTCGTCGGACTTCAATGAATATTTAAAAAAAATATTAGCCGAATTGGTTCAGCTGTCCTCGAGTTTTGCGCTTAGCAACACATTTAGCCATTCATTTTTATTTATAAGATTTACTCATATCATATTATATGTAGGTATTATAGCAAAAAAGTTTCGTTCACGATAAGAGGGATATCTTCATTCAAGGTCGTAATTAAACCACTTCGATTCGATTTCACAAAAAGCTTTATTAAATACTTTTACTGCATATACATTAACATAGCGTAGATATATAAATATAACTGTCTTTTAAATAGATTCTATAGCATATTGTGCATTTCAGACGTAAGATTTCTAAAATCAAAATGCATACTGAAGAATGTGGCGTTTTAAGTTCTGTAGTAGGTATATGGTTTGGAGTGGAGGTACCTAATATTTATAAGCTATGCAACTTTATTTTGTGCTACAATGTAGTCTTAATATTTGCTATCTATTGCTTTAATTTAATAATAAAGCTACTGCCTATTAATTCGAAAGCGACATTAAGTATTAACAAATTCAAATATACGAAAAAAACTCTCTCCCTTTGTTCCAGCGGAATGACATATTAAGTTTCATAATATATAACAATGTGACTCATAGTCAATCTGTACAAGTATCTAAAGCGACAACGACTAACAGTCAATAACTACGAATGAGTTCACATTGACGCAGAATACCTATGTAAACTTAGCCAACTGGTAAAATGGTAAAAAATATAATTTAAATTAAAGCTTTTGGCGTTAAAATCAATTTACATTTAAGTAAATAAGCTACCTCTTTCAAAATATTTAATATCACATTAAAAAAAAAATAACTATAATAAATTATTTCATAAAAAATAAAATAATTAAACAGGTACAAAAACTTTAACAAGAATATTAATAAACTATTGAATAGTGAACAACTTGAGTTTGTAGACATGCACTTTTTATTTGGCTGTTATTATTTACTTTCATATAACTATTTTTGTTTTTAAAAACCTCTGATTCTGTTTTTATGTGGTATTATGAACTAGAAGTGGCTATCACATGTGATGAGCTCATAACCACTATCATATCTGAGATAAATTATATTACATATATTTTATTTAAATACGTATGTATGTATATAAATATATTTATGGTATAAAGACCAATAACTTATTATTGTAATACTAGCCTCTCTTACAAAAAAATAATATATCCACGACATCCATTTTGACTACACCTATTGACTAAAAATATATATATAAATAGTCACATCTATTTAATATTATTGTCATGATTAATAAAGTCGGAGAAATGTTGCTATATATTCAAATATTTAAGATTGTTTTAATATATTTTCTACGCTGGCGTAAGTACCAAAAACGAAGCCGGTTATACCAAATAGAACGATAGCGATATCTTTCCACAACATCCAATCTCTGTGTCCGAGTCTATCTGGCCAAAACGTGATTATCTCAATAATGGGCGGGAAAATCAGAGCCAGCGCGGAACTGCTGAACGCCCCCACCAGTGATATTATGCTGCTGAGATTGGGTATCAACAACGCCGCAATAACTGAAAAATATATACATATAATTTTTCATATTATAAAATTATTTTACATATAATAAAATTGTAACTAAGCCGAATCAGTACATTAAATATTTTTTGGAAAATCTTATTGAAATAGACATTATTATCGATACAGACGCCGAATCTATAGTTTTTAGATTTTTTGTCGTAATAGAAGTAGGGACGAACCCGAGCGGAGCGAGGGTGAGTATATATAAAAATATATGTACATTTTGTTCGAAAGATACGTAATAACTAATAATTAAAAAATATAAATGAAATTTCTTCGCCGTGAAATTTTCTTGAATTATAATATCTGAAATTACCTTTAAAAGGTGTGATTCAATATTATTTAATTCAATTGAAAAATATGCAAAAGAAGAGTTGAACATTGCAATAGGTATACCTACATAAGTTAATGAAAGTATTCCAACGGTTCACTAAAGTAGGTACCTACTTAATAAACTTATACCTGTATATTATAATCATATTGAAATATCATATTTTGATCAAAGCAAATACTCGTGTTATTGTTAAACTGTACCTCTGGAAAGTAAACAATAGTATCTGTCTAGGACTAATTATTGAGTAAAATATTCACTGTTACTTCATAAATTATCAGGCTGGGACTATTCCGCGCGTGGGACAATTAATATTATCAGCGAGTAAATTTCCTTAATATTTTGTCAAAAGCAAACTCATTAAGTAATTAAAAAAGGTAAATGAAATATCCAAATATAACGGTTTTTAAATGATTAGTCATTACATAATGTGATTAACAGAAAAAAAGTATTTATTAGTTGTTCGTAAGTATATATATATCTTAAACTGATTTATGCCAAAATTTCTAAATGATTTGTTGGATTAATAAAACTATTTATTAGACTATAAAAAGAGAAAAATATAAACTACCTACTTAATTTTTTATAACTTCGTTACGTATTTATTGGATCTCAAAAAGGAGGTAGAAAATGCAAGTTACCAATAGGTATATGAAACGATACATTGATGAATATTCCGACTTTAAAATATTATTGGCTGCAGTTATTATATGGGACGCCGCCTCTGGAGGAGTGAGTGATATTTTTGGATAGAGAAGGAATTTTCTTAAGTCATTTTTTCCTTCTCGTTAGGTCTTTTTTATTTCAAACCCAGAATCCCCAATGTCATAAGTGCTATATATTCTTTTAAATTCGGTGGCAGTTTCGACTCGAAAAATATTACTATCGGACATTATGAGTTGAATTGGAAGTAAAATGAGAGCAAATGTCTTAATAATGTATTGGAATGTTTTAAATCATACTAACATAACTTTTGACATAATTGTATATATGTATATTCGTCATCACCTCCCTTATACAAAAATCTTTTCCAAATACCGCGTCCCATGTACTAAACTTGTGCCATAATTTTATATACGACCTTTTAACCTGACCTGAGTTTACTTTTTTGATAAAAATAATATTTTATGATAACATAATATGTAGGTACATATTTGTTTGCGCTGCGTATTGCTCTGGCAGTATGTATACACAGATACTTACTACACTAGACTGGAATCTGGACAAAATTAAATATTTACTGAATGACGTCACACGTTTCACGTGTTCATGCAAATTAGATCGCTTTTGAACCAGTGCGGCTTTTTTGTTGGAATGTAAACCTGATATGTACCATTGTATATATCTATAAATTCAAAGCAATCAAAAATTCCTTTTAACGGCTCACTTGATTCGTTTTGACGAGTCCCACACATATAAATGTATGTATTAGTTAGTTATAGCGGTTTTTTTAATGCCTAACACTATAATTATTCAACTCTTGGTAGTTTTATCATTTCCTATCGAGGCTTTTGGCGTTCAATAATTTTAGAGTAATAGAACATACTTAACAAAGAATTTTAGGAATAATACGTAAAAACTATTGTGAAAAACAAAGACAAATGAACGAGATAATATATAAAAACTTAAAAAAAAATTAAAATCGACTTCCTGCCTGGAAGTCGGTTTTAATTTTTTTCTAAGTTTTGCAAAGCCGATACAAAGCAAATCTAATATAGGTATTTCGATACGTAAAATACATATTTTTTTCCATTTTTATTTTTTAGTGTAGACGTAGTAAAAGGTAATTTGTAAGAAAAAAGTTTTTTAATAACATATTCGATTAAACAATTTATTTAAAAAAATATTTATTGTTGATTTTTTTTAAAACCGCTAGACCGATCTCGATAAAAATTATATGGGAGAACCTGGAAAGTATACCCTTTGAAACAAAAAAATTCGAAGTCGATTCAGGCGTCTTCGAGTAATTGGTGAACATACATAAAAAAAAGATTCCGACGAATTGAGAACCTCCTTCTTTTTGGAAGTCGGTTAAAAAATCTTACTGTGGAATACATAGTGCCACTAATGGCCAAGAGTGAGTGCCAATAAAAATTATAAAAGGTCAAAACTATTAACCCGATAAGTCGAACGCTATTAAATATCCCGCTGTTTTATTGTGATTACTATATTTACTTGTTCTACGAAAAGTGGGTTATACGCACATTGACACGAGTAAACGAACTTTTACGTCTCAATAATAAGAATAAAAAATAATAGAACTAGATTAAAAAATCTCATTCAAAAATACGGAAACGAGTAATTGATAATACATATATATGGATATCAGCCGCAATATGTTAATTTGAGCATACTTACACGTAATGGATATGAGAACAAATCGTGTGGCAGCTTCTCCGTATTCCAGAGCCTTTTCAGAATTTAATTTAGTTTTAATATACGGCCACACAATGTTCATAGGAACGTAAAATTGAAGGCCGTAGGAGAGGAATATTGCAGCTGCCATTACAGCTCTGACGCTTTGAGCTAGCCTATAAATAATGTTGATAATAATTAGGTAATATTATTTACAACCCATATAAAGCTAGTGTTCTCTTTAGTTATTTAATTTAAGTTATTTAAGACTACGGAAATGTTTGATCATCGTTAAATTAAAGTTTAATCACCGTCACACATACATAGATTTAAGTACAAATATAATTTAAGGGTTAGAAACTGCAAACTCCGCCTCATTTACATATTGGATCGAATTTACTTTTATAAGCTTATATAAAAAGGAGAAATTCTTACAGATCATTTGGTAAATTAAGAGTGATACTGCCGAGGACGTGATCTCCGTATTTGAGATAGCCAAAAAAGCCAATAGCAGTGTAAAGGGCGGCCACAATAACCATGCCAGTAGTTAAAACACCCGTCCAACCCCCAAAGTCTTCTGGAGTCTTCATGTTATTTTCCAATGGCAAAACCTGCGATGGAATATTTTTTATTACGTTACTTTGTTTTAGGCATTTTATTAAGCATATAAAGTTTAGGATCAATAAGGGTACAATCTCTCATTTTCATGGTAAAATACAGAATTTAGTTCGGACTTCAGACACAATCTATTCTATACCTATATGTAGTATAAAATAAAGTTGCTGTCTGCTTCTGTCTGTATCTCCGCGTAATGTTCTAAACCACATAATGGATTTTGATAGGGTTTTCACTAATAGAAAGAGCGATAAACGAGGAAGGTGTGTGTATAAAATCCATAATTCCATACCAATGTACATTTATAATGTAAAAGTTTGTTCGTCAAAACGGAGTGAAGGATTGGCGTGTTTTTTTGTGGAGATAGTAGTAGCTTGTGTGCAGTTAGTTGTAGTATTAGCGCGAGCAAAGCCGCGGGTTCTGTTAGTTTGTAAATAAGTATTTTATGCAAAATGGCTGAAGTTGACTTATGAGCGTGCTTTGTTAAAAAAACTGTTTTCTTAGGTATGCTTTACATGACTGACATTAAAGATATATGTACATCAAAATAATGTAGTAGAAAATCGTTGACCTTAAAAGAAAAGTCTCCAATAATACCTATGCGTGTCTCATTATCTAAAGTACACTCACAATAACTATTTTAATTTATTTAAAACGTACCTAGCGAAGTCGGTAGTAATATATTATATTTATTGTGCATTAAGACATATCTGGCTGGACGAAGTCAAAACGGTCTGAATATAAAAACAATCTCTGTATACTGTGATTAAGCAAATTAAGTTCTTATTATTTACGAACGAAATTGCAATAATTTAGGGTGCGTTCTAGATTGATAACATTAATTATGTTATGTTATTATCAATAAACAAAATGCCAGAATGTTATCATAATAATATGCCAGACATTGAAGAGAGATAGAGGTCGACTGATCTCATTGAACATATTAATTTTGTTGTTTTCGATCTTCTCTTGCTAGGCATATTATTTTTCTATTCCATAAACGTGGACGTCTTAAGTATCTGCTACAGGTAATTATTCACGGATTTAAAATTTTTACTAATGTTTAATTAGTTAATTTAATAACTTGTGTTTCACACAAACAAGAAATCGTATTTGCGTAATAATTAGTGACATTTGTTGAACAAAAAAGCTCCCTTGAGAGGTCTCTCAAGCCTCATTTTAATTTCTTAATTCATCATGTCATATTTTTGTAAATCTGCTTCTTATTTGATGCATATTTTACTAAAGTATTAATGGGAAACACGTCAATACGTTTAGTAAAGTGGTAATTATCGAACATGCTACATGCAAAGTTATAAAACTATTTAATTATTGTAAATCTGCATTTTTCTATTTTCCAAAGGTAGACATAATATAGTTTTAGATTTGTCAAGTACCTTTTTTAACCAATCGATGTCGTTTTTCGTAAGAAACTTCACAGATTTCGGACCTATGAAGTTATACCAATCCAGTATCCTATGTTAGTTATATAACTGCCAAACAGATATGTGCAATGTGCATAGCAAATCTTTAACAAAATGAATGGTCAAAAGGACAGTCAGTATTGTTTTTATAATGTAATTTTAACTGTGTGATAATTAATTAGGATATAAATAGCAGGATTACCAACTTCATACCTACAAAATTAACATTAACAACAATTGATGAAAAGTAGTTCTGATCATTTATCATGACATTATGGACTATCGCGTTATTTTAAAATGAATTATTCACCACAGCCTCACGTGCAGTGCGATATTTTGAACATTAATGTTAAACGTAGTGCGTTAATACACAATTGTTTTAACAAATTAGAGCTGAATATTTTTTTTATAAATCCCTCAATATTTTTTTTTAATTTCAAGTCACATTATAAAAAAAATATTTTACATCCAAAATTCAATACTTTGTTTATGCGACATAATTTTATTGAAATATTTTAAAGTAAACAAAATATTTCAGAACAATGTTGTGTGAAATATTTATTTGAAGAAATTATGTATACATACACTATTTTTAACGAATAAGCCAAAGCCTCGATTTAATTAGATTAAAAAAAATATGTATATAAAACACAAAATTATTAGACAAAAAATTAAGTACATATAGTTACATATAACTTACCACACCAATGCCTTCAAAAGCATAAATGGCTGTTCCAAAATATAATGGTAGCTGATGCCAGCCTGCAAATGCTTTTACGCTACCAGTGTGTGGCAAATCTTGCAGTATGTAATAGAAAGTTATTACAAGACCCCAAGCAGTCATTATTGATGCAAGAAGAGACACTGGAGTTAAGTATTTTAGGTTCTTTACCATACCCAATGTCAATAGAGGTATGAACAACAATGCTAAATAGCTGTGTACATTTAGGTTTATGCCAAAAATATGCATTGTATCTTGCAAGTTAGTGGCAACAAATAAAAAATAAACACAGCAAAATCCTAATTGCGTCATAACAAGGAACACATTGACCATATTCCTGAAACAACAGTATTTAATGTTACCAAAACCAACACAGACAGATACATGTAGTACTATATGTTATTATGAAATCAATTATTGAAATATTTAGGCAAATCACAATAAAATCACGAGTGTAAATAAAACTTACCTAATTTTAGTAGCATATGGTCTCAATGATATAGGACCCATGGCAAATGCATCTTCTACCACTTCTGCAAAACTCATTGCTGGTCTCTGATTTCTAATACATAACTCATGAGAACACTGCACAAGCATATGCATGCAATGTGTGCATATGGCTCCCATAAATAATGTACCAAATACACCTAAAATATAAATAAAATAATTAAATTCACAAATATAAATTCATAATATACAAATTACAGTACAAATATTATAAAATAGCTACCTAAAACAAGACCAGCATTTTTAAAAGCATCAGGCATAGCCAAAATACCAGTGCCTATATTGCCTTTGAGGAGGTGAATTAAAGTGTCAAAGTTCGAAGTTGGATGCTCCAAGTATCGTTCAGACGCAGGATTATATTCCGCTTTCTTCGGCTTTTCATCTTTAAAGGGTGAAAGGTGGACCGACGGACTTGTCACCAATTCCACTGTTTGAACCTCCACATTATCAATGGGAGTATTAGGTCCAGTAAGTAGGGGTTGCTTCTCATCGCTCATTTTTATAATGTACACTAAATATTTACATTCAATTTTAAAATATTCGCTACGTCAAAAAAATATTACATTGTAATGAGACACGTCCTGTTTATAGCAGATCAAAATTATAATTTATAACAGTAATTACTAATTATTCGAGACGCGATACAGTTGTGCCGGCATAAGACACTGCATCCAGCATATATCCAATAATCAATTAAACTACAGAAAGTCAGAAACTGTGCTCAGTCAGGCAACTGGCAAAGTCAACTGTTTAATGTTTATATATATGTTGCAATATACTCTATGGTCAACTGACAAGTGTCAATTATCAAGTGTCAACTGTCAAATAAAAAACAAAAGTAGTTACATCTATCCAAGGATTTTATATATGTTCCATAAACGAGGATTGTGCACTGCACATTGAACACAAACTAAAATATATCTCGCTACGCAGACATAAAGTTGTTTTTCCCTATCATTCACTTTACGAGCTAAGCGAAAGGGGTCTTAGCGGTAGCGCTTTCTCTTTCTAATGTTGCTAGAGTAAATAAATAAATGGATTGGTAGTTTATAACCTAGAAAAAAAAATTATAACGATTTCTTTTATCCAATAATCTCTTGATTCATCATAGGACAAGTGAATAAAAAATGTTTATGTATGTAACGTCAGCTATAACCATTACTTATAATTATCTGTAATTATATTAACCACAGTATTTGGGCCAACGGAGGCGTCTAGATAGCTCAATCGTGCAGGGACCGCGGGACGAGAGAGGGGAGGTAGCCAGCCCAAGTTGCACAACTCTAACTTGGGACACACCGTTCAGCAGTGACCCATTTTTATTAATTGTATCGTTTATTAATATAATAATAATAAAATAGTTCATACTACGTGTAGGTACCGTTATAGGCTGTGTACAATGGTAATATGTATTGTTATCATTAACGTATAACAAAAGGTGGACGGAACTTCATATGCTTAACAAGTGAAGTACCCTATAATGATTGTTATAACAATGTTACTTCAACAAAACCGAAACTGTTGCTATTAATCAATAAACCATTATTTATTCGCGAAAGAATCACATTGTGTTATTAAAATTTTACTACTTTAACTAATTTTTAATATGTATTTTGTATTTTTGTTTATAATAAAAGGATTCACAACGAAACTTTATTGTTTACATCATATTCATGGTACCCACTAGTACCCTACATAAAAGTACTATCAATAAAAAATGTGAAACTGTGAAACAGACGATTATAAATAAAAAAAAATGTGACAACCCTGCGCCAATGACGAAAACCGGCATTTCGCGTGACTTTGTCCACTGTAGTTTTTTAGTTACGCTGTGTTAATACGATCGGTAATTTCACTTTTATTATGATGACAACACTGACTTTTAAATTATGGTGACGTTATTTAAATGGGGAGAGGGATGAAGGTGGTTGGAGTAAATATTTTTTGTACCGAAATTTAGATATTACCTAAGAAGAGTAATATACACGAAATCTCTGAAAGAAGTAATGATATTTTGTATACCGAAATTTAGATATTACCTAGGAAGAGGAATATAAACGAAATCCAGACCAGAAAGGCATAGTTAAGTTTGTAGTTTATTATTTTTATTGCAGTAAATACGCACGGTGACTATGAAGCCAAACGAGCCTTTTTTTTATATGTGCGTCTCGGGACTAGTCAGGACGCCCGACAGAAGTGATTACGTACCAGTTTACCCTCCCATAAGAAGTAATTACTTCAATAAGAAGTTATCACTTTTAGTTAATTACTAGATAAAGCTTGCCTAGATTTTCCTAGCAAACTAATATTATGGTTACCCTACTAGAAAGAGACAATGCTACCGATAACTCACCTCTCTCTCTGCTCGATTTTATTGGTGAGTGCACAATCCTGTTTAGGAATATATAAAATCCTTGCATCTATCCCACAGAACACTGAAAATTCAACATTGAAAGTAGTGCCTGTTTTCCAATTAGAGCACTAAAGCACATTATGCGGCATAATACTAACTTCAGATGTTCCAACTACAGAAACGCTCCGCTCAATCGGGTATTTTAAAAAGTACTGCTATGGCGTGATGCGCGCAAGAATACCAACTCAATAACAAAAAATATGAGAAGTGTTTTTTCTTCAAGGCGGCATTGACCAAAATTTTATTTATATCATTGTTAGTAATATTTGTTTATATTTTATTTATATGATGTTCTCCTAGCCGATTCCGGCCACGGCGGCCAATCTCAATGAGATTAGCCAACTGCGCAGGAGATATTATAGTGCTCAAGTGTACGCGCAGACACAAGTGCACTCTCTATTCCTATCACTCTCATACTCCGGTGGGACGACCACTCGACACGACCGGTGAGAGTTAAGGCGCAGGACCGACGGCTTTACGTGCTCTCCGAGGCACGGGGGTGAAACACCGCCAACTTCCCAACTCCGGGCTGTTACTGAGACTTACTATACAGAAAGAATCAATAACTAAACTTGGCCCGACCCGGGACTCGAACCCAGGACCACCGGGTGCGCAGCCGTACATGCTAGCCACTACACCACCGAGGTAATTATATGCTAATTGGTTATATATTATTATATTTCTATACTAATATTATAACTGCCTCCAAAGATTACTCCCTACAACATCACAAAGTCACAAACTTTACCTCTTTATAATATTAGTATAGATTATGGATCTATGCTGTTTACAGTAATCATTTTTTGGTCTGTGGTGACTCGGTGAGTGGTGACATTAGTGGCAAAAAAAAACTCAATGTTTTTATTTGTCATCCTTGATAAACAATATTTTTCAAGCTTATACAAAACCGCGGATAGTAATATTTTACGATTTTGAAACTTTATTATGGGTAATGCAGGAAGTAATCCGCCAAAAGAGTGGCATAAAGACCATTCTGCTAAACAACCAGATATTGGATCTTGTTCTCCTGTAAAAGAAGGTGAAGCATTTACATTCGATAAAAAAATTGATGATGATCGCTGCGGAAGAGAAGATGATAATAACATTGAAGATGGGGCCCCTTATTATACTAAAGCTGTACCTGAACGCGAAGTTGAAGAGACAATTATGAGAGAACGGTCAAATACTTTAACTGAAGGTAATAAGTTAGATGAAGATGTCAAAGTTCTGCCCACAGTATTTAAATGGGAAGGTGGAGGAAAACAGGTTTGTAAAGAAAAACCATATCAAATTTTGACAATTAGTTGCTATTGTGTACAACTGGAAGTATTATTTATGCAATTTATTTTATAATTAGAATTCTTTAAGCTTAACATACATATATGTTTTAGGTTTTTATTAGTGGCACTTTTACCGATTGGAAAACTATACCAATGGTAAAATCACATGGGGACTTTGTAACTATCATTGATCTACCAGAAGGAGAACATCAATATAAGTATTTTGTTGATGGTGAATGGCGTCATGATCCATCTGTTGTAAGTTATAAATTGTATTTTGTTGTATTGATTTTTAAGGGTTCTGTGTATATACTAAAACCATTTTATTTCAGAAAATGGTAGATAATGGTATGGGCTCAAAAAATAATTTAGTAACTGTGAAGATGTCTGACTTTGAAGTATTTCAAGCACTTGCTAAAGATAGTGAAGGAGTTCATAGTAGTGCCCAAACTGAATATTCTCAGGTGCTTTTTTATTATTTATGTTAAAATATCAAAATAATTAAATATAGATTTTAATCTTAATTGAAGAAATTTGTTGGTTAAACTATTGAGCCTAAATCTGTATAATTTTTTAAGTATAAAATATCTTGTAATATGCATACTCCATATTTTGTTCTTTTAAAATATTTTTATACTATTTATTTAAAGTTTTCATGTAATCTTCTGATATATTTTAAAATAAATTTTGAACACACAATAAATTTTAATATAAAAATCTATATGTTCTGTATATATATGCTTACAGGAAATACCACAGTCAAAGCCATGGGAAAAAGTTTCTGGTCCTCCAATATTGCCTCCTCATCTCCTACAAGTTATCTTAAACAAGGACACTCCTTTGTCTGTAAGTAAAAAAAATTGGGTTTTAATTGAGTTCACATCATATATTAAAGAAAAATGACAAATTGGATACTTAGATAATATAGTAGATGCCAAAAGAATTATTTAAATATTTTTGTTTATCTCCTTGCAATTGCAAATTTGGAAATTTTATATGGATTTGAATGGAATTAATATTCCATCATCATTCATATAATGCATAATTGCATTATTGCAGCCGAGTTTCTTATCATTCGAATGGTAGAATAGCCGATCCTTTTTATAGCAATTTCCTCTTGTAAAATATATAATTATAGATAGTACTAGACAAAATTAAGGTCGATATTGTTTGATTCTCAATAGATTTTTTATTTTATAAATTCACAATATTATTCATTGTTTTCAATAGGGGGCCCGTTACATCTTAGGGCCCTGGGGCTGCAGCCCAAAGGTGAAAGCAAGCTAATTGTATTATAACTCTGTTTTTATTTTTTTTTATTTTTCAGTGCGAACCCACATTATTGCCAGAGCCAAATCATGTTATGTTAAATCATTTGTATGCACTGTCTATTAAAGATGGTGTAATGGTACTATCTGCAACTCACCGATATAGAAAGAAATATGTTACTACACTTCTTTACAAGCCTATATAATTTATATTAACATATTTATTTGTGGCCTTAAAAATATAGCCTTAAACATGATATACCTATTGTTTGTTGTGATGATTTATTTTGCTTGTAGATAGTTAAACATAATAATAATGAAAACTTATCTGAAATGTTGCAATACAGTGAACCTCCTTTAAATTATTTTAAAAGAGGCGAATGGTATAATTTGGCTATTCCTAAATGTTAGCTAAGTTAAATTGAAATTAATAATAATAAAAGCAATAAATTTATATAAGTGTTGTTTTATTATTAATACTATAAAGTGTGTAATATGTACATCATTATACAATAAATATCAATTCTTATTTTAAACAGATCTAATATTAATAGACAGCATTTTAAATAAATGAGATTACACAAAAATGGCATTCGTAATACTGATGATAGAAATTACACAAGGAAATGACAATAATTCTATACTGAATACATAGAAAAGTAAATTTTTTCCTGACTACTCAGGAGGATAATGTATTCTGTGTGCATTGTCGGTCCGTTAATCAATAAAATAACCTCGCACATAATATCTATTTCTAAGTTTGGTAATGTATTACTTCTTAAGGTATATGGTACTATAAATATGGATAAAGTTTTCACTTAGGTAGAATTATTATTTTATGTAGTGTGATTATTTTAATTTTTCATATACATATTTTAGAATTGTAATGTTTATAATACTTCTAAAGTTTATTAAAATAATATAATATAAAAAAATCAGGTATCTATTTTTGGCTGTCACTGGTAAGATAGTAATATTAAATCATGTAAATAATAATACATATACCAATAAAAAGGCAAAAGTCAGTATTTCAATTTCTTTTTACTCTACATCATTTAGTCAATGCTAAATGATTAAATAATATATTGTTACTCTGCCACAACATCTAGAAGAGGTGTTTTATCCATTGAAACAATTTGATTAGAGTTTGTATTATTAACTGGATTTTTTAAGTACATGGCAACTGAAATACTGACCAGGCATATCGATGTCACAGTATACCAGGTAATTACTATATTAAAAATAATATAACAAACGACTGCAGTTATAACCAATTCTAAAGCACTGGCATATGTTTTTAAAATAGAATTTAAATTCTTCAAAAAGAAACTAGTCACTATACCTACTATTGCACTGTTAACGGTAATAAGTATCACAAATATATCTTTTAACGATTCAATATCTTGAAATATTGTACCTAGCTCTCCCTTAAACATTAATATAAAGAAATTACATAGAACTGAGTCCAGGTACATGAAAACATTTTGCAAAAATATATCTACATTAGATCCTACAGTTTTAAGCAAATATTCATTATATGTGCCCGCTAAACAGGAACAAAAGTTTTGGAAGTTAATTGACAAAAAATATATATTAAATATTTGAGACCAAAGATCAGAATCTTGTTTTTCATTAACTGACGCAGCATCAAAGTTTTTTATCATGCAGCCAAAAGTTAGAATTCCCAAGGAGATCCATTGCATGAAAGTCAATTTCTTCTGAAATAAGAACTGTAAAGATAAAATAATATTAATTTTACAAGTTTAAAAAAATATTTTATTAATTTTACATATTATTATAATAGTAATAATGGATAATGTGATGATAATACATACCTGAAAAATAAATGCTGTTAATACAACTCTAAACTGCAGCAAAATGTAGTAAGTAGTTGGGTCATAATGTGACAAATTTATAAATGCCAAATTATTGTAAAAACAATATAAAAGGGATGGTATAAAGTAGTACAGCAATAATTTGTGATCAATAATCACAGCTTTAAAAATATTGGGTTTATTCCTGAAAAATAATGTGATGATTATTCAAAATATATGTATCTGTTAATTTTAATGATATTAAATTATTGGGACCAAACAGGATTTTATTAAGCCTGCATTATAGGCACTATTGATATTGTTAGGTGATTCTTTAAATTGATGATTGAAATAAAAGAAATACTAAATTTTAAGTGAAGCTTACCACAATATATTAGTGAAAACCGCATCAAAATTGGTTAAGCCGTTTCAGAGATAAGCATGCACAAACGCACAGACAAAAATTATAAAAACCATTGTTTTGGGTTCTATTGCATATATAAAGACTCCAAAGTCCAATGATGGATTTTCTTAAATATCTTCCATGTACAGACAGCGATCAGTTACACTTTTATTATATGTATAGACTAGCGACTTACTCTTTTACGCTTTGCTCGGGTGCTTCCTGAAATATGTTTTTTTAGCCCTAATTCTTCTTCTACAATAAAAGTAGCCTAAGTGAATGCCCCATCAAAATCAGTCAAGCTGTTTCGGAGATTAGCGTGAACAAAGAGACAGACAGACAAAAATATTAAAAAATTATGTTTTTCTTGTGCGTGTGTGTGTGTGTGCTTGCTTGCGTGCTTGCGTGCGTGCGTGCGTGCGTGCGTGTGTGTGTGTGTGTGTACAGTATATAATTTCATAGGCATTTAGTAAAAAGCTGTTGTTATTTTAACATTACAAACAGACACTTCAATTTTATTTATCTTTATAGATATGCATATATTTGATATCAATAAATAAAATATCACTTACTCTCTTTTGCAAGTATATAAAAATGCTGAAATTACAAGTTTTAATAACTCAGAAAGAAATACAACCAGTGTTGTATTGTAATCATATACGCCATTTTCAGTCTTAGACGCTGTTATAAAAACACCTAAAATTAATAATATTATTTTGAACTTTAATTAAACTATTTTACTTGCACCAGACTATTTAAATATTTTTATACCAACCTTGAAACACAAATAATATAATATATAGTGAGAAAACTATAAAGCCTTCTTTATTAGGAAATAATTTTTTCCAATGTTTCATTTTCTTAATAATTTATATTAATATCGATAATTTTTAAAATAAATACACAAACACAATGATAATACAAACTACTTTACAGAATATTATCGTTACTTAATATATTTGTTTTTATTGTTATTTAATAATATTCAATATTATTAAAATGTACATTGTGTTGGAATTTCATTGCCAACTATTTAATTTGAGAAATTTACCGATTATTAATATATGTACTGATAAACAACTGTGACAGACATTTGGCAATTGACATTTGACATTTAAAAATTGCTGCGCAATATTTAGATACTCGGACGAATATATCGAAAGATAATTGGCTGAATAATTTGGGTACAAATACGACCTGGTAAAACCTGTTTAAATATTTAACATTCTTATTATTTTGATTCAGAAAAAACGAGACGATGTAAGCACGGTAATGTAATGCATACAGTATTGCAACTAGGGTCTATCCTCAAAATAATTACCTACAGCCGAGCGGCACGTACCCACGCGACAGGGCTGCCCGCCGGCCAGTATTTTAAGTTCATCTGCCTGCTTGATTTTCTTTCTAATTTTGTTATTACAAATATTCTATTTTTTATTTTTTTTTCTGCAGTACTATGAACTTCTTCCCATGTTTTGCCATGAAAAACTATAGCAGTGTCATCTGCATATGAATAAATATGCCCATTTTCTATTTCTAAGTTACATAGGTCATTTATATATATTAAAAACAAGGTAGGTCCTAAGACACTACCTTGTGGAACACCGAAGGTCATTTTGAGGTCATTGCTTGTATAGTCTCCTATTTTCATCACTCAATATATCATCACTTCGATAATCCTTCATTAGGTTAAGCTGATTTTCTCTAATACCAATATTTTCTATTTTTTATAAGGATGGGGATAGATACAGTGTCGAATGCCTTTTTTAGGTCCAGAAAGACAGTCATACATTTATTTTTACTATCAAGATGATCGACAATACACGAGGTTAAATCTAGAATGGCATCTTGCGTACATTTTCCTTGTCTAAAACCATATTGCGATGCTGACAAAATATTAAATTTATTTAGGTATTGAATTATTCTGTTATTAATTAGTTTTTCCATTATTTTAGAGATACCCGTTAAGACTGAAATTGGCCTGTAATTATTGATTTGAGTTCTATCTCCATTCTTATATACAGGAGTAATAATTGATTGCTTAATCAGCGAAGGGAACACACCTTTCGTAAAGCATAGATTTCCTAAATAAGTGAGAATAGGGACTATTAACTCTTTTGAGCGTTTTAAGAATTTTGTAGGGATTAGTAGGGATTTTTCAAAACCAGCCACACTATCTGATTTTAAATTCATAAGTGGATTGTTTTAGATTTAATATCGCGGTTTAAACGGCATAATAGATAAAATGGAGGTTACTTCGGAAAACCAAAATTCATTGATATTGGAAGGATTATCGAACTGGATGTCTTGGAAGTTTCAAATTCGTGTCATATTAATTATTAGTTCTTTGCCAGAAAATTTTAGCCTGTGTAAACAATTTAAAAATATGTTTGTAAACTTTAACTTTATCAGCCCAAAAGATATCATGGTTGGTGATGGTTCAATCATTAAAGCTCTTGGTCAAGGTGAAATACACTTAAGTGCTTACGATGGCGAACAATAAGGATAGAAGTGACCTCTTTGTGATCGGTATTTAAAATAACAAAGGATGATAATTGATAATTAGGATTAAGAATTGGTTCACTGTGCTGCAACAATTGGTTATTAGTTTCAATTTCCTTAGCAAGATTTGGTCCAACGTTAGCAAAACAACTATTTACTAAGTTAATGGCTTTGACAGGACACGACTCAATGTATAGTAACTCAATATTTGTTGTTTTAGTATGTTTTAAATTGGTTAAATTTTTAATATTGTTCCATAGCACTTTAAAGGATTTTTAGCAAGTAATAGTTTCCTATCATATACCCGTTTCAATTTCTTTATTAAATTATTACAGAAATTACGATATCTTTTATATGTTATTTTAAGTATTAATATATAATATATTGTATAAACCCTTCCTACTTCCCGACGTCAGATCGCCCGTAAATTATTTTTCCTTTCATTTATGTAATATTCTCTTCCTTTTTCAATGGGTTTCATCCTACTATTATTATTTTTTTTGTTTTTAAAAATTATCTGCCCAGGTCTAATAAGTTACTTATTCAAAAATTTAAAATAATATCCTTTTTCAAAAAATAGTTGTTAATTTACTTATCCTTTAACATAAAGAATACTCCCGTACAGCATGGGGGCGTAAAAATAGCAGATTTGGTTTTACTCAATTCATTTTCTTTGATAAAGGATATTATTTTAAATTTTTGAATAAGTAACTTAAATGTTAATAAAAAAAAGATATTTACTGTATACTAGATTTCAAATCGTGAAGATCCAGTGAGAACGCGATTATTAAAAATCGGTACCTATAGAACTAATAACTTCTTAATTTTTCAAAATCATTGATTTTCATAGCATAAAGTTAAAAATTTTACTCACACTCCAAATTTTGCCACCCCTAAAAATTTGCCGCCCTGGGCACTAGCCCCGAAAGCCCCTAGTGTAAATCCAGGGCTGGTTGTTTATAAGTATAAGACTATATAATATGAGATTAATGCCCGATTTCACCAACAACCCATAAGCTACCACCTACGTATGGGATCACTAGCCTAAAAGTCCCCTAAACTAGTCCCTAAATTAAATTTCGTTTTACCATCGTCAGAGCCAGTATTTTTAGTACCTATATTTAGGTGGCATTTTAACATTTAGGTGACCTCTAGCTGTCGGTGAAACAGAAACTGTCCCCTAACATCCCCCTAACCATGCTTAGGGGATCTCTTAAGCTTAGGTGACGTTGGTGAAATCGACCATAAGAGTGCTTAAAAATTTAGTAATACAAATTGGCTATAGAATCCGAAGCAGTCACTATTTGTGCGTTTTATACAAATGTTTTATAATTTAGATATTTAGACATTTTAAGATACCTTGAAAGGCCAAACAATGAATATACGGCGGCCAACGCCGAATGTCATTCATTGACTTACGTTTATTTGGCTTGCACCTTATTTTATTACGCATTTTTGCATGTTATCAAAATCGATCAACATTTCATTAAGATCCGATTACTAGGTACAAACAAACGTTTATCCTCACAAACATTTGTATTTATAATATTAGTAGGAAGTAGGTTAAATAAATTTAATGCGGTTGCATCTGTGCGTAAACTATTATTTGTTTATTTGATGATTTCTCCATGGAATTTTTCATCCAAGTATCTCAGTGAGGCATAAACAAGAACAAAGAGACACTTGTCACAATTTTTACATTTGTCAAAAAACGTCAAATCTGTATTGTGTTTTATATTGATGAATAATAAAATTGTATAGCTCCAGCGTATCGTAAAATAAATATTGCAGTGTAAATTCCATATGTAAAGGTTTCTAACCAATTTGCTTAATATATATTTTATTAACATAAATAAAAGTATAATTGTTCTTAAACTTATTGGAAAAAAAAATTCAAACTGGACTTGGGAAACTTGTTTCATAAGAAAACTATGATTATGACTTCAGAAGAAGATGACAGCACTTGGTATAATAATTTGTTTATCTATATTGAAAACATTAATATGCTAATAATTAATATTATGTAAATATGATATCCAAATTTAAGTTGTTTTTGGAGAATTCTTTGTAATCTCCTGAAGTACTTATATTGTTTCGTTTACATTTCAGGTTAATTGAACTGGAATCAGCTCTTCTTGATGGATGTACACCAAGAGAAATAAATGCGATAACTAAAGGAAAAAGAATTCCAGAGAGTTTACGACCTGATGTCTGGCTTGTGTGTCTCAGTTGTTATGATATGGGTAACCAACTACTTCTATTTGATGAAATTTTTGACTTGGTGAATCAAAATGAATTGAGAGATGATGTTAAGAAATTTGTTACAAAACTAGACAATGATGATGATGAAAAACTTTCTGTAATATCTGATATTGAATCTATTCTCACATTTTACTGTAAATCAAAATCTATTACGTATGCTTCTAATAATGGCTGGATAGAAATACTATTTCCTTTACTTAGTTTAAAATTGCCAAGGTCTGATACTTTCAATTTATTTGAAAAAATCTTAAAGCTTTATGTACCTAACGGGTGTGTGTCTAATGGGGTACCATTTCATATCCTGAGGTTGATAATACAATATCATGATCCTGAGTTATGTTCTTTTCTGGATACTAAACGAATTACTCCAGAGCAATATTGCATGCCATGGCTTAGATCATTATTTTCTGGCACTTGTAATTTGGAAGTAGTGCTTTTTATGTGGGACTTATATTTTCAACGATCTGATCCGTTTTTTATATTCTTCCTATGTTTAATTATGATTATTAATGCCAGAGAGCAGTTATTGCAAATGAAAAGTGACGATAAAGCCACAATAATTCAAGTTCTTAGTAAAATGCCAGGTGACCTTGATGCTAATGATGTGTCTGACTTTTGCTCATTAGCTCACTATTACTCATTGAAGACACCAGTGTCATTTAGAGAAGATGTTCTTGAGGTATTGTTCTCTGAAAGTGGATTAGAAATTAATTCTAAGTTATATTCCCAAGCTTTGTGTCTTCCTGTAGCTGTGCATGAATTGATTGAGAGTGCTACTGTTGATGTGGCAGATTCAGATACAGTTAAATTCTTTTTAGTAGATTGTCGGCCTGCTGAACAGTATAATGCTGGTCATTTATCTACTGCTTTTCATCTTGATTGTAATTTAATGTTACAAGAACCTACCGCATTTAATACAGCTGTACAAGGTTTGTTAAATGCCCAACGTCAAGCATTAGCAGCGGGATCTCTTGCTGCAGGTGAACATTTATGCTTTGTTAGTTCTGGTAGAACTGAAGAAGACAGTTATGCACATATGGTAGTTGCTTCCTTCCTAAAAAGAAATATTAAACATGTATCTATGCTTGATGGTGGTTTTGTAGCTATACATGATTATTTTGGTCCACACATGACTGACTGCTTAGAAGAACATAATATATCCATGTGTTTGGTGTGTGCACCTAGTAATAATAACAGCGATGAACAGCCAACTGTTAAACGAACTAGGGATAATATAACAGCCATTCAATTATTCAGCAAGTTATCTTCTGCTATGAAAGCTAAAAGTCAAGAAGTTAAAGGAAAATTAATAGAATATATTGTGAATCCTAATTCTACAGTTAACAATGGCGAGTGGCATGTGTCCGCAAATGATAGAAAAGAACATAGGTATAGAAATGTGCCTCCTGTCTTCAGTATCAATGATGAAGATGAAGACTCTCAATCTGATCTTCGTCGAGATTTTTCAAATGCAGAGGCAGTCGATGAAATTGTAGAAATACAGTCATTCCTTAAGAATCAAAATGTTGTCGATAATTTCTCATGTCAAGAAGTTTTGTCTAATGGTTATATGTTTGACTCTCATCTTATCGTCACTGAAACACATTTAATTATATTAAGGGAAATACCAAGCAAAAAAGGGTTAGCTAAAGTTCTATCCAGGCGGCCTCTTTCAACAATAGTCAAAATTACAGCTAAAAAGAGACACCCAGAACTAATCACTTTTAAGTATGGAATACCAGATGGTGACAATTTGTTAATCAAAGATATGGATCGTTTTCTTATTCCCAATGCTGCCATTGCCACAAAGATAGTCTCCAATCAAATTGTTTCACAATTAGATAACAAGCTACAATAATATTTTAATGAATCACACTACCACACCCCAAAGTAGAATTAATACTTATTACTTATATAGTGACAAATTATATAGTTTCAAATGTGTGTATTGTTTCAATATTTTGTAGTACTTATCTTTTTGATAGTGACATAATATTATCTTAGGATAAAATTTACATTAGACGAAGCCTAATAAATATCCATCCAGATTTTTAATCTATCATCAAATGCTTATGTATATGAAATCACAAAGTTGAAAATAAAAATATAAAAAAATAAATAAAAATTCTTTATTACATATACTGCTATTTTAGGAAAAGTACAGTATTTAACTATATGTGTCTTGATAGTCATTAGAATTGTAGACATTATTTTGTTTATTATTTATGATTTTAAAATATTATAGTTATTAATTTTATGATGACATTAAATAGTTATACTAATTAAAATTAATTTAAAACCATATTTGCATTGTTATTGGAATAAGTTTCACATTGCTTAAAGCAATGAAACTAGCATTTGTGTATTCTATTACTGGTCCTTGTTAATATTATGTTTGTCATGGAAGTATTTACTCCATTATTTTCATATTTTATTCAATAGTTAAAGTAAGCTTTCAAGCTTACTTTAACGGAAGCTATTAGTGGAGAATTTGCAAAAATGTTTAAATAATAGATATAGTATGGTAAAATTGTGGATTTTTTTAAAATATGTTCATATTTCAGTTTTTTTTTAATCAAAATAGTGTATATTTATATCAATCATTTTTATGTTAAAAAGCAAATGTTTTATATTGATTTTAAATCGTTTGTATACAAATAATTTACTAAATATAGAATAATATAGAAAAGTTACCTACGCAAATTATTTAGTGTGACCGTGAGCTCTATACCGCGACGTAGGGTCGCAAGAAAAGGTGCTGAGGAAGGACAGTATCAATATCATTATTTCTTTTTATTATTGACGTTTAGTCGTAAAGTTTGTGAGTTGTAACGTTGTAGAGGGGTAATTTCTAGATTTACTGAACCAATTAAGATGAAATTTGGTAAGAAGATATTTTGAGAACCTGGGAAGGACATAGGATACTTTTTATCCCGGAAATAATCCCTTAAGGGGTTGAAAATGGGCAAAGTTTGTATCGGGAATCAAGCTAGGGATGAACCCGAGTGAAGCGAGGGTGAGTCGCTAGTTTTCTTATAAATGCGAAGCAGCTAAAGACATATGGAATGAAAGTAATATTATCTTAATTAAAATCTTATAAATATTTATAAAGACTATTAAAATATTAGAAATTGATATTTTCAAAGTTTTTCGGTAATATTATACCCGTTTTTATCCAGGCAAGACGCGGTACAGTGCTCGCGGTCAGTCGTTAAAATTGAATAATTTTGTAAATTCTAGCACAACTGAAGTTTTATTGTTTATAAGTAGGTATGTTATGTAAAATCATTTATGTTAAGTTACACAGAGTAAACAAATCATTATCACCTTTATGAACCTCTGCTACGATACACAAAATAATTAAATTTTTATGCTTTTAGTACTTATAATAGTCATAATAAATTGTTATATAAACTAAAATTAGCAAGATTTTCCAGCGCTTTTATAAATGTGATAAGTTTATGCTGCTCTTTATTTATTTTTTGTGATATTGCAATTTAGGTATATGTTGCACAATTTATATAAGCAATTAATTTTTTGTAATATGATAGTAATAAATAGTCTTAAAGAGACTGTCGCGTGCTGCAAGCTGCAGTAGGTGAAAGTAATGAAACTATGACTGTATCTTTTACTTTATAGTGGCGGAAAAACCTTGTTGAGTGCAGGATTCCTTAGTTGAAAGAATAATTATTCATTGTACATTTTTCATATTCGCTCTCGTAAATATGGCGTAAGTTTTAAATTCTGTAATGATCTTTCCGAACATAAGAAATTATTTACGTTTATTAATATTGTCATGATTTATTGTAATTATCTTTTATAACTTAATACCTACTTGACAATTAAAAAATCTTGCCGTAACATTTATATATAAAAATATATTACATTATGATATTCGTTTTGTTGATTATTCCGTAAAGGCTTCATTCTAAATAACGTTAGAAACGATGGTAATCTTTTTTTTTATTAATTATAATTCATTTGTCATATTGTTTTTAGTCATAAAATAATTATTAGTTATAAATAATGTATTATATATAAGTTATTTACATTCTTTCATTCCAATAAAGTATTGTTTTTAAAAAAGTTTCTTATTACATACTAGCGGCTCACCCTCGATTCACTCGGGTTCACCTCTAAGAAAACAAAAACAAATCTATCCCACGGGAACCGTACATTTTCCCGCGATAAAAAGTTGCCAGTAAGTAGTGTGTTATTCCAGACTATAATCTATATCTGTGCCAAATTTCATCCAGATCCGTTCAGCCGTTCTGGCGTGAAAGAGTAACAAATAACCAAACATACCTACTCACAAACTTTCAAATTTATAATATAAATTTATAGTATTAATATATAATATTAATATATAATAATAATATATAATAATATGGATGATAATAATTCCTACCTTTATATTGTGTTCTAGCGTTTTCCCTCGGCTCCTTCTGCGTAGTTTAATTATGTTAGTAGGTGCTAGGTAAGTATACCGTCATAAATTATAGCCTATATACATATGCGCCTCTGAGCTATATAATACTGTAAAGTTTCGTCAGAATTCGGTAAGTAGTTAGTTTTTGCGTGAAATAGTAATAAACATAAATCCTGTCAAATGATTGCGCTTATAATATTAGTAGGATTATTTACCAAAGACTATGTTGTATGTTCTATATAATATATAACCATAAAAAGATTAAGGCTTTATTTTACAACTAGCATTGCCCGCGGCTCCGCCCGCGTTCAGATGACCAAAAACCAAACTCTTTAAGTTTTACATATTAATATACTCTTACAATGCAGTTTTTGTATTTTTTCTCAGAAATGAAGTATTTTCCCGCGGTAAAAAGTATCCTGTATGTTGATACAGATAAGTAAAAAAACGTCATACCAAATTTCATCAAAATCTGTCCAGTGGTTTTCTCGTGATGCGGTAACAGACAGACAAAAATTCTAAAAACTATAGATTCGGACTCTGTATCGATAATAATGTCTATTTCAATTAGATTTTCCAAAAAATATTTAATGTACAGATTCGACTTAGTTGCAATTTTATTATATGTTATCCATAGTAAATGATAGTCGCAAATTACAGCAATTATAAATATTAAGAATTAAAATTGTAGGTAGGTCTTCTAATAAAACACACTTGCAAGAGTAGATTGAATATATTTATATTTTTACAATTTTCAAGAGCGTAAGTCTTCTTATTTAATATTAATTTTTCTTATCATATTTTGTTAAATGATTACTTATTACGTATGCAAGAAAGATAGATAATCGAAAAAGATGGCCATGAAATGAATGCATTCATGATTATTCATATAATATAAAGGAGGACTGTCTTCTATACATATCGATATTTATATTTGTTTGAAAATAATATTAATCCTTTGCAATGGGAATTATACTAACTGTATTTATAGAGTAGGTAATTGTACGAAAGTGTTTTTTATTTAAATGGTACCTAGATTTGTAATGTTAGTCTACACTGGCTTGGTCGAAATCGTTAAATTTATATAAAATATTTATATAATTATCAAAAATTATACGAAATAATTCAAGCCAATATTAAGTACCTACCGACCAAGTTCAAAATTATTTATGTCACATTTTCCTCAGATGGACGGACAGGTCGTTTTAAGACCACTATGTTGGTATTGTTCGTTGTCATTATTATTGAAGGGGACACTTCGTGATAGGGAAAACTGACCACCATATAGAGAATAATTAAAGAGTGGACTGTACCTAATTAGTTTATTAGATATTACACACAGAGTGTAATATAATATGCGCTTCGTAACGTGAGTTAGGTCGTTCTTTCGTGCGTCCACGTCCAGCGATCCGCAGCTTTTATAGCGCCGTCCCGCAACCCCCGCTCCTAAAACTACGCGATGCATAAAGTCGCTCATACATTCACGGCGCAACCTTGTCTTTACCAATTATATTATAAAAAATTTCATTTTAATTCGAATTCGTGAAGTTTTAAGAATATTATTGGGGACGATAAAATATGATAGCTTATCGTTTATTGATAGAGAACATAACAAGTTTAGCTAAGTCAGCTTAACTAAACTAAGTTTGCTTGTATTTTTGTTACTAATCTATCGGTACTCTGGATGCGATTATCAGCAATGAGAAAAGACAAATAAGGGCGAGACAATTACCACGCCACATATGCCCGATTTCACCAACCTCACTTAAGCTACCACTTTCGTATGGGATCCCTAGCTTAAAAGTTCCCCTAAACTAGCCCGTAAATTAAATTTAGTTTACCATCGTCAGAGCACGTATTTCTAGTACCTATATTTAGGTGGCATTATAATTATTTTTTTTAATTTTTAGGTGACCCTTGACTGTCGGTGAAACAGAAACTGTCCCCTAACAGCCCCCTAAACATGCTTAAGGGATCTCTTAAACTTAGGTCACGTTGGCGAAATTGGCCAATAGAGTTCTAGAGAGTTAGAGGCTTAGAATAGGGCTACCACATCTCCTGTAGGTGTCGTAAAAGACGACTAAAGGACCTAGGGACATCGCACCTTGAGTCCCTTGATCGATGGTGGGCGAACAACAGCGTTCCTAAAGAGGGTTGACGTCAGACAGGCGGTCGGTCGGAAAATTTTCGCCAAAACCAATAAGCAGTATGGACGTACTGCGCCGACCCCAAGTAATTTGGGCAATAGACAGGGAGATGATGATGATAGAGTCCTACAACGATAGACGCAGAGTTAACTTACTAAAATAGGTTATTAAAATAGGTTAGTATCAGTTTATGCAGAAGAGAAACTTCATTTTAATTTTTATGACTTAATAATTTTCTGGTATTCAGAGCTTTTTAGCGCCATACTGTTGGGCATGGACCTTCGTTCGATACGAGAAAATCAGGTCATAGTCCACCACGCTGGCCAAGTGCGGGTAAGCGGACTTCACATATCTTCCGAAAACTTGATAAGTTCTCTCAGACTTGCAGCTTTCCTCAGGATGTTTTCCTTCTCCATAAGATAATTGGTAATCATGTTGGAAAATGATTCGCACATAAAAATATCAAAGGTGCGAGTTTCGGTATTTGTATAAATTTCTTAATAAGTGTGAATAAACAAATGTGTGTTTCCTGGTTTGTTTGTCTTTCGTATAGCAGTGACAGTAATGGTACGATGTCACTTCTTCTTTATGTCGCACGAAAATCCGTTAAATAATAGATAATTTCAGTAGTGATAAAAAAAGTCTTTCTCAATCTACGTTATTCAAGTCGGATCTGTCACCTAATCGAAAATAAAAAATTCATCTCAAATTTAAAAAATAGTCTACTTTGATTCTATATAGGTCTATGAAAATCTTAACATTGGTTGTAGTAGGCACTGTCTTAGCTCCATGCCGAAATTACTGTTCGTGGTTTTAAAAACGTTTTAATTTTTTGATTTTCACTGTTCGCAGTGAATCGACCAATCAAAACTGACCGAGGCATCACACCACATCCTGGTATTGTTACGATTGACAATTTAACTAGGGTAATTACAATTTGATTGAATGTGCTTAGGGAAATTATAATTTACCTAAACATGCCCCGCGATATTGTAAGAAAAGGAGACGATTGACATATTCTGGGTAATTAGTAAAATTATAATTTACCGGATCTTACAATTTCCCTGCGACGTATAAGTGACAGTTTTTGGGCCAGACAGTATTTTTTTTATTACGATAGAAGTTCCAAATAGTGTCTTAGATTGCGCTACTAAATATGATACGATTCATATACGATGCATGTAATTTATTATTATATTTTATTATAAAGAAAGAAGTTATGAATATTCTTACTTAATAATTACTATAAAATTTGTAATTATTTAATTAAAAAAAAATAATTTTTAAGTTAGAATTCTATGGGAATAATTGCAAAGGAAATATTTGTACGTATTGATATATTGCATAACAATATTGTAAATATTATAGGAGTATGTTTCTCCTCATTTATCATCATCATCATCATCATCATTTTGGAATTTTAATCAATTTAGTATAAGTATGAGGAGAATTGTTTGCTAAGATTATTATGTTACTATTGCTATGCAATATAGGATCTATATGCATTTTTATGAATAAATCAACATAAGCAAATATTTCAGACACAGTAAATGCATGTACATTTAACATATATACATTATCATAATTCATAGAGAAACATTAAAAACGAAAATGAATGTGGCGTCTATCATTTAAGCAAACAATGACAATCTTTATTTTAAAGATTTTATACGCTCAGATATCTATAAAAGCGATATTTTTAAAATGTTCTAGTTTTTTAATCAAAATGATTAAACTATAGTTTTAGTATATAAGTTTTAGGATATGCCTTAATTAACAATTGTTTTAGTAATTATAATAATATTATTACTTATAATCGCCTTTAGAAATAAAACTTGGGTTATTTTCAACAGCAAAATCATCCTAATCCTAAGTATTATATATTTATAGATTTACAAATAACATAGTTCATAACAGATAACAAACAATAATAGCTTAGACTAAAAGAATAAGATAGACACAACGTCTAGACCGTAGAATATAATTATTGATGCTTGAAATATAATAGTTCTAAAGCAAGTTTTCGTTTTCAATCCGTATGTCCACTATGTTTTTTTAACTGCCTCTGTGGTCTATTGGCTGGCATGTACGGCTGCAGGTCCGGGGGTTCTAGGTTTGAGTCCCGGGTCGGGCCAAGGTCAGTTATTGAATATTTCTCTCTCAAGAAATTCTCAGTAACAGCCTGTTGTTTATTGAGTTGGGAATTTGACGGTGTTTCACCAAAAATGCTATTTATTATTTTTAAAGCGATCCGTATTTCTTCAAATATATTAAGATAAGAAAATGCTTTTTCTTGGTTGAGAATTTGTAACGCATGCACACGCTGACACTGATTGCGCTTAACTTCATTTATTTAATACGTTCTGTACATTTTATTCTTATAATCTGAGCATAAAAGTAAACAAAACAGTAGGTATTTATGAGAGTTATTGGAGATATACCTAAATATAAGAACATGAAATGGAATGAAAATGGATTATTATATAAAAAATACATTAACATAGGTAAATTTATTTATCTTATTTTCTAAATCTCCTACGGAGAATGATATGTATTATTACTTTGGCGATTTCAATAAAATCTAGGCACGATAATGGTAATTATTATAAAAGCAAATTTAATTACCTAATACCGTTAGATAACGGCATTTAAAGATTTCATTCGGTGTCTTTTAACACAAATATATCTTATATTTTAAATTAAGTAACTAGCCTTACAATAACATTCCTCAGTTATACAAAAAAAAAGAAAATATAATTTGTTACTTATTTAAGTAAGACAATAATATTAAAGTAACACTCATGAGTCAGAACCATACATATACACTCGTCAATCGATTCTAAATAGTTGGTCGTATTATCTCAAGTGCCACAACAACGTCTAGTGAACAATCTTGACACTTGCTTAAGAGTTCGTGTTAAGATTTTTATATCACAGCCCCGTTCAATTAAAATAAAAATAATCTGCTAACAAACGGTATGTAGGTAAACAATGATAATTAGATCTAAAATTAATGACGGTATTGCTATACTGCAACCTGAAGTACTGGAGCTCGTGACAGTCTCGTTGATGGATGGCTGAATGTACGTAGAGGGCTTTATTATATCCACTGAAATAACAAAAAAAAATTATAACATTACTTTTTTATACAAGGTTTAACCCAAAAATCGCCTGTATACTGTGTATGATGATATTATATTACTTTAGCTTTTTTTAATTCTTTTGTGATAAAGTATCTCTATAAGTCGTTCAGTGCAGTTCATAAACACTATAATGTAGGTATATGATAAGAATCACGTAGATCTGTTTCTTCCTTGAAGTGTAAAAAGGATGAACGAAAGAACAGTTGGGATATCTTACTAATATTATAAATGTGAAAGTTTAGACGTTTGGATGTTTGTTACTCAATCACGCCAGAATGGCTGAACGGATCTGGATGAAATTTGGCACAGAGATAGATTATAGTCTGGAATAGCACACAGGCTTTTCCCGTAATAAAGTACGGTTCCCCTAGGATAGATTTATTTTGTTTTCCGATAGTCTATAATAATTAGAAAATATATAATATATTATCAGCTTTTATATTTAATTATAAATACGAAAGCGTGTTTAAAATATGTGTTTCTATTTGTATTTCTTACGAATAATAATTAAATAATACACCTGGGGTTAAAATGGATACAATTTCCTTCAATGGGGCTGACGATAGAAGTTAAAATTGTCACTATACAACAAGCGCGCTAACTTTTGTATTTGGCAACAAGTTGTTACGATTATTCCTTAATACTAGGGTCAACATTTAAAGGAGCTTACTTTCCCAGAAAATAAAGAGCTCCCGACGGATACCTAAAAAGGCGATAAGTTTAAAATTGCAATGATATGAGATAGTTACAGTATATATTGCATGAATGAAGGTTTCTAATGTAACTTGAAAAGATTATGTTTAAATTAAATTTACTAACTTAAATTACGTGTTCTGGGAAATCAAATAAGTTTTCGTCGTATAGAGGATAGAAAATCGTATGAAAATCTGTATATCTATGGATGTACAGACTATTGATCAAAGAAGAAGATCTATATATATATATATTATATGTACTACTATAAAATGTGTAGTCTTTAATTATGACTTTTCCACGAACAACTAAATAAGTCTCAACATAACATAGTTTGCCGTCCGTGGGATAAAAAAACTAAAATATGAGTAGGTATGTTTGTGAAAGATTAATACAATCATTTATTTGTATACTAGCAAAACTAAAACAAATCTATTCCACGGGAACTGTACATTTTTTTGGGATAAAAGTAACCTATGTGCTATTCCAGACTACAATCTATCTCTGTGCCCATCCAGATACATTCATCCGTTCTGCCGTGATTGAATAACAAACATCCATCCAAACATCTAAACTTTCACAATTTAAAGTAAGATTAGTAATATTATTTGTCTGCTATAATAAATACTTATGTTTGTGTATGTTTCTCGAACTCCTGTAGGTACTCCTTTGCGCTAAAACGGTTGGATGGATTTAGATGAAAATTATTACACACATATGAGATAGACTATAACCTGGAGTAAAACATTAGCTACTGTTAGACAACGACTAACCAAGCAAAATGGGGGTAAGTCACTAGTATAATATATTTATTTCTTTAAATGTGAATTTACATATATGGCGTTGACTTACCTATAACAGTATCGTTTCTAAGGTCTGCAAATTTATCTTCAATGTTTCTAAATTCAGGGATAGTACTGACGCAGGTGACTTCTAACCTTCCAGAAGCAATTAACTCTAGCTCAGACACCGTGACGTAGAGATCTCTGCCGCGATTGGGTCTCCTACTTCTGTGGCGACTTAACCCTTGAACCATATTCCCATCCTCATGATCTGAATCCGTCTAAAAGCGTATTTGATTTCTGTTATAGTAAATTTAGTATAGTCATATCGATATATGTTTATTCATTTATATAATATTAATACTTTATTTCTTAATATAATGGTTGTAAAAATCTATGAAAATGGTTATACATATTATGTATGTTGGAGGATAATTCACAGGGATTTTTTGGTTGAAAATTTAAAATTTGGCACACACGTTTAGTATTGTACAACACCTACATTATCTATATTTATCATCACCTTTGTCATATTTATCATCATACAAGTATCTATATTTGGTAGTTATATTAGGATACATACGTAGAGACTTATGTATCCTAATATTAATAAAGGATTCCTTTTTGTTCTGGTATTGCGTTACCGTGAGACTTTATATTTATTCTTGTTTTGAACTTTTTAATAGATTGTGTTGCCAACGTTGAAAGAAATAAAAATACTCACGCGGGCGAAGCACGAGTAGAAATTAGTAAATTATTGTTATATAAGTTTCATTAATGATGCCAAACAGTAAGTAACTACTACTTAGTAAGTAACTACTTACCAAGTTTCAAGTAAAGACAAGAAAAAAATTGTTTATATCTTTTACCAGGGTTTGAAAAACGTCCTTATATTAAAGTTAGTTTTTTACAATTTCCAATCAAGAGTAATTTGTTCTGGCCTAATATGATAAGCTAGTGTCTACATAACAATATAACAAGTCAAGAAGGGTGGAAATATCCGATGCAATATTTTTTTTGTCTACATTAGGACATTTTACAAAATACCTACAAATATGATGGTCTTAATTATTTGTTTAACAATAATTCAATTCTTGTGCTAAATTATAAATATATAATGTAGAAGTTTCCTTTCATTTATTATGTTGTCAGTGATTCTGTTGGAAAATAAAAATGCAGTGACATTTTTAACAGAATTTTTGAGTTTATAATGCAAATTATTACGGTCGTCAAACACGTCTTGTTATCCTTTTTAACCCCCGACGCAAAAAGAGGGGTGTGAAGTTTGACGTCGATGTCTGTCTGTCTGTGTATGTGCGTGGGTCTGTCTGTGGCATCGTAGCTCTCAAACGGATGGACCGATTTCGATGCGGTTTTTTTTCATTTGAAAACCAGTTTCCTTGTGGTGGTTCTTAGCTATGTTTCGTTAATATCGGTCTAGCAGTGTAAGAGTATCAGCTCTTCTCCAAAATGATGTAAGGCATTTTGGTGTATAATTACTCGATTAAGTGCTTCACGCGTGCCAGTGTAATCTTTAAGTGACAATTAATTTGTGTCGGGTTTTTTAAAATTTTTAATTTAAAATTATTACAGTTTGTTGTTTACTGTATAAAGGGCTCAGTGTAAAAAATACAAATACATAATATATTCCCTTTTCAGAAACTTTTTTTCCATTTCGGTTAATTATAGATTAAAAAAGATTATAGTAGGAGGCGAATAACAATATATGTTGATTTATAGTTTCATGCTATGATTCACATTTGTAATTTAAATATACTATTTGAGAATCAAGTATAGTTATGTTGATAATTATTTATACGACTCGTAATTAAAGTATGTGTTTCTATTTGTGTGAAATGGAAAGCCGTACGCCTACGTATGCTACATTATTAATAAACTTAATGCTTTAATTAACCGGCATGCGAATGTTCGTATAAACTTGTGGGTCCAGCGTTATGAAATTTTGTTGGATACATGCTGTATTTTATATATGTACCTACTCGTAGGTGCATTTTCTAGAGGGTAAGATATAGGTGCATTTTAATTAAAAAAAATCGACAATGAAGAATATTTAGTGATTAAGTAATTCATCTATTGTTTAAGAAGAAGCAAGAATAATTTAGATTTATCAATAGGTTTATTTTAACTTAAAACTAAACATATAAAAAGTTTTTTACCATATAGGTGTTGCTTATATTAGTGACGTAAATAATAAATGCACATGTGTGCACCTAATATTTTTTCCATTTAACGATTAAATTCTTCATTAGAAACCTTTCGCGAACTTGAATTAAAAATTTAAATAAATTATAGTTAAAAAACTAAAAAAACACGTTTAATGATGAACTGAACGAAACAGTAAAAAACAGTTTTTAGTATAAGAATAAAGTGACTAACGAGAAAATTTATGTTATTGTTAAAAAAGCGTGGGGTGTTTTGTACAATATTTTTATACTAACTCTACTTTTAAAAATCGTACCAATGGAATATTTAATGTAACTGATATATCGAGCATTCATGATATACTATTATATATATATATATATATATATATATATATATATACATATAGCGACTCACCCTCGCTTCGCTCGGGTTCGCGCCTAGGTAGGTACGTTTAAATTATCCTAGTTCCTTCCCAGAGTCTCAAACTAGCTTCATACAAAATTTCATCTAAATCGGTTAAGCGGATTTTCAGTTTATCCATTACAAACTAACATACAAAAAAAAATTTTTCTCTTTATAATATTAATATAGATAGATTATACTGTTTACATAGATGAATAATTATAAGTAATAAAATATTTTACTGTCATATTAATGAATGGAATGCAAACCAAATACATATAAAAATCATATCGCAAAACTTTTTAAAGTAAAAAAAGTACCTACATAGTTTCAAGTTAAAACAACGAACAATTTTTTTGCTAAATTGTGAATGATAAAACAATACGATTATAAAAGAAAAAATTAACGGATTATAACATATGTATCATGCACCCGTATTACAATTTTAATTGCACCACTTCATTCTATAACAAGCTTTGCGCGAATTCACTTAATAGCTGCATCCATTTCAACTAACTTATAAGGCTAAAGGCAGCATGTGGAAGTAGTGTAATTTGCATAAAAGTAATTTCCTCAAGCCTTGAGCCCACCAAACTCTACCCATAACGGGCTTTTCTTGAATGTATTATATATTTCTATAATATTGATATTTCATATTAGATTTAGCTTATGTACCTACGTATGTATCTCTACACAATATTATTACTTATTTACTATTAGTATATTATAACTGCCCTCTAGTAGCTATTATGTACGGATGCAGATCCAGAGGTCTTGGGGTCGAGGCCCGGGTCGAACCAAGTTTAATATTTCCTTTAAGATATTCCCAGCTGTAGCCTCGACTGACATGGTTAAAATCGCCTTTTAACTGTAGGAATAATTGGAATGATTACGCTTTTCAAAAGCCATATTTATATAGTTGATTAATTAACCAAGCAATCATTTAAAAATACATAAAAAATTTCATCAAATAAAGTTGCATGATTTTAACCAAATTCTTATTTTTTTACAGTTTATTTACACAACTAATAAATTATAACTTTATTTATATTATTATTATAGTAAGTATTATAATAATCAATCAATCAATTTTATCAAATTGCAGAAATTCTATTTTAGAGATTTTTGAGCTAGTAACCTCTAACCTTTTCAGTATTACTACGCCTGTGGGCTGTGACCTTTTAGGAAAACTGACTTTACCCCTAGGCCCGCCCGACTTTGAAATGTTATCAAAACAAACAATACAAATAAATACAAATATCTTTATTAATCACAAATTGCACAGTAGTCCTACAAGTTTAATGTATTAGCAATGAATTAGTCTAATTAGTTAAAAATAATAGTCAGTGTAACGGTTGGTATTGTTTTACATTAACAAGGTTTTTTATACTAGGTTTTGTTACACTCAAAACACATCTCAATTGATTTTCTACATTGTGGTTTCGGACCTTTGTTTTCAGTGCAAGTAAAGTAGAAAATCCACTCTCATATCTATAAGTGGTGGCATAGGGGATTAACAATTTCAAATGTTCATCAGCTATAACAAGATATTTTGAAATTCTACTTTGAAAGTACTATTTTCACATAGTTCGAAAAATTCTACTTTCGCCGCTACATCTTCGTCTCTAATAATGTCATCATCAATAGAAAATGGTCTCAATATCCAAGAGTTTGGCTGACAATTATTCATGTCCGGAAAATATTAAATATCAATGAGTCTATTATAGACAAATATTGAACCACGGAATTTTCAAACGTAATTTTGTTTGATTCGTTATTTATAAATAGCTCACATAGTTGTGTTAACATCGACACATCTCTAGATTGCTCTCTGCGTTAGTAAAGTTTTAATTTACGCACAAAACTGGCAACTTTATCCTGCGCTGTCAAAATATTTGTCATATTTCATTGGAATGAAATATCAAGACTGTTTATTTCACTGAAACAATGAGCAAGATACGCCAGCTGTTCGACAAATATATTATCTTTTATTTTAGAGAAAAATTCTTTTTCATTTTGTGTTTTTTGTTTTTCTAAAAATTTCTTCACAGAACTCGTAAGCGCTGTTCAGAACTTTCCTTCGTGTTTACCAACGTACCTCTGCGTCGTACAAAAGAGAATTGAATTTGACACCAACTTAAGCACATAAAACTTGAATAGTCTGTGTCAGTGTGTGTCTATTTTCACTAAGTTGTTCAAAGTGCTTAGCAAATCTGGTGGAAGCGTCTTAACAGCCAAAGCGTATCGGTGAATCAGGCAATGATAAGATAAAATTTGAGGAACAACTTGTTTCACTAGTGCTTGAAATCCAGAATGAACTTTTAACGATCATGCCCCGTCTGTACAAACGCCAGCCAGTTTTAACCAGTCTAGTCCGTTTTACCCAATAAACTGTTTTAGCGTGTCAAATACGTCTTCGCCGCAAAGACTTGCAAAACAGATATTCATCTTTTACATGATCATCTTTGATATACCAGTAATTGTAAACACGAAGCTACATAAGACTTTCTTTAATTTCATATCATACTCAATCCTTTGAAATATTGTAGGTATTTGAAATTATATTTGTTTAATATTAGACACATGTGCTCACAAATAACGAGCGATACTGCATCACACAAACAAGGTTTGATGAGATCCCATCCCATCCCATGCGATGAGAAATTTGATATGAAGCTTGAAGACATGATTCATTTGCGTTTTATAAATTTCTGCGGATTCCAATCTGGAAGACTTCGGAACGCTCTTTTATCTCTTAAAATATCTATATCTTGACTTACAAAGTCGTTGTAAACATTTTTAAAATGTTCCTTTAAATAAATGGCTCGCTTTCATGCTCTCTGGATTAAGCATTTTGGTACATATAACAAGCTTTTCTATATTGCTGACTACAATATTCGTGAAATCCCCTTGTAAAAATGCTTCTTTTTATTCGGAGCGTTTTTTTCCTGATGTAGAAGTCATCATGCCACTTAATAAAACAATCGTAAATAAATTTTAAGTATAACAAAAAAGTAGATCACTCGAACGTAAAAATGGTGAGAATAAAAAAAAACAGCTGATAAACCATTGCTCTTGTCTGTAACTAACTAACCTTCAAACACTGTATTTTTGTATAAGTAGGTAAGTATGAAATGCAAATCAATTGAAATGCGTTCGTGCACAAGTTATCTCACAGTCAAATGGCGTGGAGGTCCGGCCTCGTCCCTCTCCTTACCGCCCTCGTCGCCACGGCGCGGCGTTGCGACGACACGGGCCCTGCTTGAAAGAATTTATCTGCGCGGCGCGGATATGTCATATATTTTTACTATCTATACATTTTATATCAGATCAAGATCTTTGTTATCTCTGTAGAATTGCAGATTTACCCCCGCAGTGGCAATTACCCCCATGTTCAGAACCCAGGAGTTATAAGAATCGGTACTTACGACGTTACTGAAATACAGTAACACAATATTGACTCAGCCAATTCTTAATATATGTATTTTATTTAAAAGTATATAGAAGCTGCATGTTTTAAATAGCTAAACATCCATATCATTTTTCTAGCTCTAGAACATGAGAGAACTAAATTAATAGATATATTGTGTATGTCAGATTATAATAACTACACATGACTGAGATATTCTTCGTCTACGCCTATGTAATTGATTGAAGAGAAATTCTAGAAGAGTGGGCGAGGGCTGAGATCAGATCATAATTTTTCAAAAAGTATTGGCAGTTAGTGTTTTGAGTAATAAGCGTGCGCAGGTTGTTTTTAATCAAAAGTTTAATAAAAATGAGCTAAGTATAACTAAGAAATAATTAAATTCGTAAATTATAATGAATGTCTAATATTAATATGATGAAATGACAAAATAATCCACGTATATTACGTTAATAATTCTTACCTGATAATCCTGTTCCTTATGAAGGCAGCCCGGTGCTCTAGTAGCAATATGAGATACATGGGTGAGTGTGAGGATTGGTGAAGGAGAACTAAAATCAGTCTCTTGTTCTACTCTTTGAAAGCCTCGTCTGCCATTACGCTCAACCATTGGTACACGAATTTTGTGTGAGTGAGCAACTTTATCCATCTGTAAATTAAAACACTGAAATCATTACTTTATAAAAATCTTAAACAACATTAACAAATGGCTAATTAAAGGAGTAATAAATATAATTTAAAACACTGTCATGCATTCGCGTGTTGAATTCGTAATACGAGCTGCGCAAACTGACTTAATGAACCGTTACGATGTTAATCCGGTACATGCGAAGAGTAATATTGAAAAAGGGTATGAGATTACCTTTTTCCCATTAATAAACCATGTGATGTGCGGGGCCGGCAGCGCAGGCGCGCTCGTGCAGTTAGCTTTCAATGTTTCTCCAAAGCTTAGGTATCTCGTTGGGAAGTCGATACGTGGATGGTGTTTTTGAGGATCTGTAATTATTATTATCTAAGGTAATTTAAATTATATAGTAAATATTGTAATTAAATTTCATATAAAAATATAAATAAATAAAAATATAACATAATTTATACTTATAATTGAAAATATAGTTAAGTATATTGTGACATATTGTTATTAGCTTTGTAGATAATATTTCGGTTTTAGGACTTTTCTGATTACAAATTAACTATGTAAGAATATATTTTTATACTATACGATAACGAGGAGTTTATGGGTCACCATTATAAGTATTTCTTTGGAAAAGATTGACCTTTTTCTTTCTATTTAGAAGAAAGCTTTAGCTTCCTCGTTATGTATTTTTTTAAACCTAAAAACACCTGCACTCTATGTACAGATGTTTCAAGCAAGCTCGAGGATAATCACTTGTTTTCTATATCATTATTTTTGCTCTATGTTGTGTACAATTTTTTTTTCTCTTTTTTGCAATTCCTTTACGGCATTCTATTCAAAAAGTCTTTCCACCTCCAACGTAAACATCGAAATGTGCGGAAATGTCCTAATTTTTCATGCGTTTCCGGAAAGTTCAAAATTTATGGAAATAATGAAAAAATGTCCCTTTCCCGATAGAATATCGCTCTCTATAATGGAATGAAAAACTTTCAAACGAAAAAAGTCTCCTTACGATTGTGCTTTATAATTTCTGACAATAAACACATTTTTATCGGAATAAGAAATAGCCTAAGTATACTACGCGGGGATAATGTAACTTAAAATTAAAATTTCAGAATCGGATCGGGAATTTATTAGATTACCCCAACATCCAAACTTACAAACTTTACCTCTTAATTATGTGTATTCGGATAATGTAGACATGGGTATTAGGTAGTAGTCCTTTAGGTATACTTGTATAATATAAAATAAACTCAAACTATCATTTTTTAATTTCCTTTTTATTGTGGTACTTTACGTCTATTATTTCAAGACACCTAGGTGGATTCCAATTAGAGGCTTTATTGTAGACATAAAGAAAGTATTAATAAAAAATATATAAAAAGCAGTCACGAGCAGCGCCGACAGAAGTGAAAAGTTAATACTTTAAACAAACATTTTCTTTTGATCTTAAATTTAAACTGTTTTTTATCTACTTTTAGCATCTATCGGCACTGTGAGTGTTAGCGTTAACACGTTACGTGACCATGACGACTTAGATGAATTTACTCCCCATACAAACCTGCCTATATAGAAGTTTTAACTTCAAAAAGCTCTTAGCTATTTTTTATTATTATTTGTAGTAGATACGATCTAACATGACAGCCAACAATTTTTCATACTAGTGGGAGAGTTGCATTTATAAATATTGGCAGCGAAACCGCACGCAGATGCTAGTTTTCAAATGAAGATGTCTATTTAAGCGAGATGATAATCCAAAACTGAGCAGTGCCGTATAAATAAAACGGTTACGTTAAAAAAGTCACCACGAATAGAGTAGGCAAATAAAAAAGGGTTCAAGCGAATTACTTTTCTCTTAAAGTTAGTACCGATATAAGCTTTATTGAGATCTAGCAGTAAATCTTGTTACGACTTGTTAAGAAATCCGGAAATTTTGTAAGGCAGTACTTACTCGTATAGTATATACTTAAGAAAATTAGAAGTTCAAGAGGTACTTAGGTAAATATTGAAAGGCTAATCTATATCTATACACATAATAAAATTGTAACTAAGCCGAATCTATACATAAAATATTTTTTTGGAAATCTTATTGAAATAGACATTATTATCGATACAGAGGCCTAATCTGTAGTTTTTAGAATTTTTGTCTTTTTGTCTGTCTGTGACCGCATCACGGAAAAACCACAGGATGGATTTTGATGAAATTTGGTATTATGATAGCGTGATATCCGGGTCAACATGTAGGATAGTTTTTACTGGGAAAATATCTCATCTCTAAGAAATATATACTAACGAGTAAAACGTAACTACGGATGCATCGCTAGTTACACATATAATCCAATTTTATTATAGTCGTCAACTAATATTATATCGTCATTATTTCATACTCTTGCAAATAGTCAAAATTAAGTAAGTTTTTCCGTCCATTACAGAATTTTCTGAATTAATTTTCTTTTCCCCTACATTGCATTGCCCCAATTAGGAAGAAGCATTCAATTATGTTCTCGTACATACCTACTGTTTTGTATTAGTACCTTCAAACATTTTTATTGATGGAAATTGTGTTTTTGTTATAGAAACAAACACAATTTATAATGGGAAGTTATAAATGTTATTTATAAATTCTTACAACGTTGATTAAAAAATAATGAAATATATTTATAAATATCTGCCAATTAATCTTGGAGACGGCAATAAATTAAATAATATATTATTTTATGACATTACTTGTTGAATAAGTATTATCGTATATTGCCTAGTGTCTTCTATTCTAATGAAACTGGATGTAACACTAAGTATGTATATCTATTATTGTTTGTAATAAATATTTTATTATGAGGTGCTTGCTAGACGCCGGTTGATCTGATTATTACACATATAATTAATTTAAGGCATTTAATATAAATAAATGAGATGAGATAAAACTTGCTATAAACAGGGAAAACAATAAAACTGTAACTGTAAAAATAGGCGAAACACGTCACGCGTCTGTATAATTGTGTCTATATCATGCTCGTTATGTCGTAATTCTGATTTGTGTCAACGTAACGGGTGACGTGTTATTAAGAAAAATATGGCTCATGGGATAACGCGCATAACATAAAAATATTAACAATATATGTACCTATACCTATTATATATAGAGAATCTGCTGACAAAGTCTTTCATTTTTGGGTCTCTTTCTTTATAATTGGTCTACGAGTACGCGTGCTGAAGCAGCTGGGCAATTTCTATTAAAAGTACACAGATATATTATGACCTAGAGTAAAACATAAACGCATTGATTATTGCTTGGCACCAAGGGAAGCACCCGAGCGAAACAAGGATAGGGCTCTACTGGACAAAATGAAAGTTATTTCCATTTGATTCTGTCTAGTCGATAGTATAGTAGTGGGAGTAGTAGAATCTAGTAGTAAAGTAAGTTTATTCAACAGTTTTATTTTAATAAAATACGACGATTACACTTATTTATGCTGTAGTTAAAATTAATATTGTACGATGTACAATGTATGTACATGTATTTAAATATTTTGTTTTTCTTTTAATCTTACTTGCATAAAAAATACATAACAAAAATTTTATATGTGGGGTGTGGAATTCCGGTGCGTGATGTGCGAGTCATGGTGTGCGAAGCGCGAGGCTCGCACTTTTTCGATTTTTATTATATTAGAAACATAATATATTCGTCGACTAACTGAACACGTGGATAGTTACAGGCATTATGCGATTCAATCAGTGGCGTTTTATTTCTTGTACTTGTAGGTAATATTTAGATAGGAAAATATGGTTTGTTATCAAACTAAACAGAGTGATATATTTAATACAAATTATTTAGAAATGTGTTGGTTTTAAATATTTTATAAATTTTATTTGAGCTGTTTTATTTTGACATTAAAATAAGATAAAAATATTTGCTTTACTCTTCGAATATACTTTTTTCTTATTCTTTTCCCTATTGCTTGTTAACTTGGGATTTTCTTTTGTCATTTGACAGCAGAAACTAATTTCGGCCTAATTATTTTTACTTCTGAGACATAGTTTGTACTGGGAATTTAATTTAATTACGAGTAGTAGATATTAAGTGATGGTAAAAGTGATCTCGTATAAGGAAGTTATCTTTGTCGTTCGTTAACTCATTACTTTATTATTAAATTCAGGGTGTGTTTGTACTAAGCACTAGGAGTTATAGGGGTTGATTAAAATTAGTGGTTTCCTCTAAAGCTGGCTATTACATTGTTAACCAACATACACCCTTGCCTTCAAAATTACTATTTCACAACGCTTAGCTTTTAAGCTTGGCTTTTAAACGTCATACTAGAGAAGAAGTATTATATATTAAGATCCTGAATCTTCCTGTGTTAAATCTAAGTTTTACCTGTAATGCACCGAGTGCTAGGAGGTTGCCGTGTCACTCAATCACATTTTGTTAAAGCGGTCTTTTGTGACAAAAAACGAATAGGTCAAACTAAACCTATTTATTTCTAGTAAAGCTTATTAATTATAATCCAATAATATGGAAATCAAATTTTAAACGTTAAATTTTAAAGTTCATAAACTTTCGTGACACATTAAAAGTAAAAGTAAAGGAAACAATTGTCTCTGCTTGCATGATTAGCTTGTAACATTAACCTACCTACCTACCGAATTACGTACCTACCTACCAAATTGGTACTTGAACCAGAACCAATAGCATCTATTTTATCTATTTGTAGGTAATTACAATTTATTGTTGGCTTATCTAATAAATAAAGCCAAGAGGTCATTAACACCATTATTCTATTGTGTATAAGTATTTAGTGTATTGGTTGAGTCGAGATATTATCAATAGAAAATTGTTGTTTTTTTATACCTCTATCGTGTGTCTATTTTTACCGATTTCCGTCTCGTGAGAAGATTCAACTTTATATTCATTATTTAAAAGAAATAAGCTCGATAAATATTTTTTTATTACTTTAACCATTTGTACCTACTATATAAATTGTTCAGGTGAGCGATAGAATGAATACCTCTTAGTCAACGTTTCTCGTAATTTTTAGCGTCTTTAAGTGCTTGCTTTACTAAGCTATCTGTTCTTCACTTCTAATGATCGCAGGAACGGAACTTGTCTTTTAGATCTATCTTCTAAAACTAACTTGCTTTAGAAAACGTGTCATGTTATTGATCCTTTGATTAAGCGATACTCGACAAAGGCTTTGATTACTATTTCTTGCCTATATTTGTGTATTTCTTTGGTTTGGTTTTTTGGTTGGTTCCCGACGTGTCGAATTCTTTACGGCAATGAGACTCACGAGAGAGACTCTCTCCCGTCTATTATTAGCTTTATTTAAAATATCAAATGTCATATAAAACTAAGAAAGTA